ATGTAGTAGAGGGTGATGTACATGGGGGGGGGGTTCTTGGCGCAGAACTCAGCAGGAAGCGCAGCGCGGTAGCGAGTGTCACTAGTGCGGAGGTGCGTAATGAGGTCAGCGACTGTGGGAAAGGCAGCAAGGTCAGGGAAGAGGTACAGTAGCATGAGGCGGCTCAGTGCAGCAGTGGCAGGGGAGGAGTAGCGCGCAACTACAGCGTCGTACAAGGTGTGAGCACTCTTGTACTGGCTAAAGTGCGCACGCTCAGAGGTAGGCAGGTGGCGACGCACAGCAAGACGTGCAGCAGCATCGCGCGTGGCCCACTGTGAGCGAACAGTGGCGTCAGCATCAGCAGCGGGGGCAGGGGAGGCACCAGAAGTGAGGTCAAAGAGGGAGAGGCCGTCTGCTCTGTCGCACTGTAAGAAAAGCTGCAGGTCATCTATCCAGACGTCAAAGTCAATGGCCCGACCCTCAGCGTCAAAAGCGAGGACACTAGGGGTAGCCATGACAGCAGTAGACTAGCAGCGCAAACAGTAGGGTGAGGGCAGTGCTGTGAAAGAGGCGCTGCTCTTACCGGACAGGGCGGCTCGGGTGGCTCGGCTGCAGGGCGGCTCGGCGGCTCGGCTGCTGGGCGGCTCGGCGGCTCGGCTGCAGGGCGGCTCGGCGGCTCGGCTGCTGGGCGGCTCGGCGGCTCGGCTGCTGGGCGGCTCGGCGGCTCGGCTGCTGGGCGGCTCGGCGGCTCGGCTTCTGGGCGGCTCGGCTGCTGGGCGGCTCGGCGGCTGGGCGGCTCGGCTGCTTGGCGGTGCGGCGGGGCCGCTGAGAGGGCGGCGTCCGGGGCCGCTGGGAGGAGGCGGCGAGGCCGCTGAGAGGAGGCGGCAGGGCCGCAGGTAGGTGGCGGGGCCGCTAGTAGGTGGCGGGGCCGCAGGTAGGTGGCGGGGCCGCTGGTAGGTGGCGGGGCCGCAGGTAGGTGGCGGGGGCAGCACAGGTAGGTGGCGGGGCCGCGGGTAGGTGGCGGGGCCGCTGGTAGGTGGCGGGGCCGCTAGTAGGTGGCGGGGCCGCAGGTAGGTGGCGGGGCCGCACAGGTAGGTGGCGGGGCCGCACAGGTAGGTGGCGGGGCCGCGGAGGGCGGCGATGAGCCGTAGGGGGCCGTGAGGGGCCGCGGGAGGGGCCGTAAGGGGCGTAAGGGGCCGCGCGAGGGGCCGCAAGGGACGGCGCGAGGGGCCGTAAGGGGCGGCACGAGGGGCCGTAAGGGCGGCGCGACGGGCGCGACGGGTCGTAAGGGCGGCACGAAGGGCCGTAAGGGCGGTGCGAAGGGCCGTAGGGGGCGGCGCGACGAGCCGTGAGGGGGCCGCTAAGGGCGACGCGACGGGGCCGTGAGGGGCCTAGCGAGGGCGCGACGGTAGGGAGAGCACACAGGGCGCGACTCGGGCCTGAGCGAAGCGCGCTCCGGGCAGGAAAAAAAAAATTCGTGGTGGTGGGCCCTAGGAATCGTTCCCACTAGGGAACCTGCTCGATACCATGAGAAGAAACGAGGAATGGGAATGACTAAGGGAAAGTTGGGTACAAATGCAAACCCTAGAAAACTGTACCCCATATGTGCTACCCCACTATAGCCTACAGTAGCTCTGTCATATAAATCTGACAATGACGTGCCCCAAAAATTCTAACCTATCCTGGAAGAACTCGCACTTTGAACCCTTGGTCAGTAATCTGTGCTCGTCTAAAACCTTAAATACTGCTTCCAGATCTGCTAAGTGCTGCTGCTTGTCCCGACTGTAAACTAGGATGTCGTCGAGGTAAACTATCACGCATTTATCTAAGAGCGGCCTAAACGCCTCGTTCATGGTCAACTGAAAAGTCGCCGGTGCGTTGGTCAGCCCGAATGGCATCACGCTGTACTCGAATGACCCATACCTAGTTCTAAATGCTGTTTTGGCGCAGTCCGATGGTTCGACCCGAATCTGGTGGTAACCTCCGCGTAAGTCAATTTTCGAAAAAACCCGTGCTGTTCGCAGTTGATCTATCAGTTCGTCGGCGCGGGGGATGGGGTATCGCGACTTGACTGTTACCCTGTTGAGTGCTCTGTAGTCGATACACATGCAAAAACCCCCGTCTTTTTTCGGTGTGAACAGTATCGGTGCGGCGAACGGTGACGAGCTCGGTCGGATGATTTTTTTCTCTAACAGGTAATCTAACTGCTTCCTCAGTTCGTCGAGCTCGGGCTGTGTCAGTCGGAATTGTCGCTGTACAGTTGGCTGTGCCCCCGGTTCTAACTCTATGCGGTGGTCATGTGCCCGCTGAGGTGGCAGTCCTTCTGGTAAATCGTCCGGAAAAATCCCCGGGTATCGTTTCAACAGTTCCTGTAGTTCGGGTGGTACCGCTGCCAACAGTTTCTGGAAATCGCTCGGCTGCTCTGCTTCTCCTACCAATGCTATATCCACTGCGCACACGTCAGCTCCAGCGGCGACAGCCCGTTTCATCGTGATGGCGTTGTCGTGGACCGTTGAAGACTCGGGCGACTGCCAGCGAGGTAGCACGATCCAGTTACCGCTACTTCGCACAGTGCAGCTACCGTCGTCCAGTCGATTCGCGGGTTATACCGTCGCAGCCAATCACGTCCCAGTAAAATGCCGTGCCCATCCAATGTCGTCGCGAGCATTTCCTGTGTAAACCCAAAGTTCCCCCCGCAACGGACCTTTACTCTCTCCACCCTCTCCCGTATGGCCAGCGTGCATCTATTTCCGGTAAACACCGACTAAGTGTCAGTTGTAGCTTTCGTGCGATTGCGGTATTAACTAAGCTGAGGCTTGCTCCTCCGTCTATAAAGATCTTCACTGCTGCTCCCTGTATTTTCCCGTGAATCAGTACTGGGCAATCCGTCGCTGTACCCTCCTTATTCATCCGAGCCCGATCGATAGCATGAATCGGTACTGTGACTCGGTGAGGGTCGGTGAGGTTGGGCGAGCAGGCAGTCTCGTCAGTAGTTGGCCCGATTCCTACTGACTGCTGGCGTTTCCCTGCCTTGGAGACTCCCTCCCCTGCTCTGCTCCGCGGCGCCTCAGCTCCTCTGGGCACTCACTCTTGCGATGGCCCGGCCTATTGCAAGCAAAGCAGCGCCCCTTGAATGGCGCGGCAGCTGCATTTGTCGCAACGGTATGTACAGTGGCGTGCTCGATCGGTCGCCGAGGACGATGTCCGTAATAGGACCCCGGTCTCGGACGGCGTAAGATATCGATCTTCTCGGCGAGCGCGAGAATCTCGTTGAAATTCGAGAGTCCGCGTAGCATGATTTCGTGCGAGATGTCCGGCTTCAGCCCTCCCACGTAACGGTCCACCCGCTCCGCTTCGTGCATGTAGCCGACTTGCTCGCATAGTGCGAGAAAACCACTCGTGTAGTCTTGAACCGACCCGAGCTGCCGTCAAGTACGCAGTTTCTGACGCGCCGAAATAGAAGCCGCGATCGGCTCGAAGCGCGCCCGAAGCCCTGCGCACCACGCATCCCACGTGTTGTACTGGGCTGTTTCGCAGAATGAACTCCAGGTGACGGCTGGACCCGTGGGCCCTTCCTCTTGCGACGGTGGCTCGTAGGCGCGTGGCGACGTCACGATGACTCGCCACCAGTCCATGGCGGGGCCCCTCAGCAGCGAAACAGCGTAGCGAATCTTCGCTGCGTCCGACTCGACGTAATTCGCATCGAAAAAAACGTTCATCGTGAAGACCCACGACTGAACCGTCGGACCTCCACGTTGGCTCGGATCGAAACAGGGCGGGCGCTGCGGCTTGAGTGGCATTGGTGCCATGATGTCGAGGTTGCCACTTGTTGCTGCAAACTCCACGTGCCGACGAGCGTCGCGAGGCCCACGCGGGCTTGGCGCGGCCCGATTTCTCTCCATGCCAGGCATCGATTGAGCGGCACCATCACTGGCTGCGCCTGAGCGCTGTCCCACACTGTCGTTTTGCGTCGGTGTGCCTGATGAGATGACGATCGGTTCTTCTGATTGCGCAGGTGCATTTGCGGGTGCTTGTGATAGAGCTGGTGCATTCACCGTTGATTGCTGGCGGGCGGAGTCACGTTCCGCCGTGAGTGTCGCGATTTCGAGTGCCGAATCTTCAAGCTGACGCACGAGACGGTCGAGCTGCTCCTGCGTCAATGTCGCAATATTAATTTCGGCCATGGCGGGGGTGTCGGGCAAACTCAGCGGGAGCCTCTGTCGTGGCCGTGCGTGCTTACGAGAGAGCACTTCGAGCGGCGGTGCTTGTTCGCTGAGAGACGTCTACCCCCCCCAAAATATTGAGATAGTGGGGAAGCGAAGGTGTGGGTGCGGTCCGAGGGGAGATCGTAGGCTCTGAATACCAAGTGTTACGAGTGCAATTGAGTGAGCGAGCGAGAATTGCACTATCGAAGCAAAAGTACAATGAGCGAAGGCATGAGCGAAGAATATATAGCGAAACTACAGTGGTAACGGTAATGTGTGGAAAATGGGGTGCGCGACGGGCCTAGCGCCGAGGTTGGGAGATGTCGAGGCGGAGGTCCGGAGCGCGGGTTACCAACCGAACCGTGAGGTTGGGTCGCGTCGTGAACAGTGGCGGGAATGGTGTCGAAGCGAGTGTCGCGAATGGTAACGGATTACTGTTGGGTGCTGTTGGCGGGAACAGTGGTGTACGCGCGCGCTGAGCAGGGACGCGAAGTAAGGAAAAGGGATTTTCCTTAGAAGTATACACTACCAGCAGCGGATTCACTGGGCAAATAACCCTCGGGACTACCTTTGTTCCTCCAACCCCTTTTCCTTCGCTGGCTAGCTTCCCAGTCATATCGCCGCTGAGGGCTATTCTGACAAGCAGCCACACACCGTCTCCGCTCCGCCTTTCACGCAGCCACACCGTCTCTCCCAACCGTCACCGTACATCCGCTCCGTCTTTCGCTCCGTCGCTCGCCTACCACCATGTCTCAGGCTCTGACTCGCTCTGTCCTGCGACGCGCGGAGATGCTCCGCAACGTGTCCTCGAGGCAAATGTCGTCGTCGGCCTCGTCGCACGCGCATGACGTTGGTGAGAAGAGATTTGTCGACCACCTGCAGAGAGCTTCTTCTTTTTTGGATCTCGATCTTTGCGTGAGGTGACCCTTGAGTGGATTCAAAGGTCGCCTTGTCGGCGAGGAGCATTCCTCGTGGATCTCGATCTCTGCGTGAGCAGATACCGTCCTTCAAATCCGTTTTCAGACCAGGCAACGCTGGCATAACGTTGGAGAGGAGCCTTTATCATCTCTCTCTTAGTTCAGTTTTCGAGTCGACTCTTGTGACCTCGTTACCGTAACACAAGGCGCATTATTCTTAAGTAGAAGAACTGCGTTTATACGCACCCGTGTAGGTTATTCCTAGTCTATTCCCATTCGTCGTCCGCGTATTACAAAGCCTAATGTCACCCGCCATGTGTCAGCTTCTCCTATATTGCAAGAACTTTGCATATTTTTCTTTCTTTGTCGGAAAGTCATTTCTTTATTTGTCATCATCTTTCGCGTTTGGTTTCGTTGCGTTCCATTGCGTTTCTCTGCTGCGCTTTGCGTTGCGTTGCGGTGCATTGTGGTGCGTTGCGGTGTTTCATGGTGCGAATGAACAGAGGAGACCATTAAGTGGCGGAACGTCACGGCTGTCGCCATCGTCGGCTGCTTCGCACTGGGCGTCTACAACTTTGCGGGAGCCGCTCACCACGCGAAGCACGACCGACCGGTGGGTGACCCTTCTCATACATTTCGTTTGATTCTCTGAAGTCCTTCAAAACCTACTCATTATGGGTGCTTACCAATAGACAATCTTGCATTGTCATGGGCTGTCACCGGGCTTTACACACAGATGATACGGTGCTTTTGTCGAGTTCGGAATCATTTATTTACTACCAGTGCGCAGCTCTACATTGTGCACAAGAGCTGTCCTCGTGTACAAGGAGGGAGTGTGTCTGACTTTTACATTTTGTCGTTGTGTAGGTAGTGCAGTATCATCTTGTCGTTGTTTCGGCTTACCTATATGGCAAATTCTGCTTCAAACTTTGACCAGCTTCAGATGTAACTTCTACATTGACTCAAGCGTTATAGTTTGACAAGGTTTTGAGGTGTGCATGCAAGCTGCACAGCATACTTCCAAATTACCAGGGAATAATAACCGATTCCATTTTTGCGGTGTTTCTGTTTCTCCCTTGTGGGTGTGGTCACAAATCATTATGCCGTTGCAGGCATACCCCTACCTTCACATTCGCAACAAGGAGTTCCCTTGGGGTAAGAGAAACAAGAACTCCTATCCTACCGTATTCTTTTCAGCCCTTTCTCTCTGTTTCCTGCATTGTATATCTACAGTCCTCGGATGTATAATCTGAATAACCTTCTAAGCTGGTTTGGTCACCCGTCTGCTCTGAACAAACTTGATGTAGTTTTGCCCCTAGCTCTTACCTCACCTTGTGTGCGTTCTGCATGTCTGCAGGACCCTGCGGCCTGTTTGAGTGGGATTGCAAGACTGCCGCGGATGCCAAGTGAAGCATCTTGTAGTGCAAGCTCAAGCGCAGCAGATATACTGTATGGCAGAAGTGTTATAGTCCATGTTGAAGCAAATTCGAATCAGGGTGAAAGTCAAAGCCCAGCTGTTCTCTGGAAAAGGAAGCAGACAATGGCTGTTGGTACTGTGAATAGCAAGGATCATGATTCTTACAGCATGCAGAAGTTGTGAGGCCTTACCTTGCATGCCTTTCTTTCCATGTTGTACACTTACTGAAGCTATTGCATTTAAAGCCCGAGGTCAGCATGGTAAATTTTCAAGTTATGTGGGGTTGAAACAGTCTGGCGAAAATAATAATGTCGTGTATTTCGAAAATGTGTGTGGGGCGAAAGCGAATTCAGGAGGCGGGTAAAACAACCTTCGCCACGATACTATGCGACGGCTGTTTCCAAGGATATGGGAGGGCCGAACGACTCTGTGTGACAGAGCACTGCTCCAGCCCCACCACTGCTGCTGGCGCTTCTCTTGGGGTTGAAATGGTGGGCAACGCGAAACTCACGCGAGTGAGAGTAAGGCAGTACACTGAACACTATTTTTACAATTTCTAATTTACTAAAATGTCTGGATGCTTTTGAGACTTCACTTCAGAAAAAACACAAAATTTCAAGTGCTGAATAGGTGCAGAAAAGCATTGCAAGCAAATCGTGAATAAAAAAAATGAAACATCAATAAACGCATTACCAATACATTTCGGAAACGCACTCTCTCAAGCTCAGATCCCTCAACTCATAAGGATCTCGGCCGGCCACATATCGACATGCCGTGCTGGTCCCTGCAACACTCTGCAGTCCCCCGGCCCACAGCAGCGCAGACCTGACGTGCGCTGCCGCCATCATTTTCTGCCAGCATGGTCTGCCCCCTCCCGCATCAATGCTCCGCGGCATCCTGCTGGGCAGCAGGGGAGGCTGAAGGCAGTTTCGGGAGGAGGCTGCCTCACAGCTCCGCCAGCAAGCCTCAGGGCAGATTCACTCGAAGATCTGCTGGATGCGGTGCTTCGGTGGCCTGCCACGAGGAAGAGGGGGAGCAGAGGGGGAGGGAGTGGGGAGAGAGTGACGCTCATCACTTGTGCCAAGGGATCCAGTCATCGAAGAACTTCTGCATGCGCGTGCGTGTTGCTATGCACCGTGTAGAGAAGGGAAGGGGATGGGGGGAAGCAGGGAAGGGGATGGGGGGAAGCAGGGAGCGGGATGGGGGGAAGCAGGGAGCGGGATGGGGGGAAGCAGGGAGCGGGATGGGGGGAAGCAGGGAAGGGGATGGGGGGAAGCAGGGAAGGGGATGGGGGGAAGCAGGGATGGGGATGGGGGGAAGCAGGGAAGGGGATGGGGGGAAGCAGGTGAGGCAAAGGAGAATATATTGGGGGGTAAACGGAGCTGGTGGGAGTGAGGGAGGTTGGTAATAAAAAAAAGGGGTGTAAACAATTAGGGGGAAGTGAGATCGACAGGGAGAGGGAGTGAGGGGAGTACCCGCTCTCACCCTCTGTCTCTCACTCTCTGGGACACCCCCCCCCCTGTTCCCCCCCCTCCGTCCTTCCCCTGCTGTCTCTCCACCTCTGCCCTTCACCTTCTGTCTCTCACTCTCTGCCCCTCCCCCTCTGTTCCTCCCCCTCCGTCCTTCCCCTTCTGTCTCTCCCCGTCTGCCCTTCACCCTCTGTCTCTCCACCTGTGTCCTTCCCCCCGTGTCTCTCCCCCTCTGTCCTTAGCGAAAAAGGGAGGGAGAGAGGGAAGAGAGAGAGAAAGGCAAGAGAGAGAGAAAGGGAAGAGAGGGAGAGGGAGAGAGGGACAGAGGAATGAAGGTCGAGAGCAAGGTAGGGAGGGACGGAGGGAGAGGAAGAGAGGGGAGAAGGAGGGATGGAGGGAGGAAGCTTGGGCGAAATGAAGAGGCGGGGGCGACGAGAAGAAGCGCGCGCGGGCGACGAGGAGAAGCGCGCGCGGGCGAGGAAGAGAAGCGCGCGCGGGCGACGAGAAAAAGCGCGCGCGGGCGACGAGGAAAAGCGCGCGCGGGCGACGAGCAGAAGCGCGCGAGGGCGACGGTTCAGGGTGCGCGCGCGGGCGACGAGGAGAAGCGCGGGACGGTGGGAAGCGCGGGACGGTGGGAAGCGCGGGACGGTGGGAATCGCGGGCGACGAAGGAAAGCGAGAGAGACGAGTGGGAGATATTGTGACCCGAGCAAGTGTGGGCGACGAGAAGAAGTGCGGGTGTCGCTTTTCCGCCAGTCTCACGAGGGTAACGCGCTCTCGTCATACTAAATCCCTTGAGTGTGGCAACTCATGCCATTTACGAGCATTGCTCGTGTCGTGCGCTAGCACGGGTAGCGTCCCTGGCATGCGAAAGTGGTACGGTGAGCGCATGGCTTGAAGTTGTGCTGGTCAGCGATTGGTCAGACAGCGTGAGTGACTCGTGTTGCAAGGAGAAAGTCGCCTTTACTTGAGCTAGCTTCTATCGCCCTGCCGCGCGTTTCCTAGTACTGTCCCTATTCTAGCAGACTAGTACTACTTGGTCTTCAAGATATGTGAGGTGTGCTCACGGCAATATTGTGGGCGATGGTCGGAGGTGTTGTGCGACTGGGCACGGAAACCAATCAGGAGTGAGGGTCGCAATAGGTTTTCCCTGAGTCGCGAGTTGTTTTTCAAACCAGAGAGGGTTACCCTGTTTTTTGCGACTTCAAGTTCAAGAATCTTGAACTTGAAAAATACCATGCTGTACCCGGGCTTTAAATGCATAGTACAGGGTAAAACAATCTGCTCCGTAATGGTCCAGCCCCTGTACCCCTGAGAAAGCTAATACCATATACATAGGGCATCATATCTCAGTAGTGCTAGTCCTGTGCAGAACGCTCTGTTACAAGCACGTCACCCCTCGAGTCTCGTGAGATGCGGATTTCCTCATCAATGTAGGTGTTGTCAAACCTGTTGGAGTGGCGTGATAGAATAGGAATTTCATCCTACTTGGAGCAGCAGCAACTCGGGCAAAGGTTGGACAACTGGCAACTCGTGCTTCTGAATAAAAGTCTTTCCACCTTTCCATACCATCATTGGCCGAGCCGAGTAGCAGACCAGGTAGGGTCCACGAAGCAGTGATCAATCCAGCATGTAGCAAACTCCGAAGTTACCTTGTTACCGTACAATGGCACACAGAATTCACTGAAGCAGCACATTTCCACTCACCATCCTTGACCAAAGGGTGGGACAGGTAGTGTCCAGGACGCCGTGACCAGCCGAGCACCAGTGAACCTGTTTGATGAGGGGAAGGGGAAGCAAGAAGCGACTTTTGAGTCAACCCGAAAGGGCGGGAGTTGGAACAGGTAGGGTCCACGAAGCAGTGACTAGCCGAGCACCTGTGAACCTGATAAATGCAATCATGGCAAGGCAAGAAAAGGCATGGCTTAGCAGCCCTGAAGAAGCATGCGACAAACAGGGGTAAGAAGGGGAGCTGATAGGATGTAGGACGTTGGAGAGAAGAAACTGACAGAAATTTGACATGTCACACGTGTGAGAGAGGAGGAGAAGGGGGAGAAGAAGAGGTGGGAGAGAGGGAGTGGAACGGAGGGGGAGATGGGAGCGAAAGGGGTGGTTGAGTGGGATGATGGATGCGTGGGGGATACTGATGGAAGGTGATGCGAGCGGAGGCTACTTGGATGGAGGCAGAGACGTTGAACATGTGCGAGGGGGGGAAGGTGATGGTGTTGCTCAGAGTGCCCTTTGCCACGTCTATGGTCTTCATGGCATAGGGTTCCAAGAAGGGGATACTGATGGAAGGTGATGCGAGCGGAGGCTACTTGGATGGAGGCAGAGACGTTGAACATGTGCGTGTGAGGGAGGGAGAGGGGGAGAGGGGGAGAGGGGGAGAGGGGGAGAGGGGGAGAGTGGGAGAGGGAGGATTGGCAGGTGGTGTGTGTGTGGGGGGGGGTGGTGGGGGGGGTTGGGTTTGTGGAGGGACGGTACTGACTGGAAGGTGACGCGTTGATATGAGGCGATTTGGGTGGAAGCAGAGACGTCAAACATGCCCGAAGGGGGGAGACGGGGGATTGTCAGGAGGTGGTGTCTGTGTGTGTGTGTGTCTGTGTGTGTGTGTGTGTGTGTGTGTGTGTGTGTGTGTGTTTGAGGAAGGGGATAACACTGACTGGAAGGTGACGCGTTGTGCGGAGGCGACTTGGATGGATGCAGATACGTCAAACATGCCCGAAGGGGGGAAGGTGATGGTGTTGCTGAGAGTGCCCTTTGCCACGTCTATGGTCTGCATGGCAGGTGGGGTGTGAGAGGGTAACCGAGGAATTAAAGAAGGGGGCTATGGGAGGGTGATAGTGATGGTGTTGCTCAGTGTCCCCTTCGCCACGTCTATGGTCCGCGTGGGGTGGAGGGAGTAAGGGAGGGGGTGAGTGGGAGAGAAAGGGAAGGAGTAAGGGGGGAAGGTGATGGTGTTGCTCAGAGTGCTCTGCGGCACGTCTATGGTTTTCATAGCCTGGTAAAAAAACAGCTGCTTTAAAATGTGTCTCCAGCCATGGTGCCGAAAAAGGAGTTTGAATGGTGGTGCCGAAAAAGGGAGCTATTAACTTGAAATGTGTCTCCGGCGGTGGTGCCGAAAAAGGGAGCCTGCTTGAAAATGAAGAGCGTCTCTTTCTCAGTCGTCCATAGAAGCTTCCACGTGGCACTCAATAATTCGTCAGACGTTGTCACAGGAGCTTCCTTCCGCTCGTCCGCTCTCCCCCCTCCTCCTAGCTTCTCCAGCGATTCAATAGCTGCCAGAATTTCGCGAGTAATCGCCTCGTCTGTTACCACTCCGCGCTCCGACTTCGCAATCGCGGCGCGGAGTCTGGCCTTGATTGCCGCCGCGTCATCCGCGTTAGAAGAGGAATTTGTACCTCCCGTCGCCGAGGCAGTGTACCGAGTTCGGCCGCTTCTCGGCGATTGTAACCGTCTCTTGGAATCTGTTACCAAATTCGGTAATCTTTCGTAACCAATGCAGCTCACAGGACCGGTAATAGGGTTGCTAGTAAGACGTATATGAGCAATATGATTACTGGCGACGCGCGAAGTAGTAAAAGCGGCTCCTAGTGCGTGACGAGGCGGCAACAGCTTAGAAGCACTCGTGGGACCGCGGTTGACGACCATGGACTCCATGGGCCCGTTGATGACGGCTAACCGGCAAAGATGACGACGGACGCGAAATGCCGACGGAATCTGTCTGACCAAGGACTGCTCTACTCGCACATAGACTGACGGAATCCGTTGGCCGAGTGGGTGTGAATGGCGAGCTTCTTCACTTCACGTTTGCGCCCGCAATTGAGGTTTCATAGCCCTCATTCACTACTTTCAACGAGGTTCTAAACGGTTCTGAAAACAAAACACTGAATAACCGTGTGTTTAGTGCGGTTATCTGTCAAAGTTAGGGCCCTGATTCCAGAAATTCCTAAATCATGCTTCGAAGTCAGGAAGGGCCCAAATTTATTTGGGCCTTCCCAGGAGGTTTCGCCTTCTGCTCGGTGTTATGCGTTTTGAAGAGGTACGATTTGTCAGCCGCTCTGGACCGCTCTCTGCTCGCCCGTCTGAACTTTGACACATGAAGTGGGTGAAATTGTACTGGATGATGTCTTCTACGCTGTACACGCGTTTATCTGTAACGAGGATTTCTTAGCCAGCTTGCCCTTCACTGCTGAATTGACCCGGTAAACCGTATTCAAATAGCCTCGTAGCAAGTTTCCCTGAAACCTTCGAGCATTGGGATAACCCGGAAGAAACATTCAGAGTCTCAACGAGTTTCTGTGAAGAAACGTTTGACAGCCACGTGAGCAGCCTGGCCTACAATGAACGCGCATTCATTCACTCTGGCATTTGTGGTCCTGATGAAATTCTTCTCAGCTCAAGCCTATCCTATGTCATTCTCGAGCAGATTATCTGCTCCTTTTACCGGAGGCATTCTTGCAGCCACTGTTATTTGTATGGTTGTTGTTCCGAGCTCCCACTTATTAGATTCCTGCTCGCGAATACGAGCGATTTTCTTCCGTAAATTCGAACTAGCTCTCTTGCTTCCAGAGCGCGCGAAATCAGGAAACGACCCTTTGGTGTCACGTGCTAATCGCTCTGCTTCTCAGTTGTGCTCAGTGTGTCAGCCGGTTAGCATCAACTGAGTCTCAGTTAGCGTCAGTTTTTGTCAGTTAGTCTCAGTCAGCAAACTCTGGAGACTGATTCTGGAGCCGCGATTGTCTTGTTTAGGTTGCAAGAGTGCGAATTGTAGGAACAGTTCCACCGAGTGGTGATTGTAAGGGGCTTGACAGGTGATTCTAACGAGTCGAGAATCACTTGTTGAGTGTGGGAGCTAATCCACCGAACCTGCTCTAGCCACGTCACCTGCCACGTCAGCACGATGCTGAAGAACATGTTCGGCCCGAAGCTGACTCCGCAGCAGCAGCTGCGGGAGTGGCAGCGCAAGCTACGGCAGGAGCAGCGCAACATCGAGCGGAACATCCGAGGTGGGATGGGTTGGGATGGGATTTGATGGGATGTGATGGGATTTGATGGGATAGATGGTAGGGGGAGTAGCAGCGCAAGCTGCGGCAGGAGCAGCGCAACACAGAGCGGAACATTTGAGGTTCGTTGAGATTTGATGGGATGGGATGGGATGTGCTAGGGTGGAGCGGGGTGGACTGGGGTGGGGTGGGATGGAATTGAGTGGGATGGGATTGGGTGGTGTCACGTAGATGGTATGTTTCTGGAGAGCTGTCTTTGAGACGCCAAAAGCAATACGCGGAGCATCTGATGTTTGTTGCTGTGTAACTTGCCTTCAAATAATACACGCCATGGTTATTATTTGAGGTATTGGCACACACCATCATTTCATCAAGGAGATTAAGGTGGTGAATCTGAAGAAGGAGATCAGGGGGCAGTGAAGATACAAAATTATTGAAGATTCAATTAAATAGAAATCAAGTGTTTTCCATCCACCATGTCATCGCTGTATCTTACCGATTCGTCTCCTTCATCCCTCTTCCCTCCGTCCTCCCTCCGTCCTCCCTCCGTCCTCTCTCCGTCCTCTCTCCGTCCTCTCTCCGTCTTCCCTCCGTCCTCCCTCCCCCGTCTTCCCTTCCGTGCCTCCTCCCTCCTCCTTCATTCCTCCTCCCCCTGTCCTCTGTTCTTCCTCCTTTTTCCGCAGAGATCCAGCGAGAGGAGATGAATGCAAAGAAGGCAATCAAGGAGGCGGCCAAGAGGGGCGATCTGGGATCAGCCAAGGTGTGTGGGATGGGAGAGGTGTGGTGTGGTGGGATGGGGTGGGATGGGATAGAATTGGGTGGAGTGGGATGGAATGGGTTTGGGCGGGATGTGTTGGTGAGTGGGGTGGTGGAGCGAGGTGAATGTGAAAGAGGGGAATCAAGGAGGCGTCCAAGAGGGGCGATTTGGGATCAGCCAAGGTGCGCAGGATGAGTGCAATGTGGTGTGGTGCAGTGCAGTGCGGTGTAGTGTGGTGTGGTGTGGTGTGGTGTGGTGTGGTGTGGTGTGGCGTGGCGTCTAGCCAAGGAGCTAGTGGGATCGCGCAATTCCATCAATTTAACGCACATGGCTCATGTAATCCTTTCATAACCAACACTCCCCCCCCCCCCCCCCCCATGTGTGATGAGTCGATTTTTTAGTCGACTAAAAAATCGACTCATCACTTTAACGGACATGGCTCATGTAATCCTTTCGTAACCAACACCCCCCCCCACACCCACCCCACCCCCGATCTCCCACGTCTCTTATCTCCCATCCCATCATCTCGCAAGGCGTATTTTGAGGCGCCTCAAAATACACCTCCGATCTCCCACGTCTCTTATCTCCCATCATCTCGCAAGGCGTTTAGGCAAACGCAAACGCACATGGCTGATGCTAACCCTCCACAACCCTCCCAGTTTTGAGGCGCCTCAAAACTAGTTTAGGCAAACGCACATGGCTGATGCCAACCCTCCACAACCCTCCCCCCCCTTTCCCCATCCCACCCGCCCTCGTCACGCACTTCCCATCCCCCAGCATCTAGCCAAGGAGCTGGTGTTTGTGATAACGCAAGGCTATCGATCGCATGCACGAGCAGAAGGCTCAAATGAACTCCATATCCCCACTCCCCTCCACCTCTCCCCCTTCGTTACCCCGTGTCATTGCAGCATCTAGCCAAGGAGCTGGTGCGATGGCGGAGAGCCATCGGTCGCATGCACGAGCACAAGCATGAGCACGATCTAGCATCATCTCCTTTGTTTCCTCCCTCCCCCCTGCTGTTCGTGTACCATCAATGCAGCATCTAGCCAAGGAGCTGGTGCGATGGCGGAGAGCCATCGGTCGCATGCACGAGCAGAAGGCACAGACGAACTCCCTCTCCTCTTCCTTGTTGGCTCTCCCTTTCACCCCTTCCCCCCCTCACATCTCCAATCCCCCAGCATCTAGCCAGGGATCTTCGCTCATAGTGGAAGAGCAGCAATTCTAAAGAGTGATGCTTAAAGCAACAAAAGGAAACGAAACAGAAATTCTTTCCTGGAAAAACGATCAGTAGAAACCTTAAAACCCTTCACTAACGAGAATCCTTACAACTCAAACTAGTTTCGGCTCACGGGTCTCCAACCCGCTAAGCCTTCATCAGTAAGCTACCAGATCCACAAAAGAAAGAGTTCGGACAGAAGCAGGCTAAGTAGCTAGCAACTGCCCTCGAGATCTACAAATGTACAAACAACTACCCAGAGTGACAAGTCACTCGGCCAGCTAAGCAAATGGGGTACACCCAGGGTGCAAAGTCAGCCCTCGAGAAGGTCTTCGTCAACCAATTCGTTGATGTAACCGCGCGCGCACCAGTAACTTTTGCAAGTTACACGAACACTTCCAAGCTGTAATAATCCTCTCCGTATGAAATCCGCATGCAGTGAGGTGTATTTTGAGGCGCCTCAAAACACATCTCCAATCCCCCAGCATCTAGCCAAGGAGCTGGTGCGATGGCGGAAAGCCATCAGCCGCATGCACGAGCACAAGGCACAGATGAACTCTCCACTCCCCCCCCCTTCGTTACCCCCTGTGCCTGCAGCATCTAGCCAAGGAGCTGGTGAGATCACGCAAGGCCATCAGCCGCATGCACGTGACTCATGTAAACCCCCCTCTTCTCAACCCTCTCTCCCTTCCTCTATTCCTTCCCCTGCTCCCCCAGCATCTAGCCAAGGAGCTGGTGCGATCAAGGAAGGCCATAAGCCGCATGCACGAGCAGAAGGCACAGATGAACTCCATCTCGCTTCACCTGGGGGAGAACATTGGTGAGTGGGGGGTGCAAGAGGAGGGAGTGGACAGGGGGAATGAATGTGGGGGTAGTAGGAGGGATGTGAGCACGTGCAGAAGGCGCAGATGAACTCCATCTCGCTTCACCTGGGGGAGAACATCGGCGAGGGGGGGGATGCAAGAGGAGGGAGTGGGCTGGGGGAATGAATGTGGGGGTAGTAGGGGGGATATGAGCACGAGCACAAGGCTAAGATGAACTCCATCTCGCTGCACCTGAGGGAGAACATCGGTGAGGGGGGGAGAGAGGGGGGAGAAGAGGGGGGGGGAAGAGGAGGGGGGGGGGGGGGAAGAGGAGGGGGGGGGGGGGGGGGGGGGATTGTTTATAGACGTGTGTGAGGGTTGGGGAGAGATTGAATGTTGAGAGGGAGATTGATTCGGAGGGTGTGAGCATGCTCAGGACGCTTAGATGAACTCTATTTCAATGTGCCTGGGGGAGAAACATCGGTGAGTGTGAGGGGGAGGGGGTTAGGAGGGTGCTTGGGAGGAAGGAAGGGAAACAGGGGATGGGCGTGTGGTTGTTGCCATAAGCACGCGCTGAAGGCTCAGATGAACTCCATTTCGCTGTGCCTGGGAGAAGGGAGATGCCTGGGGGAGAACATCGGTGAGCGTGAGGAGGAGGGGTGGGAGTGGGTGGCTCTAATGGGTGGGATGGGGAGGAAGGAAAGGGAGTAGTGGGAAGGGGTTTTGTTGTTGGTGTGAGCACGAGGTCGCGAGCCCAGCTCAACTCCGTGTCGCTGCACTAAGGGGGGAACATTGGAGAACGGAGGGTGGGGAGAGGGGAGGTTGGTGAGGTTGGGAGCGGCAGGGGAGGCTCAGCATTGGCAGCACTGAGAAAGAGGCAGCTGAAAAATATTGCTGGTATGCTATTTGGAGCTTGGCAAGATGCGCTAAGGATGACATGGGTAGCGGCAGGCAGGAGATTTGGAGCTTGGAAAAATGCTTTCAGGATCCAAATCTCCTGCCTGCCGCTACCCATGTCATCCTTAGCGCATCTTGCCAAGCTCCAGATAGCATACCAGCAATTTTTTCCAGCTACCTCTTTCTCAGTGCTGCCAATGCTGAGCCTTCCCTGAGAGATCCACTAGAAAGCAGAACAGAGGGTGGGGAGAGCGGAGGTTGGTGAGGTTGCTGCTCACCGGAAAATGTCCCAAGACGAGCATGGCGAAGGTGGCAAGTGCTGGCACAGGGGTTGAAAATCATCAACGAGTTAAGAGCCCCTGTGCGCGGTGCTGCTTTGCTGAACCTCACACCCTCCTTCTGATCCACTTTTAAGGCGTCTCTTTAAGACCTCACGCCCTTCCTCACGAGTATGGCGAAGGTGGCAGGGCACATGGCCAAGAGCGCAGATGTGATGAAGCTGATCAACATGTGCTCACAATTCGTTCTCTCCCCCAAATCCCCCCCTTGCAATCCCTTCCGACCCCTCCCAAACCCACCAGCCATGGCGAAGGTGGCAGAGCACATGGCCAAGAGTGCAGATGTGATGGCTCTTGGCCATCCACCATGGCAATTCTTACACATCATCTCGTGTAGAAAGAAGATTTTTGAGACGTCTCAAAAATCTTCTTTCTACACATGGCCAAGAGCGCAGAGGTGATGGCTCTTGGCCATCCACCGTGGCAATTCTTACACATCATCTCCTCGTCATGTTGCTTCTCTTGCGTAACATGTGATATCTCTCTGCCTCTCCCGCCAAACCTTTGCTCTCTTCCCCGTGCCTGTGTACTTCCCCGTGCCTGTGTACTTCCCCGTGCCTGTGTACTTCCCCGTGCCTGTGTACTTCCCCGTGCCTGTGTACTCCCCCGTGCCTGTGTACTCCCCCGTGCCTGTGTACTCCCCGGTGCCTGTGTACTCCCCCGTGCCTGTGTACTCCCCCGTGCCTGTGTACTCCCCCGTGCCTGTGTACTCCCCCGTGCCTGTGTACTCCCCCGTGCCTGTGTACTTCCCCATGCCTGTGTACTCCCCCGTGCCTGTGTACTCCCCTGTGCCTGTGTACTCCCCCGTGCCTGTGTACTCCCCCGTGCCTGTGTACTCCCCCATGCCTGTGTACTCCCCCAACCCCTCCAGCCATGGCGAAGGTGGCAGAGCACATGGCGAAGAGCACAGAGGTGATGAAGCTCGTCAGCGGGCTGAGTGGGATGGAATGGGGGGCCTGAGCCCTGTGCTCACATGTAGATCCCTCCCCCAAATCCCCCCGTTGCAATTTCTTTTGACCCCTCCCAATCCCTCTCCACTCCCTCCCAGCCATGGCGAAGGTGGCAGGGCACATGGCGAAGAGCACAGAGGTGATGAAGCTCGTCAGCGGGCTGATTAAAGTGCCGCAGGTGGTTGGTGCTTCTGTGTTGAACCACCCCCCTCCCCCAACTCCTCCTTCTCCCTGGCTCCCCCTGTCCAATCCCTTCCAATCCCTCCCAACCCCTCTCCATTACCACCAGCCATGGCGAAGGTGGCGGGGCACATGGCGAAGAGCACAGAGGTGATGAAGCTCGTCAGCGGGCTGATCAAAGTGCCGCAGGTCGCGGGCACGATGCAAGAATTATCCAAAGAGATGATGAAGGTGCGAGGGTGGGGGAACTGGGAAGAGGGGAGAGGGAGGAGGGAAGAGCCTTTACAGTGGCATTTCAGCAGCTCTAGAAGCATGTGAAGCTCTACGGAGTCATAGGGGGAGGTACGGCTGCTGTGAGCGGAATAACAGCAGCCCTACTGCAGCCCTACTGCAGCCCTACTGCAGCCCTACTGCAGCCCTACTGCAGCCCTACTGCAACCCTACTGCTGTGAGCTCTGTAAAGTGTAAAAGCTGCAGCTCTAGAAGCATGTGAAGCTCTCTACGGAGTCATAGGGGGATGTAGGGCTGCTGTGAGCGGGTTCAGAAGCACATGAAGCTGCCGCGCAGCCAGTCCGGTCAGTCATTGGGTTGGTCTAAATGCCCCTGGTGGTGGGCACGATGCAAGAGCTGTCCAAAGAGATGATGAATGTGAGGGGGGGAGGAGGGGTGGGGAGAGGGAAAAGAGCGCCTGAGCACTCTAAGGGGCACATGAAGCCAATCAACCATTGGGTTGGTCTAAATGCCCCTGGTGGCGGGCATGATGCAAGAGCTGTCCAAAGGAGATGATGAATGTGCGATGGGGAGGGGGAGGGAGGTGAGAAGTGGGAAAAGGGAGCAGCCTTATAAGAGATCCTGCAGCAGTCTCATCAAGGTCCTGCAGGTGGCTGACATTATGCAAGAGCTGTCCAAAGATATGATGAATGTGCGATGGGGAGGGAGCGAAGAGTGAGTGAGGGGAAGAGTGAGAGAGAGGGAGAGAGAGAGAGAAGCGGAAGGAGAGGGACTACTACCGACACACTGAACACGTGGTGTTCTGCGCCCTGGCCGTTGAGACCTATGGGGCAAACGCGCCCCCCACGACGGCGTTCCTGAAGCTGCTGGCCACAGCAGCAGCTAGGAACCGCTTCAGGGCCAGCCCCTTGGCGAAATCCGCCAAGAAGATGGCCTGCCACTTCAGCCAGCGCTGGTCAGTGGCCCTCCAGCGCTCCCAGGCGAACGCCCTGCACACCAAGGCCAGGGCTGGGATTGAGGCAGCGCACCCCCAGATGGCAGCGGACCCCTGGCCGCTGCACCTGGGGGACATCCTCCACACGCTGGAGGGCTAGAGGGCCTCTCAGGGGAGGGGAGGGGATGAGGGGCGAGTTGATGGGCTTATGGGATCGAGGTTATCATGTATAGAACTGCATATCTGTACCCCTGCTGAATTAATACAACGGACCATTTGAGAGAGAGAGAGAGAGATGGAGGATGAAATGGAAGGTGAGATGGGAAACGAGAGGATTACAACGCAGCCCACTTGATAAAGAAAAAGATGTATTTTTGAGACGTCTCAAAAATACATGAGATGGAAGAAGAGAGGATCGCAGGGAGTTTTTGAGAATCCATGAGAGGGGAAAGATACATGAGATGGAAGAAGAGAGGACTGCAACGCAGCCCACTCACCTCCAACACAAAACCGTCCTTCATCTTCCCCCCCTTCTCCTCCTTTTTCAGGCTGGTCTTATAAGTGAGATGCTTGAAAAGGTGCTGGACAATGCTTTGGACACGGAGGAGATGGAGGATGAAATGGAAGAGGAAAGGAGCACAACCCAATTTCCCCACCTTTCCTCTGTTTTTCCCTTCGTCCTTCCTATCCAGGCTGGTCTTATCAGCGAGATGCTGGAAGAGGCAGTGGACGATGCTCTAGACACGGAGGAGATGGAGGGTGAAATGGAGGAGGAAGTAATAAGGTTCCTGATGAGCTGGAGGAGAGGATCACAACCCGATTTTCCTGCCTTTTCCCCTCTGTTTACCTCCTCCTCTCCCTGTCTTCCTGTTCAGGCTGGTTTAATCAGCGAGATGCTGGAAGAGGCCGTAGACGATGCTCTAGACACCGAGGAGATGGAGGATGAAATGGAAGAGGAAGTGAACAAGGTTCTTGATGAGCTGGCGACGGAAGCTACTGCACAGCTTCCCACGGCGGTGCGGCAAAAGCAGCGGGCGGCAGAGGCAGCAGGGGTGGAGGAGGAGGATGAGAGGGTGCCTCAGATGGAGATGGGGTTGGGAGCGGACGATGAGGCGGAATTGGCTCGGCTTAAAGCCAAGTACAAGTGAAGTGGTGCTGGTGGTGGTGGCGGTGGTGTTTGGTGGGAGCAGCAGCAGCAGTAGAAGCAGTAGCAGCAGGAAAAAAACTTAAGTGGCAGTAGGTGAGGAGGAAGAGAAATTTAAGATGCCTCAAAACTATTGGTATCAGTAGCAGCATTTGTAACAATAATGGCGTGAGGGGGACAGGAAGAGAAGGAAGATATGCTTTAGGTAGTCACTGGGGCAGGGAAGACGCAGGGGAAACATTACTAGTTGGAACAGTAGCAGCAGCAGACGCCACAGCAATGGCATGCAGAGGTGAGAATGGGAGCAATAAAGCGGCCAATTAATGGTCAATGGCTTAGGTGGAAGTTGCTGGAGAAGCTGTGGTGGCTGATACTGGTAGCAAATGATTTGTTTGCTGGCATTTTACTGGCAGGCCATTGTAAAGCCGATTGTTGGGGGCAGGATGTCTTGTAGTATTAGTACAATGTCAATTACAATATCATAGGTCAACAAGAATTCTCCACTCATCTCAACGTATCAATCTCCAATGCTTGCACCTGTTGGAATCAACTGACCACCCACGCCAACAAACACATCACCAGTCGTTCCCAGTCCAGCAAATGGGAACGATGAACCTACCCCATTTGTTGCGGCGGTAGTGGAGACACTAGACCCAGCATACACTGTGGGCAGTGTGGGGTTAGTTGCACTTGCTTGGGACATTGAATTGCCCTGAAAGCTTGAAGCATAACCCATGCCATCTCCCACTCTGCTTCTCTGACTGTTTGTAACTCCCAGGTTGTTGATGCTCCCAGCATTGGCGTCCTGCTCAAAGAATGTGGCTCCTGACCCTCCAAGAACCTGCTTCCTGGAGGCCAGTGCCCGCAACGGAAACAGCTGGCCCAGCAAAGAAAACGCAAGACCAATGTTATCCACTGCTTCAGTGTTTCTGATACCAGTATCAGAGCCGTCATTCTGATAACCAGTTCCAAAATGTGGTTCATAAAGTCGCTGGTTTATTGAAATCGATGACCATAAGTGGGTCAGGCGCTTCCAAGGATGCCGTGAACGCTGTTGAAGCGTCTGCAAATAGAGAGGAGCCAGTTAGAATGGGGAATCTCAGAAAACACATCTTGAAACACTCTCAGACAAGATATCAGTCCACCCATCCACTGTCCCGCCATCCACTTACTGCACCCAGTGACCCGGATTGCACTCTGTGGCTGGCAGCATCAGTTTCTTCAACACGAAGATTTACGTTGGTAGCAGCCAGCTCTCCGGCAAAGGCTTTGAAGTGGGGTAAGGACCCGGGTACTGAAGTACTTTGATGGCAATTCGCATCTGGTTTGATGTCTCGGGGAACATCACGAGATGGCAAGCTCCGTGCATGCACGCTCACAGAGAGACTGCGAAATGTTACGGAAGGTGGGAAGAAAGTATTGAACCACAATAAGAAATCGCAGCGAGAAAAGTTTCAAAGATGGCGTAAAAATGCGCTGCCGTCAAACAACAGAACGGACTGAGAACGTACTGAAGAATGATCAGGATGATTTGAAGAGCTGCCGCGCAGCTCAAGAACGATGGAGCCATTCGGAGGAATCAGACGACGCACGTCGGAATAAAGACGAGGCTCGACAACTGAAAATAAAGAAAGCTGGTGTGTATGAAGACTGAGCCAGTGAACTCCGTATAAAAAGGCCAACAGCAAGCGGCAAGGAGGCGTTACGCCACGTCGTTTCCGAGTCATGAGTCTTGGATAAGGAGGGCGAGTGGAAGCTAAGATTAGCACAAGCTTTTTTTCTTTTTTTTCGTGGGAAACGCCGCGAGCCAGCGCACAGGCTCCTTGAATCCATCCGAGGATGCTAATCTTGCTGATTCCAAGAAAGATGCGCGTCGTTCAAGGCACCGTGATTACAAAACGTGAGACCCGTGTAGCTTGCTGTTTGGCATCTTGAGTGGATAGCACAACACCGAAATGAACGTTGACCAGATTCAACAGCCATGGATGACAGGTGACAGGAAGAACGATAAATTTGAGGGTATGCGTCCGTGAAGGATGATGAGTCAAGGATGATGAGATATTTGGCATTATTCACCTTCCTGCGGTTGAGGGCGTTTCCTCGCCTGATAAACGGTTTTCCTTAGCTTTCAGCTCGGTTGATGGATGATGGATAGCCGAGGTCAAGCAAGCTCAGGGCGCTCAGGGTCACGTGAACGGCCTATCTTTCAACAACCATCATGGCCAGCCAGCGAAATGTTACCAATGTTTTTGTGTCGCGGAAGGTTGGGAGAAATGTCGTGAACGCCCAGAAAGTGGCAGGTTGTACAAGGACATCACCTTCCTACGATTCAAAGCATTTCTGTGCGCTTGATAGCGGCTATCAGAAAGCTAGAGTGGTTTAGTAGGGTGAAGTCATCACGAACTCTCAAAACACACCGCAAATCCATTCACTCCATGGATCTCGCCGAAGCGTGAAAAAACGCATCTGTCGGTGAAGCTAGACTCTTATCCTCCCCTCCCAACGTCATCGCACTATCATTTAGCATCTTCCTCCCACTTCTCTCCCTCTCTTTCTCGCTCACGCCTTTCCGCGTTTGGGGTATCTTGGTACAACTTATCCGCATTCCACGCTTCCTCACGTGCTGCGCATCACATGCATAACGGATCGGCCCAGCGCATACTAGCAAATCGTTTCGAGCTAGCGCAATTTACGCGTCATCTCTCCTCGCGGAGTCAGGAAACCAGAGCGCATCCTCAAACCTACACCGTTCCGAGCATTGTTTCCTACGGAGCTGACGCAACACGCCCGACAGACAGCCATGTCACCAATAAACGCCGCTGCTGACGTGGCGAGTCTGACGATTCGCGACTTCGTAATCTCCCTCCTCCGCTGCTTCTGGGCAATCATCGCTCTCCCAGTCATCCTCGCGCTCCTGCCTCTCCCCGTGCTTACTCCCCTCCGCCATCTCATGCGGATTCTGGCCGGTCGAGGAATCACCCAAAGCGGCTCTTCCAGCAAACCCGTGAAATCCCCCGCGTCGTCGAGATTTGCCTCTCTCCGGGTGAGTTGAGTTAGTTTTAGTTTCCAGTCGTCTCAAAACTCAAAGTCTAGCCGGACGAGGAATCACCCAAAGCGGTCCTACCAGTAAACACGGAACGTCTCCTGGCGTCACCGATATTCGCCTCTCTGCATGTGAGTTGTATTGGTTCTAAGTCGCTTCAAAGCTCAAAGTCCTGCTGGGCGTGGAATCACCCAAAGCGGTCCTACCCTCCAAAGAGGCGTGGAATCACCCATATCCCAATCCCTTTCTTCCTCTCTCTCCCGTCGCCTTTCTCCTTCTTCTCTCATTCTCTCATTCTCTCCTTCTCTCCTTCTTCCCAAACCATCCCTGCCAGCACATGACCTTTTTCCATCGCTACTTCTCCCACTTTTACATCCCCGGATTCGCCTTCAACCTTGCACTGCTCGCCTTCGCCCTCACTGCTCCCTCTCCTTCCCCCCCTCTTTTTCTCTCTTTTCCCCTCTTTTCTCCTCTTTTCTCCTACCGTTCCCCATCGCTGGTTCTCTCACTTCTACATTGTCGGACTTTCCTTCAACCTTGCACTCCTCGCTCCCATTCTCTCCCCCCTCTCCCTCTCCCTTTCCTTCTCCTTTTTCGCTCCCCCTTCTTGCCCAAACCATTCCTGCCAGCACATGACCGTTCCCCATCGCTGGTTCTCCCATTTCTACATGGTCGGATTCGCCTTCAACCTTGCACTCCTCATTCTCGCGCTCACTGCTCTTCTTTCTTCTCTCCTTCTCCCCCTCCAATCCCAACCTCCTCTCAACAGCAACTCACAGTGCCTCACCGCTGCTTCTCTCATTTCTACATGGTCGGATTCGCCTTCAACCTTGCACTCCTCATTCTCGCCCTCTCTGCTCCCTCGCATGTAACCTCATTCCTCAACACTGAACTTCGTATAAGCTTCAGTGCTCTCAGCAGCAGCAGCGGTAACAGCAGCTATAACAGCAGCAGCGAAAGCATCGCTACAAGCACACCTGGCACCACCACCACACCCACCAGCAGCGTTCAAGCATTGCAGCGTCTGCTGCACCGAGCACCTGTTCACTCGCTCCTCTTCCATCTGCATCTCGCCAGACGTCTATGGGAGTCTACAACCCTCTCTGTCTCCCCAACATCGTCTCACATGCACGTCTCAGCCTACCTCCTCGGCCTCTGGTGAGTGCTGTGTGCACGTGGCTCGTCTCATCATACCTCATTGGCCTATGGTGAGTGACTGTCTATTACTCCCTTCTGATCGACTATGGGAGTCTACAACCTTCTCTGTCTCCCCACCATCGTCTCACATGCACGTCTCTGCCTATCTCCTTGGCCTCTGGTGAGTGGACTGTGGGCGGTATATGAGTTTCAGTGGACAGGGAAAGACCGGCAGCATCATATCCCCGCTATAGAAGAGAATGCACTTTGCCAGACTGCTGCGAGTGGGAGGAGTCCATAGTCGAAACTGCGTCAGCTGCTGCACTGAGTGCCTTTTGAGTCGACTCAAAAGTCACTGAGTGCCTGTCCACTCGCTCCTCTTCCATCTGAGTCGAGTTTTGAGTCGACTCAAAACTCGACTCATTGCACCAAGTGCCTGTCCACTCGCTCCTCTTCCATCTGAGTCGAGTTTTGAGTCGACTCAAAACTCGACTCATTGCACCAAGTGCCTGTCCACTCGCTCCTCTTCCATCTGAGTCGAGTTTTGAGTCGACTCAAAACTCGACTCATTGCACCAAGTGCCTGTCCACTCGCTCCTCTTCCATCTGAGTCGAGTTTTGAGTCGACTCAAAACTCGACTCATTGCACCAAGTGCCTGTCCACTCGCTCCTCTTCCATCTGAGTCGAGTTTTGAGTCGACTCAAAACTCGACTCATTGCACCAAGTGCCTGTCCACTCGCTCCTCTTCCATCTGAGTCGAGTTTTGAGTCGACTCAAAACTCGACTCATTGCACCAAGTGCCTGTCCACTCGCTCCTCATCCATCTGAGTCGAGTTTTGAGTCGACTCAAAACTCGACTCATTGCACCAAGTGCCTGTCCACTCGCTCCTCTTCCATCTGAGTCGAGTTTTGAGTCGACTCAAAACTCGACTCATTGCACCAAGTGCCTGTCCACTCGCTCCTCTTCCATCTGAGTCGAGTTTTGAGTCGACTCAAAACTCGACTCATTGCACCAAGTGCCTGTCCACTCGCTCCTCTTCCATCTGAGTCGAGTTTTGAGTCGACTCAAAACTCGACTCATTGCACCAAGTGCCTGTCCACTCGCTCCTCTTCCATCTGAGTCGACTTTTGAGTCGACTCAAAACTCGACTCATTGCACCAAGTGCCTGTCCACTCGCTCCTCTTCCATCTGAGTCGAGTTTTGAGTCGACTCAAAACTCGACTCATTGCACCAAGTGCCTGTCCACTCGCTCCTCTTCCATCTGAGTCGACTTTTGAGTCGACTCAAAACTCGACTCATTGCACCAAGTGCCTGTCCACTCGCTCCTCATCCATCTGAGTCGAGTTTTGAGTCGACTCAAAACTCGACTCATTGCACCAAGTGCCTGTCCACTCGCTCCTCTTCCATCTGAGTCGAGTTTTGAGTCGACTCAAAACTCGACTCATTGCACCAAGTGCCTGTCCACTCGCTCCTCTTCCATCTGAGTCGAGTTTTGAGTCGACTCAAAACTCGACTCATTGCACCAAGTGCCTGTCCACTCGCTCCTCTTCCATCTGAGTCGAGTTTTGAGTCGACTCAAAACTCGACTCATTGCACCAAGTGCCTGTCCACTCGCTCCTCTTCCATCTGAGTCGAGTTTTGAGTCGACTCAAAACTCGACTCATTGCACCAAGTGCCTGTCCACTCGCTCCTCTTCCATCTGAGTCGAGTTTTGAGTCGACTCAAAACTCGACTCATTGCACCAAGTGCCTGTCCACTCGCTCCTCTTCCATCTGAGTCGAGTTTTGAGTCGACTCAAAACTCGACTCATTGCACCAAGTGCCTGTCCACTCGCTCCTCTTCCATCTGAGTCGAGTTTTGAGTCGACTCAAAACTCGACTCATTGCACCAAGTGCCTGTCCACTCGCTCCTCTTCCATCTGAGTCGAGTTTTGAGTCGACTCAAAACTCGACTCATTGCACCAAGTGCCTGTCCACTCGCTCCTCTTCCATCTGAGTCGAGTTTTGAGTCGACTCAAAACTCGACTCATTGCACCAAGTGCCTGTCCACTCGCTCCTCTTCCATCTGAGTCGAGTTTTGAGTCGACTCAAAACTCGACTCATTGCACCAAGTGCCTGTCCACTCGCTCCTCATCCATCTGAGTCGAGTTTTGAGTCGACTCAAAACTCGACTCATTGCACCAAGTGCCTGTCCACTCGCTCCTCTTCCATCTGAGTCGAGTTTTGAGTCGACTCAAAACTCGACTCATTGCACCAAGTGCCTGTCCACTCGCTCCTCTTCCATCTGAGTCGAGTTTTGAGTCGACTCAAAACTCGACTCATTGCACCAAGTGCCTGTCCACTCGCTCCTCTTCCATCTGAGTCGAGTTTTGAGTCGACTCAAAACTCGACTCATTGCACCAAGTGCCTGTCCACTCGCTCCTCTTCCATCTGAGTCGAGTTTTGAGTCGACTCAAAACTCGACTCATTGCACCAAGTGCCTGTCCACTCGCTCCTCTTCCATCTGAGTCGAGTTTTGAGTCGACTCAAAACTCGACTCATTGCACCAAGTGCCTGTCCACTCGCTCCTCTTCCATCTGAGTCGAGTTTTGAGTCGACTCAAAACTCGACTCATTGCACCAAGTGCCTGTCCACTCGCTCCTCTTCCATCTGCATCTCTCCAGGCGGCTGTGGGAGTCCACCACCCTCTCCTCCTCACCACCCTCCTCCCGCATGCACGTCTCAGCCTACCTGCTCGGCCTCTGGTGAGTGTATTGTCTGTCCCTACCTACCTTCTGGAGATGGTATGGGTTTCCAAGCATTGCAGCGTCTGCTGCACCAAGTGCTGCACGGGGCACCTGTCCACTCGCTCCTCTTCCATCTGCATCTCTCCAGGCGGCTGTGGGAGTCCACTGCCCTTTCCCCCTCCCTCCCCAACATCGTCTCACATGCATGTCTCTGCCTACCTCCTCCTCCCCATCCCACCACCATCCCCTCCCCCCCTTTCCCAACCCGACCACCATCTAGCACATTGCTGCTCCACTTTCTTTCTTCCTCGCCAGTTCCCTATTCTTTCATCGCCATCACTATTTCCCCGCTTACTCCCCTCCCCCCCCCCTCCCTCCTCCCTACAACCAGCTAGTACATCGCTGCTCCGCTCTCATTCTTCCTTGCTGCTCGTCCTGCTCTGCCCTCCTCTGCTCCACCATGCCTCTCCAATACCAGCTACTAAGCCGCTGCTCCTCTCCCCCCGCCCCTCTCCCCCCGCCCCTCCCCCCCTTTCCCAACCCCACCACCAGCTAGCACATTGCTGCTCCACTCTCTTTCTTCCTCGCCAGTTCCCTATTCTTTCATCGCCATCACTATTTCCCCGCTTACTCCCCCCCCCTCCCTCCTCCCTACAACCAGCTAGCACATTGCTGCTCCACTCTCTTTCTTCCTCGCCAGTTCCCTATTCTTTCATCGCCATCACTATTTCCCCGCTTACTCCCCCCCTCTCCCTCCTCCCTACAACCAGCTTGTACATCGCTGCTCCGCTCTCATTCTTCCTTGCTGCCCGTCCTGCTCTGCCCTCCTCTGCTCCACCATGCCCCTCCAATACCAGCTACTAAGCCGCTGCTCCTCTCCCCCCGCCCCTCTCCCCCCGCCGCCCCCCCCCCCCCCCCCCCCCTCCCTCCTCCCTACCACCAGCTACTACATCGCTGCCCCGCTCTCCTTCTTCCTTGCTGCCCGTCCTGCCCTGCCCCTTTTGAGACGTCTCAAAGCTCTCCTTCTTCCTTGCTGCCCGTCCTGCCCTGCCCCTAGTTCTTTCATGACCACATCGCCCACCCCCTTCCCCCCTCTCCTCCTCTCCCTCTCCCCCCCCACCAGCTACTACATTGCTGCACCACTCTCCTTCTTCCTTGCTGCCCGTCCTGCTCTGCCCTGCTCTGCCCTGCTCTGCCCTGCTCTGCCCTGCCCTCCAACCTGTCTTCCCCATCACCATCACCTCCCATCCCCACCCATCCCCTTTCCTCCACCCACTCCAACCCCCGCTTTACTCCCCCCCACCCCACTCCACCACCAGCTACTACATTGCTGCTCCGCTCTCCGTCTTCCTTGCTGCTCGTCCAGTCACGCCCTCCGACCCGTTCCAGTCATCACCATCATTATCACCGTCCCTTACTCCTGAGACGTCTCAAAAGTCCTCCGACCCGTTCCAGTCACCATCATTATCACCTTCCCTTACTCCCCCCCCCACCCCACCCCACCCCACCAGCTACTACATAGCTGCGCCGCTCTCCGTCTTCCTTGCTGGCCGTCCAGTCTCACCTTCTGAACCGTTCTCCACCACTGGTGCTGATGTCATAAGCATAGCATGCCTTATTGTTGGAGCAGCAGTGTTCGCATGGGGCAACCTGCACCAGCACCGCTGCCATGCGATTCTGGTGAGCCCTCTGAACCGTTCTCCACCACTGGTGCTGATGTCATAAGCATAGCATGCCTTATTGTTGGAGCAGCAGTGTTCGCGTGGGGCAACCTGCACCAGCACCGCTGCCATGCGATTCTGGTGAGCCCTCTGAACCGTTCTCCACCACTGGTGCTGATGTCATAAGCATAGCATGCCTTATTGTTGGAGCAGCAGTGTTCGCGTGGGGCAACCTGCACCAGCACCGCTGCCATGCAATTCTGGTGAGCACCACTGTGCATCTTGATGTACCGCACTGCACCACCACCAAGTGCTTTTGGGTGTTCGCGTGGGGCAATCTGCACCAGCACCGCTGCCATGCGATTTTGGTAAGCTACACAGTGAGGAGCAAAGCATTCAGTGTTGATATGCCTACACTGAGGTGCCTCAAGGTCCCGTGGAGTGTGTTCGCGTGGGGCAATCTGCACCGGCACAGATGCCATGCCATCCTGGTGAGCGCCACTACCACACTGCACCGCTACCAAGTGCTTTTGAAGCACCGTCAAGTGCTTTAAACTCCAATGATTTTTTTGCATATCCTTGCAAAATATCTCTGGTATCGTACCCATGGAAATGCCAGAACTCCTTCGTGCTTCAACGAGGCAGGTTCACGCATTCTCGCCCACACTCGTTCCTATGCCTCCCTACTCTCTCCCCCCTTCCCTTCCTTTCCCTCCTCTCTCCCTCTTCACTCGTCCAGGCCAGTTTGAGGCAAGGGGGCAAAAAAGGCTATTTCATACCTCAGGGGGACTGGTTCATTCACGTCTCATGCCCACACTACTTAGCAGAGATTGTAAGTGTTTCTAATACTGGTAAAAACCAGTAAGCGCTCAAAGAAACTGCAATGCCTGTAACTGTTCATCAAAGCTGATACAGTCTGTACAGTCAGCCTTTGCTGATGTTGTCGTTTCTTACACATGAGGTATACTTAGGCTTAGTCTTGTAACTTTGATGACAAGTGAAACAAGTCAGCGTCAATAATATCCTCTCTCTCGCTCTCGCTCTCGCTCTCGCTCTCGCTCCTCTCTCTCTCTCTCCCACAACCAGGTGATATACTTGGGTTTACTCCTATCACTTGGATCCAGGATACTTGACTCAACATTGCTGCTCATGTTTGCGTGGGTGGTAAGTACAACCTTTTCTTACACACTCGGGTGTAGACGAAATTGCTGTGCTCTCTCCGTGTTTTGATGGCTTTATATGCACTGCACTCCATGCTGCCGCTCATCTTTCCATGGGTGCTATGTATATCGGTAGTTTTTCTTTGTGTTTGGTATGATATGCTGACATGCCGACCCCATTTTAGGGGTACTGTGTAGTGGGCATGCACGCACATCAGCACACTTCTTATGGATTCGCATCGCATTGTGTGGGTGTTTTGGTCTGGTTGTCCTTGTGCTGCTCCTCTTCCCCTTTCTTCCATTTCATTTGTATCCGCTGTCTTTTCTCTCAAACGTATGGCATGTCGTCCTGCAGGTTTCCAACTTGACTTTATCTGCATTAGAAACCCATGAACGCTATATCGCAAAATTCCCTGACTATCCGCAGCTCAGAAGGGCTATATTGCCATGTATATTATAGCAAAGGCACATTAACACATGCCACATAGTACCAGTAGATTCAGAAGTGGTTTCGCCTGTTTGTAGCGGGTGCTTTGTAGCTGCAAAACTTGCCATGTTGGAAGGTATTTCAAAACATGAGGTACATAGTATCATGGCAGATGCGGGACAGGAGAAATTCAAACCAGTTGGCATATTCATTACAATTGCAACAAGTTAACAAGCACTATTGACAACCGAGTCCTAACTAGGACAGAAACAGGTGGATACGCAGGAGGGTGATGGATGAAGATTGATATGGAAGCGGGTGGAATGGAGTATGACTGATGGCGAGAGGTGACGCGACGAGAACGTGACTGACATGCCTAATACGGTCTTTCCCGACTTTAGTATTGAGAAATCTTAGCCCTAATTGCAAGGCTAACTCATCTCTGCTCCATCTTCCTGAGCAGTCAATCCGCACAAGGTCTTGAGAGAAGATGACACAACCGTCATCTCATTACAATGACTTGTGATACACGGTGGTGCTTTGTTACCCGCCAGCCAGCAAGCCGATCAGTGGTGGTGGCCGGGAATACCTCCTGGGCCAACGACCTTCAGCTGCAGGCAATGAAGAGAAATAGGGTAACAAGCGAGAATAACAGGTTACGGTATTAGCACTTCTCACAATGGCGATGCCGACCAAAGAATCAGATGGGATGGTCTGGGAACACGACGTCAATGGTGTTACAAATAATCACATATAAGAGGAAAAAATCCAGAAAGAAAAGACGGGACAGAATGGAGCTTGAAGGCGTTGTGCGAATAATGCAAACAAAACTGTTCCTGCCACCATTATCACCTTAAAGACTTGACCGCAGACGCTGCAGGAGTGGTTGGAGTCCTTTGCCAGCTTGAACCACACGACATCATGCTCCTCCTCTGCTCAAGGTTAGAAGAGGAATCGTGAAGGTGAAAGGGAATGGAGAATGGAGAATGGTGAAGGAATCGTGCTCGTGCTCATCCGCTATGACAGACGCAATATATTGCGGAACGACTAAGTTCTTTTATGAGCCTGACCCAGCCTACATCATGCCGGGCTTTGGTAGACGGTCGGGTTACGGGAACACTGTCAGGGAAACTGTCTGAGACATGGACCGAGAAACGGGGTTGAACAAGAAACACGATAGATTTTGGCCCCTCAAAAGGACGTCACTTGAAGAATCACTCACCGCCAACCCCGCCAGAGCAGCCAACGAGACGCTCGTCGAACTGAGCCTCCACAATCGCAGGAGCATCCTGAGTAAAAAAGCATGACAGAGACGAAAAATAACAAAAATCAGAACATTATGAGATCAAAAAAGATAATGACTCCGATGACATGCCGTGCAAAAGAAACACGCAAGGGTGACTGCGTAAGCTACGCGCAAATTCCATCGGACTCTCAAGGTCCAATGCCTCGAGGTTTGGTGAGAGGTAGTGTGTACAGCAGCAAGGAAGACAGACCAGCCATGAAGGAAAATGTTGAACCATTGTGTGTCTTTCAGCAAACCATTGAAATGGCGAAAAACGACACATTTTTACAGGTTCACATAAGGTTCCTACAAGGTACCTCTGTTCCGAAGGGACCGCGAGGAGGCTCCAGCTCGAAGCGCTCCTTTCCCTGCAGTAGAGAAAGCAGACCAGAACCGGCTTGCAAACGGTTAACAAAACGCTCGCAATGATACGTGGCAGAGAGAGAATGAAAAAAAAAAGCCTACGAGACTGAAGTTGGCCCGATCTAAAATCAAGAAGCCTTATTCCCCATGGAAAAAAAAAATGACGTAACCCAGAAATGTAACGCAATACAACTTCGCTGTGTCTAATCAGCCTGACTCTACTTCCAGCTCCGCAGTTCCTCCCTCTCAAAAAATGATGTTTCTACAAAGGATCGAAGTGTCTAATTATTATTGTAGAAAAAGGCGTACCTCCAGCTCAGCAGCCAGCTCCTCCCTCTCGAGTCCAGTAGCATGCTCCAGATCATCAGAAACGTCCTTCGTGGCCACTGCATTTTGTAGATTAAAGGAATAATAGATATTAGGTCGAAATCTACATATTAATCTAGACGTAGCTCATGGTAACCTTTAAACACCGAACCCAAAAGATCTACACCAAAGAAAGTATCTCATTATCTAACTTGTCTCTGTTTTTTCCGATCCTAACCCTAACCTGCGGGGGAGGCTGCGCGGAGGGCGAAGGGGGTCTGGGAGAGCCATCCGCTGTGAACGAGCCTGTCTGTAACGCTCCGGCCCGCACCAGCCGGCGCACTCTCTGCAACGAGGCTATTCCATGCGGGGAGCGCGGCGGAGCGGCTGCGCTGAAGCGATTGGCGCGCAACCAGCGACAGGCGAGCGCCGGCTTGCCTCCACATGGTTATGAATTTGTGCTAAGGAGAAGGAGATGGGTGCTAAGGAGTGCTACGCTTAATGCAAGCCCTAGAGCGTGTGTAAGAGCACGCACGCGAAGAAGGAGCTGGATAACGATGATCCAGAAGCCCGTGCAAGCTTCAAGAAAGGCCTAGCCTTCAAGAAGCAGGAACCTAAAAGCTCTGTAGGGAGCTAAAGGGGTAGAAGCAGAAAGTGGGGGTTTGTTGGGATGAAGTGTGGATGTGAAGCTGGAAAAATGAGGGAGCAATTAGTTACCGTACGGATTATCGCGGTTCAAAAGTTTATAACCAGAAAGAACATCTGTGCACCGCATTAGACCGACAGATTATACTGTAGACGATCATGTCTATGATTTGCGGGGAAAGATCAGAGGGAAATTCTGTGGCGGGGGGATGAGGGTGATGGTGGAAGGGAAAGGAAGGGGGAAACAGGGAGACTATCTGAAGGGGGAAGAAGTGTGGAGGAAAGGTGAACGCGCTTGCTAGGGCGGAGGGGGAGGAAGGGGGGGGGATCTCTTCGTTATTGACATGCTTCGGGAATCTTGTTACAGTATTGGATTTGGGGCTCGGAATTTGTGCCCGCTGCGTGTAGCGAGTGAGCCAAAATGCAAGCTTGTGTGGCTTTTTTTCTGCAAATGGGAATCGAGTCCAGTGGTTTCGGAGGATTTTGGAAGCTCCTGACCAATGGTGGTGGGCAAAGTGGCAACCAGTGTGCTGCAAGCCACATGCGAGCTCGTGCCCGCCTGTGCTTTTACATACTGATCCGCTCTAACCAGCTCCTTTACGCAATACGTTTGGTACACCGCAAAAAACATCTGCTATAAAGTTGAACTAGAAGCTGAAGATCTTGAATACGTGGCCAAGCCATCCAGAGGCCAACACGCGTCAGCCCTAGAACCACGAGGAGATTCCACCAGGGAAAGTGACGAGTGGATGGTAATGAAACACGGCAACTTCGAGGTCACACCAGAGTCCCTTTCACCAGAGTTTTCCACCACTCTATACCCACTCTAGATTCCTGAGGTTTGCAGATGCTGGAATTCCAAACATCAGAAAGGGAAAGTACATCCCAGCTCCTTACTTTCAGAATTCTCTCACATTTATCCCCAGGTTTACTCAAAAGTATGAATTTCAGGGATTTCACTCACGCGAGGCCCAAAGTATGTTCAAAACTGGTCCTGCGGAGCAAACTTTTCGACACGTGTCCATTTTTGCGTCGGTTTTTTTTCGACGGGGTAAAAAACATAAAACTCCTAGGGAACCAGGACACATTTTCGGGAGGGATCAACCCTAAACACCAAGCGAGTCTCCGTGTTCAGGGTTGATCCTTCCCGGAAATGTGTCCTGGTTCCCTAGGGGTTTTATTTTTTTTACCCCGTCGAAAATGAACTGACGCGAAAATGGACACGTGTCGAAAACTTCCCCCTGGAGGACCAGTTTTGAACATACTTTGGGCCTCGCGTGAGAGAAGCTATAGAAATTGGTGCTTTTTGAGTAAATCTGGGGCGAAATATGAGAGAATTTTGAAAGTAAGGATCTGGGATATACTTTCCCCATCGGGAATTCAGCAACGGGGATAGTCAGTCAATCGAGACTCTTTGAACGCATCAGCAATCTAGGGAGATGAGCCAAGTTCATGTTTCAGCAGCTTGTCAGACTGGCATTACTGCCTCACATTTTCTGATTGCCTCACGTCTCGTCCTTGCTTCTCTCGCCAGCAATAATGGCTGCCGTTCGCGCCGCCTGCTCGGCTGCTCAAACAGCAGCCATAAGTCCAGGCAATGCGATAAACCGTCATCTGTCGAGGCCACTAAGCACCGCAGCCACGTCAGCACGAGCCTCTCTCGTTGCGCGTTCTCCGCCATTGCGCAGCGCAGTCGCCTTCGTGCAGGTGCCACGTCAGCCACGTCGCGAGTCACATTGCATACGTGTCGTCCGTGCGAGCAGCACTGGAAGCTCCGACAATTCGACCAATGATGCGAGCTCGGAAGGCTCCGGCTTTTTCGGATGGCTGAAGCTGCCGAATCTGGACGGATTGTTCGGAAAGAAGGGAGAGACGGAGGTGAAGACGAGTTCGGAGATTGAGAGCGAGGGAGCTTTGGAAGAGAATGTGACAGCGCTGGAGCCCGAAGTGGTCAAGGAAGGTCAGATAATGTGCTTGTAAGGGTGTGCTGATAAGGAAGAAACATGCGTAGTCATTTAGGGGGTAAAGTCGAGGTCGGAGGTTGAGAGCGAGGGAGCTTCGGAAGAGAATGTGACAGCGCCGGAGCCCGAAGTGGTCAAGGAAGGTCAGTTAGTAGGCTCATAGGGAAGAAATAAGAGTGAGCAGAGCATTCAAGGGGTGAAGACGAGATTGGAGGCAGAGAGTGAGGGAGCTTCGGAAGAGGACGTCACCGAAGCGGAGCCTGAAGTGGTCAAGGAAGGTCAGTTAGTATGCTCATACGGAAGAAAACAAGAGTGATTATGTAAGGGGTGAAGACGAGTTCGGAGATTGAGAGCGAGGGAGCTTTGGAAGAGAATGTGACAGAGCCGGAGCCAGAAGTGGTCAAGGAAGGTCAGTTGATGGGCTTATAAGGGTGTGCTGATAAGGAAGAAACATGCGTAGTCATTTAGGGGGTAAAGTCGAGATAGGACGTTGAGAGCGGGGGAGATTTGGAAGAAAATGTGACAGAAGCGGAGCCTGAAGTGGCCAAGGAAGGTCAGTTGGTGTGTTTTTAAGGAAAAAAAAAAGAGCTGAGTTATAGAAGGGGTAAAGACTAGTTGGGAGATTGAGCATGAGGGAGCTTTGGAAGAGAGTGTCGCAGGAGCGGAGCCTGAAGTAGCCAAGGAAGGTCAGTTGGTGTTCACATAAGAAGAATACAATGAAAGCCTAAGAAACTGACTCAAAGTACAAGAAAGGCCAGGTTTTGGCTCGTTCATTGAGCTGCAGGAGGGGGGGTTGGGGGGGGGGGGTGGGGGAAGGCGGGTGTTGTGCACTCCCTCTCTCACTCCCTCTCACTCGCAATTTGCTCAATCCTCTAACTCACTCACTTCCTCACTTACTCCTGTCACTTCCCTCACCGTCCCTTCCCTCTTCTCAGAGCCTCTCGACCCGAGGAGCTGGACGTGGTGATCATCTGAGCATGGCTGGCGGGGCTGCGGGCAGCGGTGGAGCTGGAAGGGCTCTCTTACCCGCGCCCTCTCTTACTCACTCTCTCCCTCTTTCCCTCTCCTTCCATTCCACACCCACAGAGCCCCCAGAGGAGCTGGACGTGGTGATCATTGGAGCGGGGCTGGCAGGGCTGCGGGCAGCAGTGGCACTACAGGAGGCGGGGGTGCAGATGAAGGCTGCTGATGGACGTTCACCCTTGCTCTCCCTCATTCACTATCTCTCTCACTTGCCCTCTCCTTCCATTCCACACCCTCAGAGCCCCCCGAGGAGCTGGACGTGGTGATCATCGGAGCGGGACTCGCAGGGCTTCGAGCAGCGGTAGCGCTGCAGGAAGCCGGGGTGCCTTGTGTGGTGCTGGAGGCGTCAGACGGGGTGGGAGGGCGCGTGCGCACAGATGAAGTGGACGGATTCCTCCTGGACAGGGGCTTCCAGATCTTCCTCTCAGGTAGGGACACTTGATGATTTTATACATACACCCCTCGCTGCTGGTGCTGCGGCTGCTGCTGGCGAACTGGACAGGGTGGGGTGGGGGGGCGCGTGCGTACTGACCAAGTGGACGGGTTCCTCCTGGACCGGGGCTTCCAGATCTTCCTTGAAGGTACGATCCCAGGCGTGAGTGCGCCCAGCTTCAGGTACGGCAGCAGCAGTGCGCACTGATGATTTGGACGGGTTTCTCCTGGACCGGGGCTTTCAAATCTTCCTCTCAGGTGAGACAATCTCTGGTGTCTGACCTGGGCAGCAGCAGCACCAGCAGCAGCAGCAGCAGCAGCAGCAGCAGCAGCAGCAGAAGCAGTGAGCAGCAGCACTGCAGGAGGCAGGGGTGGCGTGTGTGGGGCTGGAGGCTGCAGACGGGGTGGGAGGGCGCGTGCGCAGCGCACTGACGAGGTGGACGGGTTTCTCCTCAACCACAGCTTTCAAATCTTCCTCTCAGGTAGGGGGATGAGTGTGCCTCCCCATCCTCCCTTGCTTCCTCCCCATCCTCCCTTGCTTCCTCTCCATCCTCCCTTGCCGCCCTTATCATCCTCCCTTACCACCCTCTCCCCCCCTCCTCCACGCCCCTTCCCCCCACTACCCCCAGCCTACCCCGAGGCACAGCAGGTGATGGACTACGAGGCGTTGGACCTCAGGCCCTTCTAATCAGGCGCTCCCAGTTTTCCCTTTCCCTTCCTTCTACCGCATTCCCCGCCCACCCCTCCTCCCTCCTACCCACTCCAGCCTACCCCGAGGCACAGCAGGTGATGGACTACGAAGCGCTGGACCTCAGGCCCTTCTGCTCAGGCGCTCACATTCTCCATCCTCCCCTCGCCCTTCCTTCTTGCGTCTATCTTACCTCCTGCCTCCCCGAGTCACATTCCTCTTACACCTTTCTCCCACTCCCTCCTACCCACTCCAGCCTACCCCGAGGCACAGCAGGTGATGGACTACGAGGCGCTGGACCTCAGGCCCTTCTACTCGGGCCCTCCCATGGCCACCCCATTCCTCCATCACCGCCCTCCCTCTCTCGTCCTTACACCCTCCCCATCACCGCCCTCCCTCTCTCGTCCTTACTCCCTCCCCATCACCGCCCTCCCTCTCTCGTCCTTACTCCCTCCCCATCACCGCCCTCCCATTACCTTCCATCTCATCCCTCCCCCTCCCAATCCAGCCTACCCCGAGGCACAGCAGGTGATGGACTACGAGGCGCTGGACCTCAGGCCTTTCTACTCGGGCGCTCTCGTGTGGTTCGGAGGCTCCTTCCACAGGTGAGGCTCCTTCCACAGGTGAGGCTCCTTCCACAGGTGAGGCTCCTTCCACAGGTGAGGCTCCTTCCACAGGTGAGGCTCCTTCCACAGGTGAGGCTCCTTCCACAGGTGAGGCTCCTGGGGGTGTTTGGAGGCTTGTGGGTTAGTTCAGATACAAGGCCGAACCTCAGGCCTTTCTACTCGGGCGCTCTTGTGTGGTTCGGAGGATCCTTCCACAGGTGAGGCTCGTGGGGGTGATTCAGGTAGGAGACCTTTCATAGGGGGGTACCTTGCCTGCACAGGGGGAGAGAGGGGGTGAGGGGGGCACTGGGGGGTACTGGGGTGCATTTTTTCCGATGCGAGCCTCGGGCCTTTCTACTCGGGCGCTCTCGTGTGTTTCGGAGGTGCCTTGCACAGGTGAGAGGTGGGCGCCTTGCACAGGTGAGAGGTGGGCGCCTTGCACAGGTGAGAGGTGGGCTCTCCGCACAGGTGAGAGGTGGGCTCTCCGCACAGGTGAGAGGTGAGAGGGACTATCTCATGCGTTTCACGCAATCAAGAAGACTCAAAACAAAGAAGACCCTCTCTACTTGTACTCATGCTCAGCAGCAAACAACTTCTCCGCGTATAATCCGCGTGAAATGAGCCGTGTTTTGAGTCGACTCAAAACAAAGAAGACCCTCGCTACTTCTACTCGTGCTCAGGCCCTTCTACTTCACGGCTACCACTCCCCCACCCGCTGTTCCCCCCCCCTCCCAGGGTGGCAGACCCCTTCCGCCACACCTCGGACGCCCTCTCCTCTCTCTTCAACCCCATCCGTCGGCTCTGTCTTTGACAAACTGCGCATGGGGCTGCTTTGCCGTAAAGCTGTGCTCAATGCACCGTTCTCCCTCCCATTCCATTCCCCTCCCCGGCCTCCCAGGGTAGCAGACCCTTTCCGTCACACCTCAGACGGCCTCTCCTCCCTCTTCAACCCCATCGGCTCTGTCTTTGACTAACTGCGCGTGGGGCTGCTGCGCCTTAAATGCTCCGTTCTCCCTGCTTCCTGCTCCCAATTCCCTCTTCTTCCCTCCCAGGGTGGCAGACCCTTTCCGTCACACATCAGACGGCCTCTCCTCCCTCTTCAACCCCATCGGCTCTGTCTTTGACAAACTGCGTGTGGGGTTGCTGCGCCTGAAAGCCGTGTCCACGCCTGTGGAAGGAATTTTAGCAGCACCAGAGAGCAGCATTGAGGAGGCGCTCAAGAAGCAAGGGTTCTCCAACGAGGTATGTTCTTCTATAGACTTGCACCAACTCGTACCACCTTGACAGGCTGCGCGTGGGGCTGCTGTGCCTCAAAGCCGTCTCCACGTCCCTGGAAGAAATTCTTTCAGCTCCACGGAGCAGCATTGAATAAGCACTCACGAAGCAACGGTTATCCAATCGGTGCGTGAAGAATTCTTTCCACTCTCGTGTCTTCCATTCTCACAGCAGCTGAGAGCAACATCGAGGCATATGAGAATAACAAGTACGGGTTCTCTCACAAGGTATCTGCTTCAACAGCTCGACATGACTGGCCTGGAATCTCAGCTCTACTACCAGTAGCGCCTGGATATTCCAGGCGAGAGCAGCACCGAGTCGACACTTGAGACCAAGAAGCAAGGGTTCTGGATATTCACAACCCCTACTCCGACGTGACGTTTCTTTTCACTTTCTCCTCTTTGGTCTCCTCCTTCCCATTCATTTTTGAGTCGACTCAAAAACCGACTCATTTTCTCCTCTTTGGTCTCTTCCTTCCCATTCATTCCCCCCTGCCAGGTAATTGGCCGCTTCTTTTGTGCGTTTCTCGGAAGGAGATTCTTTGACAACCAGCTCGGCAGAGCTTTCTCGGAGCTGACAACGGCCGCTCCCTCGTCATTCCGCTGTCCCTTGCGTTCCTGCCCTCATTTCTTCTTTCTTATGTTTCCCTTCTTTCCTGATTGACCTATTCCCTCCCACTGATACGCACATGCCGGCCGTGTCAGATGATCGACCGCTTCTTCCGTCCCTTTCTTGGAGGGATCTTCTTTGATAACGAGCTAAGCACTTCCTCTAGGTATGCTCTTGCACCTGTTAAATGCATTTGCCTTGTTAAGGACAAAAGATGCATTAGTCCTGGCACCAAACACCCTCCCCACACACAGCACACGAGCCTTTGCATCTCGCCTCACCCCTCGCCGATTGCACGTCCCATCTTCCCCGCACTCGCTCCTCCACTAACCAGTCATCCTACTCTCCTCCCTCACACTCCCCCTCCACACTCTTCTCCTTCGCTCACATCCCCCTCCCTCTCCCCCCTTCCATCCCAGGTTGATGGAGTTTGTGCTACGCATGCTCGCACTGGCACCCAACACCCTCCCCTCATCCGGCATCGGAGCCCTCGCCTCTCACCTCGCCTCTCTTTCCCACTAACATATTCCCCACGCTCCTCCCTTCCTCCCCTCGCTTCCTCCCCCCTTCCCCCCTTTTCCCTCCCCCGCAGGTTGATGGAGTTTGTGCTACACATGCTCGCACTGGCACCCAACACCCTCCCCTCATCCGGCATCGGAGCCCTCGCCTCTCACCTCGCCTCTCTTTCCCACTAACAGATTCCCCATGCTCCTCCCTCCCCTCCCACAACTTTCACAGGTTGATGGAGTTTGTGCTTCGCATGCTCGCACTGGCACCCAACACCCTCCCCTCATCCGGCATCGGAGCCCTCGCCTCTCACCTCGCCTCTCGCCTCCCCTCCCACTCCATCCGCCTCAACTCCCCCGTCTCCTCTATCACCCCCAACCTTTCGACCTGTTTCTCACTGACACATTCTCCCTCTCTCGTTCCTCACATCTCATCCCTCCCTCTCCTCCCTCACTCTCTCTCCCCACACAACTTTCACAGGTTGATGGAGTTTGTGCTACGCATGCTCGCCCTGGCACCCAACACCCTCCCCTCATCCGGCATCGGAGCCCTCGCCTCTCACCTCGCCTCTCGCCTTCCCTCCCACTCCATCCGCCTCAACTCCCCCGTCTCCTCCATCTCGCCTGCTGTTCCCACCGACGAAGCCGATGGCAAAGGTTCGGAAGCTGGTTCGGGTGTGCCGAGCCTGCTGACGATGCAGGATGGGAAGAAGATTTTGGCCAAGGGAGGGGTCATAGTGGCAGTGGAACAACCAGTGGCTCAGAGGCTGCTTCTAGGGGAGGGAGGTAGCGACAGCAGCAGCAGCGGCGCCAGCACCAGCAGCAGCAGCAGCAGCAGCAGCGATGACACAGCTAGCAGCACTTCTGCTATAGCCACTCAAGAGCCCCGCAGCACAGTGTGTCTCTACTTTGCGTCAGACTCCCCTGCCCCTGTCTCCGAGCCCATCCTCTTTTTAAACGGCTCCGGTAGCGGCATTGTCAACAACCTCTCCTTCCCCAGTGTAGTGTCCCCCTCCTATGCTCCTCCGGGCAAGACACTGGTTTCGGTGTCCCTAGTCGGCACCTATGAGGACCGGACCGAAGCTGAACTTGAGGCCCGGGTCCGTACGGAGCTGGCAGGCTGGTTCCGAAAGGAGGAAGTGGAGGCTTGGAAGATGCTCCGGGCATACAGGATTCCGTTTGCTCAGCCGGGACAAAGGCCTCCCACTGACTTCTCTGGGGAAGTGGAAGTGGGGGGGAGGGAGGGAGTGTATGTGTGTGGAGATCACAAGAGCTCCCCCACTTTTGATGGAGCATTGGCTTCTGGTAGAAGGGCAGCAGAAGCTTTGCTGGCTCAAAGAGCGTGATCATGTAGACGCTTAGATATTTATGTAAGAAGCGGTGGTGTGGATTCTATGGTATCAACATTACCATGGGAATATCTTTCATGATTGCATATGAAGAAGTATCCATCCTCCCCATGCATTATGTTTGGCATATTCTTGTTCAGGGCTATGGTCTCACCTTGTCCATAAAGTTGATGACCCAACACGGGAAGAGAGGGTCAACACAAATTTGATTCCAATAAACCAAGGGTTGAGAACTAAGGCAGTGGTGATGGAATTATTGTTTCAAAGAAGGCCCGCCAATAAATCAAGAATGCGAATGGTAAAAGTGACGTGACAGCAATTTGCCGAGGTTATGACGGGGATGAGTTCAGCGACATTGTGAGCCGTTTATTGGCTGGTTTCGAGTCCTACGCCGATTTATTGGAAGCGACTTTCTGACTGCAGTCGTAAGGCGTCGCCGGACCCATCGCAAGCGATTGAGCGAATTTGTGCGCATATTCCGCAAAGTGGAATCCCAAATCAGCGGGCCAAACTGCTCATCTTGCGGCCCGTCAACAGAAGCAGGACCAATAAATTGGCCTCGTCGCCGCCAGCACGTGTATTTCTCATTGCGAAACTACTGTAGCAATGGGGCAACCGAAAACTCCGGAAAAAGCGCGGCATGGTCTCGAAAATGTACGTGTGACCGGGGGGCGCCATAGCTGACAAACACCACCCTCGTGGTAAAAAATTCCCTGCCCGTGGCACTGGCTGAGGTTGGGCGTCCGGTGACGTGGGCCTCGTCAGCGTCAGCCTGGCATTTCGTCACGCCTGGAATGCGCGTCGTCGAAAAATATTCCTCGGACGCGACAGGATGGATGGGATTCCTGGGGATGTGGGATTCCTGCGGTTGGAATATTGTTTTGGAGGGATGGTTCAAACACGGTGAATACAATAGGTTTTAGACGGTTGTTACAAAATAAGAATGGTATAGTACGATAGCAGGAACAAATATGCTTCTGAAGCGGTGTTGCATGTTCCAGCCCCAGCCAAGCCCAGGCTGTCGGAGCGTATAGGCTAGGCTGTGTCACTTGCAACCTTCATTCGTGTGTATTATTCCTTACCTCATGTCCATGGTGTGGTGGTGGCCCGTCATTCGTCAACGTCCCGTCATGTTCGTGTGCCCGACTCCGTGTATTTCGGCTCGGCATTTTTTAAACGATCAGTATTCAGTAATTCTCGCTCAGTTGACACTCTCTCCGCCGCATTACTAGGTTCAGCGAACTGCACATACGATAGTATTGTCTGTCCCTTGACGAAATAGTAGTACGTTATCTCGAGTGGATTTAGTCATTTACTGTTGTCCTGCATCCTCCGTAGCTAAACGCTCCGAAGTCGCTGATTCCCAAACTCTCAGTCGTTGAGATAGACCGATTTAGGTTCCCTATCTGGCTGAACTTTTGCTAACAACTAAGACGTCTCTATTACCTGTAGACTATTTTGCCGATCGCCATCGCACCATGGCAATTTCTCGGGCCATTTCTGTACTCGTAGCCACTACGACGTTACTGAGCTGTAGCTTCTCCAAGGCGCAACATACAGCGTCGTTTCCGGACCACACAAGAATGCAGTCTACACTACCGATAGCGTCTACAGTATCGCTTCCGGAACATACAGGAGTGTTGCTGCCTGGAGGCTACGTCATCGTGGACCCGCGGAGTGCTGAGGTGGCACAGATTGCGGAATTCGTGGTCGCGGACATGAATGCTAAGATGGTGAGAAGAGCACAGTGAATAGCTTGATCGAGAGTGGCTTGTTAGGCTTAGGTTTGCACCGATGAGTTAGCTGACCACGCGTTCTGTCATGTCTCACCGTTCCCCCCTCCTCCCTCCCTCGTTCACCACACTTCCCGTCTTCCTCCTATCTTCCTTCCGATGTCCGATTCCTTTGTTTACCATTCACGTCATTATGCCGTCACTCTCCCCCGCTGTTCTTAACTCTCTCTGCCATCCTTGTTATTCCTCCTGTTTCCCGCAATCAGGACGCGGCTGTGCATCTAGAAATCGTCAACGCAGCGGAAAAGCACGCCTCGAGCGGTCACACCTCCTCGGGATACAACTCCCAAAGTTTCAGCTACGACGTTGTTTTCACAGCTACCACCACCACCCATGCCACCCACGCGCACTCCCCGAGCCGGAAAGCGAGCGTCGCCGAGCGCTGGTCGACACTGGTTACCAGCCAATACGAAGCCGTGGTGCTGAAATCGTTACAAGGTTCGCTATCTGTCAGCTCTGTAGTAAGATTATCGAGTCAAGCTCCGGTGTACATACCCCTCGTGGAGGAGGTTACCAGCTACAGTGCGGGTACAAGAGGTGACTCTATGCGGGACAATGACACTGTAACGGGGTGCAATGATGGAGACCTTAGGGAAACGACACTATAGCGAGGATGAGCTGGAGGGACGCTAGTGTTTTGGACGAAATAAGGACACGGAGAAAAGAGAGAGAATCTTCTCCTCTTCTTCCCCCCTCCCACACGTTTTTTTAACTGAGGCACTATCGCTGCTCGATAGTGGCTAGTTTCGGGTACAGTATGTGCTGATGCATGCACCTATCCAAGCTTCAACCATGTATAATTATGGTTTTGATCGCTGTAACAGCACAAGCTGAAGCAGTAGGAGGATCAGTCAGATGCATTTCTGGAAAGTTAGGTGTGTCCCATCTTTGTTGCAGTGCAGACGAGCCATCACTAGACAAGTTTTGATACTGTACCGTACTGTGGGTTTTTAGGGTGCTCCTCGGTGTTTCACTCCAATATAGCCGAGATGCCCTCCGATACCGGTACATGTTTCTGTGGATATGAATAAATGATCCAGATGGGATAAAATCAAGCTGATCAATACGGATCCCTCCCATAGCATCTGGTTGGCTTTCACAAGTATTGATTGTAAATAACACACATTGTAACCTTACACGTTGAATATGAAGTGGCTACATCATCAGTCATGTACTTGGGCATTTGCTCCAGTTCCACCTCATAAGTGAACCCAATCCACTTGATAACGTCATTCAAGTTTGTGAATGAGAAGCAGCTATATCTCCACCTTGATGAGAAGCAGCTATACCTCAAATCGTAACTCACACATTGAATATGAAGTGGCTAAGCTCGTCATCTGTCATGTATTTGGGCATTTGCTCCAGATCCACCTGATAATTGAACCCAATCCGCTTGATCCCTTCGTTAATGACTGTCGAGTCATCCTGCTTCGGCTGCTGAGCTCCGAGTGCAGCTTTATGTGCGTTGCTCTCTGTTGGAGAAAGTCGGCTAAGCCCAGCACTCAAACGAGAAGCAGCAAGAGCGTCAGCAAATGTAGTCCTGGTTGATCCGCCCACCCAAATGCCAAAGCTGGATGCACCACCCGAGCCTGCTTCCGAGCCTGCTGCCGCAACCAAAACACCTGGCCGAACACCTGAAGCCTCCTTGGAGATGCTGGGCTTGGTGCTCGCCCCATTAGTTGGGCTTGTATCAGCAGGCGAATGCTCAGGTGAACGTTTCTGAGACGGTTCAAACCGTGAAAAGCGAGGAGAGAAGACTGAAGAGGGAGACTGAGAAGCAGCGGAGGAAGGGGAGAGAGAGGCGAAGGGGGAGGAGAAGGCGGAAGAATCGGCAGAAGAAGGGATATCGGAGAGTGACCTGCGTCTATTGTGGACCGGCCGAACAGGGTTTTGCTGCTTACTGCTGCTGATGGGTACAATGTCAACCAGTAGTGGGTCAATCTCAGCCGTTGATGTGTGAATCTGGGCCGTTGAATGTTGGCGGATGAAAGCCCCACCGAGGGCCCTCACAACAGCAGTGGAGGGTACTGTAGTTGCTGCAAAACTGGCAGGTGAGAGGGTAGAGGCGGCAGAGGCTGCAGCAGCACAAGTGGCAGCTACAGCAGCAGCACGAGCAGCAGAAGGAGCAGCAGAATAAGCTGCGGCAGCAGCAGTAGCAGCAGGAGTAGCCACGGTAGCAGCAGATGTGTACAACTCTGGAATGCTGCTTGAACGGGGAACTAACGGACGTACACCCCCCCCAGTGGGTGACAACCGGCTTGTAGGCCGCTTCCATGCAGCTGATGTGGAGGCGAGCTTATGTGGTGACGAGTGTGATGTGAAGGCGGGCTGATGTGGTGATGAGGGCTGAGAATGAGGAGAGTGAAGGGGAGGAGAGTGAAGGGGAGGAGAGTGAGGGGGTGGGGAGTGAGGGGGAGGAGAGTGAGGGGGAGGAAACTGAACGGATGGAGAGTGAGGAGACAGAGGGGAACGGCGGGTTGCGCCCCTCCTGGTTTTATCTGTGCCTGTAGTATTTCCCATAGCATGCGACTGTGCCACCGGGAGTGACCCGTTGGGAGAGCGGAAAACCCAGGCAGGGCTGTCGGCGAATTGGACGCCCCATAGAACGTATTCAGCAGCAGCAGCAGCAGCGGATGTAGCAGCAGGAGCAGCAGCTGTTGCAGAAGCTGTAGCTGTGGCTTCAGTCGGGGAAGTGGTTGCAGCAGGAGGGGAAGCGCAGGGAAGGAGAGACCCCGGGACCGAGACGATGTCAATGCTGCTGATGAGAATCCTGCTCAGGTCTTTGTGTGCTGCCATGCCCTGAATGTCTGTTTTAAGAACGCAAGGGAAGGAAACGAAAAAAAAAGAAATTAAAAAAAGGCCGTTAGACATGGAAAAGTCAGAGATGCTTAGGCCCAGAAACGCCGGGTTCAATACACGCCGACTCAAAAGCAGGCTCGATAAAAGTCAGGCTCGTACCTTCCATGTTCAAGCAGATCGCGGCAAAATCCTCGGTAGTTTTATCACACTTTGAACTTGTTGTCACGTTCGGGAGTTCGGAATCCCAAGGGGAAAAGCTTCGCGTCGCTCGAGTACTGGTAGATAAAATTCTCGTGCCATAGCCATCGCCGCCATACTCAACGCTGCAGTAATCACCACCGCCTGTCGCGCCGACGCCTTTCGAGCCGCACAACAGCGCTACGTCCGCGGACCCGCGCCGCGTCAGCCTGCCGCCTGGGCGGCTCGAACTGACGGAGGCGGCTGTCGGCGCAGCAGTGGGGTTGACGGACAGAGACGGCCGTCTCCGTCCGTTTATCGTCGAGGCCGGCGCGCCGCCTTGGCCCGTGTGGTATTCGCGCCGCATCTCAGAAAGGCTGTAATGTGAGCGGTTCGCCGCGTCTCCATTCGAATCAAAAGCGGCCGCGCCGCTATGACTGCGCCCGATCGCCATCCTCATGTTACTCTGCGCCGCGGCTCCTGCGGTGGTGGTGGATGCGCCTGCAGCTGTGGCAACGGCGGCGGCGGCGGCGGCTGAGGCGGAGGTAGTAGCAGCAGTCGAGCGCATTATGCGGCGGTGGATCTGCTTTTCAAGCGAGGGAGCCGGCGCGAGAGTCGGCACGTCCCGTTGACGAGGAATGGCGAAATTTGGTGTCGCGAAATCGCATCTTTGGTGGTAACCAGCCTTCTGGTATTCGAAGCTTTCGCTGGCCGCGGTTGCGCCAAATGCAGCGGCGGCCATGGCGGATTCGGAGACGTTGAGCGGCGCGCCTTGAGTCGCGTAGGGAGCCATTTAATCGCGAAACGGCGCGAGACGACGGAAATTGAGGATATCGCAGAGATTTCGACGAAAGCAGAGATTTCGCGCGGAAAAGTTGAATGGGACGAAAGCAGGAGCAATTGCCACCGTAGTAATTAGGGGGTCCCTAAAAAACGCGGCCTTTAGGTCACTGTGAGGCGACCGTCCGGTGGAACCGCTGTGGGTACCTGCGCGGCAGAGAACCAGAGACGTAGTGAAATCAAAGGACCGCGCTGCGAGGGATCATGCTTCCGGGACCGGCGTTTTCTGCAGTAGTGACTGGACTGGAACACCGTCACGGGGCGTAAGCTTTGTCCTTCTCTTTGGTAAGGAGAAATACCCAGCCCTGGAGTGCTGCAGACAGCGATGGGAATAAAGAAACGCGGGTCTTCGCAACTTGGAAGAAATGACGCCGTGTGGTATGCTGGAAGGACTGCCACTTGTTCCTACTTGGAGATGTTGTAGTCGCGCGAACGGCGCCATTTTAATAGGGACGTTAGGGACGTCAGCCCTTCGCACCCGACACGTGAAGAAGTGCAACAGCTCACATGCCAAGGGGATGGGCGCCATGGACGAAGTGAGATTAAGGTGGTGCGGCTATGACTCGTCGCGGCAAGCTGTGTGGTCCTAAAAAGCTCGAGCACTTGCGAGCTACAGTGGTAGCATAAGTATGACAGATTGGTCGTATCTTTGAAATGGCTGCGTTCCTGCCTCCTACCTATGGGGCTGAATCGAAAGTCGCTGATACACAGGATGCTCAACGACTGCACGCGAATTTGGTCTGCCCAAGCTCGACAGCCTGCCCAATTGCAAGTAGTACCAGCCAGTTGCACGCACGATACAAGCCCCTATTTTGATCGCAGCCGTTGAACAGACAGCTTATCATGCTGGCATCCGTCCGTTCGTGAGATATTTTGAGGAAGCTGGTTACATTTCTTCACCTGCCCACTACCGTCCCGATTTTGCCCGTGGCGAAAGTTGGCGAGGAAGCGAAATAAGGTTGCTCACTAAACACCCAAATGACGAGAAAAGTTGTAGGAGTCAAACGCGCTTCCTGTGTACGAGCCCCGGAACCGGAACAGAACGACGGGATGGGGAAGTCGCCTTTCTGTTTGTTCAACGCTCAAATGTTCTTGAGATTTGCAACCGCACCGCGTACCCACTAATCGACGCGCAAAAGCACGAGCGAACAGACACGGTAGAGACCGAGCCAAGTAGATATTTGGACTTCGACGAATACGATGAAGCCCGAACCAGTGGGATATTTCTAATCTAGTTCGGAAAAGTGTTTGCGATTATCCAAAGTACGCCGACCGTTCGATTCGGTTTGAGGCTCCCGAATGGCATGCAGTCCGAATGGGTTTTAGTTTTTCTGCCCGCGGGCAGTAAGCTGACTCACTTGGTAGCGTCGTTTAGCGAAACGGTAGCGCTACCGAGCGCACCCTCATTGTGAGGCTTGTTCTGTGCTGGTGGGGCGTTGTGGGAGGAGCCAGCTCAAACCAGAAGAGGGGAATGGTCACCGTTTCGCATCCATTGGTGAGTGGGAATTTTGCAGCTGTACACATGATGCCTGATTGAGCCCCTCCCGGTTGCCTTGTGAAGAGGGCGTATAAGTCGTATCGTGAATTTCGCCTAAGTTTCGTCAATTCGCAGCCAGCTTAAAAGTATTCGCAGGTGCTTATATGAAGGATCTGTAACCTTATCCGTTGACATTTTGACTTCAGTCTCTTCATTTTGACATCGGTCATTTCGTTGCTATTGGTCATAACCCCGCGACGCGCTTGTACCGTGGGTGCAACAGGCTAGGGAAAAAACCTCGGGTGCAGCGTTTCCATCCGGTGCAGAGAAAATTCGCGTGCATGGGGTGGGCATCACTTGTACAGAACAGTACGCATTTTTTTCGCTTCCCAAAACGCTGAAATTTTTGTTCTGTGCACAATCGAGCTAGATGCGCTTTCCTTTCCACTCGCGAGGTCAGGATTAAGATTTGTGGTTCGCTGGACAACGAAACCCCACTCTACCCCATCCCGCTGTCTGACATCTTCTGAATGCCCAGTGCCGTCCAGTTTTGAACAGCGAAAGGTGTAGAATGCACACACCCACGGAAAGAAAATCAACGGATAACACAAATCCACACTCGCACGGTGGCGCGAGGTGACAGATTATGCCTGTGGATGGACTGCGGCAGACACCTTGCTCCGTTGGCGCGACGCTGAACGGGCAGCTGGCAGACAATGCCCAATGATGCCCTTTCCGGCCACGTGTTTTTTTTCTCTAGGGCGGTTACAGCTAAGCCTGGTTACATGTTCGTCGTGAACCACACGAAGTAGATGGGCTGTCGCATTTGATCGCCTGAGCACATCCGAGCTTCGTGGGATGCTCGTTTCCTGACCAAAGAACTGCCAGTGGCGATCTTTGACCTAATCGGAGTAATCAGAGCGATCGCGCTTCTGCAACACATGAATTGTACGCTTTGGGACGCGCTCCATGGGTTCGAAAAGGGTGGCCGCACCTTTATTATGTATTTGGATTGGAGAATGACTACTGTGCGTAAAGAAAAAGAGTGAGTTCTTACTATGAAAAACCCTCTTACAACAAGCAAAGAATGAGCATGGACATTCTTTGTTCTGTTGTGGATAGCAGTATACCCATGTAAAAAAATCCAACACAAACCTTGCTAACTCCTGGACACTACATAACACGTGCCCACCCGGCCTTCTTGTTCCCCATAACTCTCCTACACCTTCCCACTCTCCCTCCCCCTCACCCTCCCACTCCCACTCCTACTCCCCCGCAAACACGTCTACTGGGTCGGTGGTGGTGGTGGGGGGGGCTGGTACCCCCCAGGTGCAGCAGGGAGAGGCGGGGGAACAGCAGCATACATCCCCCCTTGCTGCTACTGCTTCTCCCCCTGTTCCTCCTCTGCTCCTCAAACTCCCCCAGCCACTCATGCTGCTATCTGCTTCCGCACCCTATTCCCTCATAACACATCTATTGGGTCGGAGGTGGTGGCGGGGGGGGCTGGTACCCCCCAGGTGCAGCAGGGGGGGAGCAGGGGAACAGCGGAATACATACCCCCTTGCTGGTGCTGCTGCTCCCCCTGTTCCCCCGCTGCTCCCCCTGTTCCCCTGCTGCTCCCCCTGTTCCCCCGCTGCTCCCCCTGTTCCTCCGCTGCTCCTCAAACTCCCCCAGCCACTCATGCTGCTATCTGCTTCCGCACCCTATCCCCTCAACGCACATCTACTGGGTCGGAGGTGGTGGCGGGGGGGGCTGGTACCCTCCAGGTGCAGCAGGGGGAGGCGGGGGAACAGCAGAATACATCCCCCCTTGCTGCTGCTGGGGGGGTGGGGGTGGGGGTCTGGACACTGGCGCTCCCCCTGCTCCCCCTCCCCCTCCCCCTGCTCCCCCCGCTCCCCCCACATGTGCCTGTGGCTGGTTGCTAGGGGGATACCCCCCATACGCACCCCCATACGCCCCCATTCCCCCCGCCCCTCCCCCCCCTTGCTGCTGTGGCGGGGGAGGGGGGGGCATGTACCCGCCTCCCCCCCCATACTGCCCCCCTTGAGGGGGAGGGGGAGGGGGTGCATATCCACTTGGGGGAGGAGGGGGAGCGTATCCGCTTGGTGGGGGAGGCGGGGGCATGGAGGAAGGGGGAGGAGGGGGAGGGGGCATGGAGGAAGGGTAGGACGGGGGAGGGGGGCGGGGGGAGGGGCCGGTAGGAGGAGGGGGGCGGGAGGAGAGAGGAGGGGGAGGTGGGTGGGGATGGGGAGGCATGGAGGAGGGGAGGAGATGTGCGTTGGGGTTGGTGGGGGCGACTGGGCGGGGCTTGAAGTATAGCTGAAGCTGCATGGGGGGAAAAGTAGGGTGAGTGAAACAGGGCAAGAAGAAGTTGAGGTGAGGCAGTGAGGGCAGCCCAGTCGATACAAGACAGCTGAGAACCACTGGTTGAGGTGGATGAGAACCACAATGCATGAGTAGGTGGGGGCCACTGGGCGGGGCTGGGAAAGGGGGGGATGTGGGGGGAAAGGGAACCCAGCACAATGCATGAGTAGGTGGGGGCCACTGGGCGGGGCTGGGAAAGGGGGGGATGTGGGGGGAAAGGGAACCCAGCACAATGCATGAGTAGGTGGGGGCCACTGGGCGGGGCTGGGAAAGGGGGGGATGTGGGGGGAAAGGGAACCCAGCACAATGCATGAGTAGGTGGGGGCCACTGGGCGGGGCTGGGAAAGGGGGGGATGTGGGGGGAAAGGGAACCCAGCACAATGCATGAGTAGGTGGGGGCCACTGGGCGGGGCTGGGAAAGGGGGGGATGTGGGGGGAAAGGGAACCCAGCACAATGCATGAGTAGGTGGGGGCCACTGGGCGGGGCTGGGAAAGGGGGGGATGTGGGGGGAAAGGGAACCCAGCACAATGCATGAGTAGGTGGGGGCCACTGGGCGGGGCTGGGAAAGGGGGGGATGTGGGGGGAAAGGGAACCCAGCACAATGCATGAGTAGGTGGGGGCCACTGGGCGGGGCTGGGAAAGGGGGGGATGTGGGGGGAAAGGGAACCCAGCACAATGCATGAGTAGGTGGGGGCCACTGGGCGGGGCTGGGAAAGGGGGGGATGTGGGGGGAAAGGGAACCCAGCACAATGCATGAGTAGGTGGGGGCCACTGGGCGGGGCTGGGAAAGGGGGGGATGTGGGGGGAAAGGGAACCCAGCACAATGCATGAGTAGGTGGGGGCCACTGGGCGGGGCTGGGAAAGGGGGGGATGTGGGGGGAAAGGGAACCCAGCACAATGCATGAGTAGGTGGGGGCTGCATGAGAAGGTGGGGGCTGCATGAGAAGGTGGGGGCCACTGGGCGGGGCTTGAAGTATAGCTGGAGCTGCATGGGGGGGAGAAGATCGGAGAAAGATAGGAGAAGGGAGAAAATAGGAGACGAAGGGAGAACATAGGATGCACACAGAACAGAACGACGTTGGAGAGAAGTTAGGATGCATGCACACGTAGAGTGATAAACTATAAACTACTGACTGTGAAAAAACCCCGCAAGAGCGATGTGTTACTTACTGTGAAGGTCTTGGTATCAGGGTTTCAATGCGAGAAGAAACTTGGAAGGGAGGTAGGTGGGATGCACGTATAGAACTTTCAAGAGGTTTCAGTTACAATAAAGCTTCACTTACTGTGAAGGTCTTGGTATCAGGGTTCCAATGCGAGAAGAACTTGGATGGGGTCTTGTCGATTTCCGTGCTCGGGATCTGTTAGTGACGAAGGGAAAGCGCAGGGGGAGAGCGTGGGTGGGGTGGGGAAGGGGAGGGGAGGTGGTAGCTTGAGGAGTTAAAAGAAGGGAGTACAGAGGCATTGCACACTCATAAAAAGCAGGAAGGGGGGAGCTGACTTTTGAGTCGACTCAAAACTGGTAGCTTGAGGAGTTAGAAGAAGGGAGTACACAAGCATTGCACACTCGTAAAAGGTGCAATTTTTGTCATAAAAAGCAGGAAGGGGGTATTATTAGGTGGGGAGGGAAACTGCAGGAGGGTCGGTTAGTGAACACGGAAAAGAACACCCACCCTGCAGGGGAGAGAGTGGGCGGGGTGGGGAAGGTGGGGCGGGGGGGGGGGGGGGGGTGTAGCTTGAAGAGCTTCGCAGGACTGTTTTGCAGTCAAGTTTTGCAGACTCATAAAAAGTAGAAGGGGATTGTTTCAAGTTGAATCGAACACATGGGGGGAGTGCATGCAGGAAGGAGACAAAAGAGAGGTTGGTTGGAAGTCACCTCGAGCGACAACATTTCGTTTCGTTTCGTCTCGAGGTGAAATTATTCCTTCAAGTATAGGATCTGGTTGCTTCACAGGGACGAGACGATTGCGTACCTTAAAAGATATGATTTCGTAGGGCTCTGCTGCAAACAGCAGGTACTGAAAGTTCTTGTCCCAGGATTCAACTCGCTGCAATGCGGTGAATTTGGGTGGGGTTGGATGGGGATGGGTGGGGGGCGGATGGGGAGGGGGGGAGAGGAGAGGATGATGGAGAGGGTTTGTGTGTGCTGCCGCAAACAGCAGGTACTGAAAGTTCTTGTCCCAGGATTCAACTCGCTGCAATGCAGTAGGGATGGGTGGGGATGGGTGGGGGGAGGATGCAGGAAGGATGGGGGGAGAATGGAGGGAGAAGGGAAGGAACAAGGGAGTTGGTGTTTGGTGCAAACAGCAGGTTTTTGAGGCGCCTCAAAGAAGGAACAAGGGAGTTGGTGTTTGGTGCAAACAGCAGGTTTTTGAGGCGCCTCAAAGAAGGAACAAGGGAGTTGGTGTTTGGTGCAAACAGCAGGTTTTTGAGGCGCCTCAAAGAAGGAACAAGGGAGTTGGTGTTTGGTGCAAACAGCAGGTTTGAGGCGCCTCAACGAAGGAACAAGGGAGTTGGTGTTTGGTGCAAACAGCAGGTAGAGGGGAGAGGGGGGAATAGAGGGAATCGGGGGACAGTGGGGGAAGGACAGGGGAAGAGAATAGGTGCTGGACAAACAACAGGTTCTGGAGGTTCTTGTCCCGCGACTCGACTCGGTGGAGGGGGGGCGTGTGGGGAGAGTGTGGGGAGAATGGGGAGTGCAGGGGGGCTGCTGTGCAAACAGCAGGTACTGGAAGTCCTTGTCCCGCGACTCGACTCGGTGGAGGGGGGGCGTGTGGGGAGAGTGTGGGGATGATGGGGGGAGAAGGGGGGGAGAAGGGGGGAAGAATGGGGAGAGAATGGGGAGAGCAGGGGGGCTGCGGCGCTAACGACAGGTACTGGAAGTTCTTGTCCCACGACTCAACTCGGTGCAATGAAGTGGGGATTGAGGGAGGATTGGGGAGGATGGAGAGAGGGGAAAAAGAGAGGAGAGAGGATGGTGTTTAATGCTCTTGTCTCTTGACTCGACTCACTGGAGGGGAAGAGGATGAGGGGGAATTTCTGGGGGGGATGGCGGATGGGGAGGATGAAGGGGGAGAGGGGAGGGGGGAGGGGCATGGAGAAAAGGAGGAAAATGAGGATTACTGGGAAACTGGAAAAGGGGGAAAGGAAGGGACGCAAGGGCACATAGGCAGATCAGAACATGCACATCAAAACACCACACACCACATCACCACAGATCACAACGGCGGCACACCACACCACCACACCACACCACCACACCACAACCCACACACTCACCTGCTTTTGAGTCGACTCAAAAGTCACCTCGTTACCATGGCAACGGCGGCACACCACACCACCACACCACAACACCACAACCCACACACTCACCTGCTCATAGGAAGACATGAATCGGTGGCGAGGTTTCACCCCGTCCTCTATCTCTGGGTACTCGATCTGTGACTCGTGCGGGAGGGGAGTGGAGAGGGGAGCGAGGGGGACGGGCGTGAAGAGCGGAAAAGGGGAGAGACGTGTAGAAAGGGGTGTGAAGTCGGGAAGTCGGGAAAAAGGGGACGGGGCCTGGGAAGAGAGGGGGAAGAGAGGGGGAAGAGAGGGGGAAGAGAGGGGGAAGAGATGGGGAAGAGAGGGGGAAGAGAGGGGGAAGAGAGGGGGAAGAGGTATACACACACAGGCATACACACACAGAGGTATACACACACAGAGGCATACACACACACAGACTTACACACACATGCATGCCCATATGCACACGCACACGCACACGCCTGTACACACGCTCACCTGGCGAAACCCACCTCCACCCCATACCCCCCTCCCCTCCCACCCCACCCCACCCCCCCCTCCTCTCCTTCCCTCCCCCCCCCCCCCCCCGGGGCCACACCCACACACCTGGAAGAGCAGTGAGCGTTGGTGTGTCTCAGGGTCGAACTGCTTGGTTACACGGTAACCGGGTCGACCGATCTTCACTGCAAATGCAAGACATGGCGCATGGAGCATGAGACATGGGGGGCATGGGGCATGGGGCCATGGGGCATGGGGCATGGAGTACGGTACGGTATGGCGGATTGTGTCGTGTCTTACCGTATGTATGCCATGGCATGGTATGGATGGTATGGCATGGTATGGCATGGTATGGCATGGAATGGATGGTATGGCATGGTATGGATGGTATGGCATGGTATGGCATGGTATGGCATGGTATGGCATGGTATGGCATGGTATGGCATGGTATGGCATGGAATGGATGGTATGGCATGGTATGGATGGTATGGCATGGTATGGATGGTATGGCATGGTATGGCATGGTATGGATGGTATGGATGGTATGGCATGGTATGGATGGTATGGCATGGTATGGATGGTATGGCATGGTATGGATGGTATGGCATGGTATGGCATGGTATGGATGGTATGGCATGGTATGGCATGGTATGGATGGTATGGCATGGTATGGCATGGTATGGATGGTATGGCATGGTAGCATGGTATGGCACGGTAGATTGGTCGAAAGGCAAGCACATGACACAGCCATTTCATGCAAAAATTAGTTTCACTCCTCCCCCCCCACTACACCTATCTTTGGCAGGTTCACTCCCCCTTCCCCCCCAACCCTTCCCCACCCTCCCCTGTCTTGCGCGGGTTCACTCGGGGCCGTGCTGGCTGGGGCAGTGCCGGTACCTCCTGTGCTTCCTTGGCTGCGCGCTTGGCCAGATTCTCCTGGTGCCGCTTGCAAACTCTCAATCCCTCGCTCTCCCACTCACCCAACCCCTGCATTTCAAGCGCTCTCACCTGTCTTCCTTGGGTTCACTCGGGGCCGTGCTGGTTGGAGCAGCGCTGGTGCCTCCTGAGCCTCCTTGGCTGCACGCTTGGCCAGGTTCTGCTGGTGCCGCTTGCAAGAACACACTCACTCACCCACTGACCCACTCCCTCCGTCCCGCTCTCACCTGTCTTTCTCGGGTTCACTCGGGGCCGAGCGGGTTGGGGCAGTGCCGGTGCCTCCTGAGCCTCCTTGGCTGCTCGCTTCGCCAGGTTCTGCTGGTGGAGCGGAGCTTGCAGACTCTCATTCATTCACTCACAAACACAAGCTCATCACTCGCTCTCACCCGTCTTTCGCAGGTTCACTCGGGACCGTGCCGGCTGCGGCAGCGCTGGTGCCTCCTGTGCCTCCTTGGCTGCGCGCTTCGCCATATTCTGCTGGTGCCGCTTGAAAGGTTTCACTCACTCACTCACCCACACTGTCTCATGCCTTCCTTGTATTCGCTCTCACCTGTCTTCCTTGGGTTCACTCGGGGCCGAGCAGGTTGCGGCAGCGCCGGCGCCTCCTGTGCCTCTTTGGCTTCTGCTGGTGACGCTTTCGAGCAAGCACTCACTAACGCACGCACGCACTCACTCACTCACGCACGCACCCATTCACGCACGCACTCACTCACTCACTCACGCACGCACTCATTCACGCACGCACTCACTCACTCGCCCACTCACTCACCCACCCACACCATCTCATGCCTTCTTTTCAACACCCACCCTCTCACCTGTCTTTCGCGGGTTAACTCTCGGTCGTGCTGGTTGGGGCAGAGCCGGGGCCTCCTGCGCCTCCTTGGCTGCACGCTTCGCCAAATTCTGCTGGTGGCGCTTGCCCTGCGTGTGCGCGAGGTAGTTTCCCTCGTTGTTGTGGAGCGTCAGACACAGCTTGCACTCGTAACTGTGTGGGGAAGGTGTGGGGAATGGAAGTAGAGAGGAGGGGGGAGGGGGGGAGGAATGGGAAGGCTTGCCCTGCGTGTGCAATGCACGAGGAAGTTGCCCTTGTTGTTGTGGAGAGTCAGACACAGCTTGCACTCGTAACTGTCACGAGATGAAGCACAGGGGAAGGGAAGTGAAAGGGGAGGGCATGGGAAGCGCAGGGGGAAAGGGGAGAAAAGGCATGCCCTGCGTGTGCGCCAAGTAGTTTCCCTCGTTGCTGTGAAGAGTCAGACACAGCTTGCACTCGTAACAGTTTAGGGAAGCTATGGGGAGAGGGGAGGGAAAGGGGGAGGGGTGGGAGAGGGGGGGTGGAAGTGGAAATAAATGCAGGGGGGAAGAGCAGGGAACGGAAAGGGAAGGGGGAGAGAGGGGGAGGCGAAGAGGCTTTGCCGGATTCTTCTGGTGGCACTTGCACTGCGTGTGAGCCAGCAGGAGGAAAGAAATGCGGAAAGTTCGCATTAAGCCTCCTTGAGGCACACAACAGCGTCTAAGCTTCCAAGACCGCTCCGCCAAATATACGAGTCAAACGCCAGTTGATTCGACTCGAGATGAACCTTTCAAAACCTAAATACCGGATCACTTTTCAAATCGTCTTCCGGATCTATGCATTCAAAACGAGCCATTGAGGAACCACGGTTGTTCTTTCTTCAGTCAATGATAAAGGTTTTCGTTGCTAGATGGTCTCACGACGAACCTTCCGATATGGTTTCGCATGAAATAGGGATCCTTCGCGAGGTCAATGGTTTCGAGAGCGAGTCGTCGCAGCCGCTCTCGCCGGTCGATCGCCTCGCTCTGCGCGGACGCGGCGCCGCCGCTTCCGGGCTTGCTCCCCCATTCGCGATCCATGGCGGAGAAACTTAGCTTCTCGAGGCACCACTACTCGGTGAAACGAATCGAGTGGTTACTCGAAAGGAAAATCGTACTGCGGACTACGTTGCGACGAACTAGTTCCGCGAAAGTAACTCCTCGCGAAATTAGTTCCTCGCTAAGGTACGTGCTCCTGGTCCCGGAAACTACTGCTTTCTCGCTGCCTGCTTCTGGCGCAGTCGTGAAATCAGCAGCCTCTAGGCTTAGATTAGGAGTTGTCGCGACTGAAACAGACACCGTAAAACTGAGATGTAGAAAACTAAATAACAGCGAGAAGGAACACACAGAAGCGTGTAGAACTCTCACCGCACTTAACCGTACATTAATGCGATGTACCTCGCTATACAGCTCACAAAACAGAGGCCAATTTCTGTTTAGATATATGCAAAGAAAACAGGACTTCCAATGGGAATCACCTGAGTATCCGTCCCAATTTTTAGTGCCTGTCTATTACTGCTCCTTGCATTCTTCATTCTGTTTGTTGCGGCTTTGCATTTGCAAGATGAGCAGGACGAACTGTTCCAAAACAGTAAGCAATGAATAAACTCCGGCCACGCATATACACAAGTATAAACTATTCGTGTTCCTCCTACCCCAAGCACTGCATGTGAACTTCCAGAATCGTGCCAATGTCAATCGCCTCTCTCCCTCCCTCTCCCTCCCCCCCCCCCCTCCTCGTCCTCCTCCTCCTCCTCCACCTGCAGAATCACCACTGTTGTACTCACCATGGTAATCTCCACCGCCAGCTTGGATAGATGCAAGGGAACCCAGCTGCTCACTCGCACAATCCTCCAGACCGCGGTATGCCCCTCGATCCCTGCTCCTGTGAATGAGGTGACTTTTGAGTCGACTCAAAAGTCACCTTGGGCCCCGCTCCTGTGAATGGCCACATCACTGCTTGTTGCCATGCGAAACTGCTGTGCCCCCTTGAGCCCACTCCTATTGTTCACACCACGGTTCGCGCCTTGAGCCCTGCTCCTGTGAATGGCCACATCGCTGCTTGTCGCCATGCGAAACTGCTGTGCCCCGTTTCGCCCACTCCTATGGTTCACACCACGGTTCGCGCCTTGAGCCCTGCTCCTGTGAATGGCCACATCGCTGCTTGTCGCCATGCGAAACTGCTGTGCCCCGTTTCGCCCACTCCTATGGTTCACACCATGGTTCGCGCCTTGAGCCCTGCTCCTGTGAATGGCCACATCGCTGCTTGTCGCCATGTGAAACTGCTGTGCCCCGTTTCGCCCACTCCTATGGTTCACACCACGGTCTGCGCCTTGCATCCCGCTCCTGTGAATGGCCACATCGCTGCTTGTTGCCATGCGGAACTGCTGTGCCTTGTTGAGCCCACTCCCATGGCTCACACCACGCTTCGCACCTTGGGCCCTGCTCCTGTGAATGACAACATCGCTGCGTGTTGCCATGCGAAACGGCTGTACCTTTTGCAACCCAGTGCGCTGATTGCTGCGATTCTCCCAGCCACGGTTGTTGCTGGGGCGAGAAAAGCGAGAGGGTGCTCCCTTGACGGTGCCCTGGGTCCCACTTCTGTGAATGGCCACATCACTGCTCGTTGCCATGCGAAACTGCTGTGCCTTGTGCAGTCCAGTGCGCTGATTGCCCTCAAGCTCCCAGCCACGGTTGTTGTCGAATCGAGAGATGCGAGATGATGCTCCGTTCATGGCCCGAGTCCTGCCCCTTCGCTGTCCTTGGCTGCTGCTCTCCCCCCCGTGCCAGTTGACCGCATCGTTGTCATCGTCCTTCTCTTCATTGTCATTGCCCGTGTCGTTGTTATCTTTGTCGCGCAACAAGTTGTTGTTGCCCTTGCCATTGTCCCTGTCCATGCCATGATCCTCCTTCTCATTGCTGTCCTTGCCATGGTCATCGCTGCCGTTCTTCTCATCGTCCTTCTCATCGTCCTTTTCATCATCGTCCTTGCCATCATCCTTGTTGTTGTTGTCGTTGTTGTCATCGTCCTTCTCCTCATCATCGCCATTGTCATCGCTGCCATCCTTCTCCTCACCATCCTCATCATCAGACACCACATTCCTCCATGCCTCTGCCTGCATCTCCTCTTCCTTGTCCGCTCCCATCGGCGCTGCCGCTGCCGGCGCCGGTGCTGGCGCCTGGGGAACGATCGCCACGTCCTCAGCCGTCGCCATGTGAGGACGCGCCTTTCCCTCCCCCGCGCGCAGAGTCGCCGCCGCCGCCGTCGCCTTTGCTGATCCCGGGTGAATTATCGCCACGTCCTCAGCCGTCGCCATGTGAGGTCGCACGTGCGTCTTGCTTGCTCCCATCATCGCAGGAGGAGGCTGATTCTCGGCACTGTGACTCGCCGGTGCCGGCGCCCGCGCCTGGGGAACGATCGCCACGTCCTCAGCCGTCGCCATGTGAGGGCGCTCGCCGTGTTGGCGCGACGGTTGGGCGTTCGACGGGGCAAGTTCCGCATTGCCGCCTGATGCCGTCTTAGCGCCACCATGGATCGCCACGTCGTTAGCCGTTGCCATGCGAGGACTCACGGGTTTGTTTCTTGCTCCCATCGTCGCAGCAGCAGGCTGATTCTTGGCGATGTGACTCGCAGTCGCCGGCACTGGCGCCATGTGAGGACGGACGGCGTGTGGCCGAGGCGTTTGGGCGTTCGACGGGGAAATTCCTGCGTTGCCACGTGACGGTTGGCCGCCTGATGCCGTCTCAGCGCCACCATGGATCGCCACGTCCTCCGCTGTTGCCATGTGAGGACGGACGGCGTGTGGGCGAGGCGGTTGGGCGTTGCCTGATGACGTCTTAGCGCCACTATCATCGTGATGGATCGCCACGTCCTCGGCAGTCGCCATGTGAGGACGCACAACGTGTGGGCGCGGCGATTGTGCGTTTGATGGGGCAATCGCCGCGTTGCCTGATGTCGTCTTCAAGTTAGCCGCGCCACCATCATGATGGATCGCCACGTCCTCCGCCGTTGCCATGTGAGGGCGCATGGGTTTGTTGCTCGCCGCTCCAATCATCTCAGTAGCAGGCTGGTTCTTGGCGTTGTGACTCGCCGTCGCCGCGCTCTTATTCGCCTCGCTCGGCACGAACTTTCCCGCTGCGCCCTTGCCCGCCGCGGCCTTGTCCGTTGCGACCTTGCCGGCCGCTCCCTTGCCCGCCGTGCCCTTGTCCGCCGCTCCCTTGCCTGCTGCGCCCTTGTCCGCCGCTCCCTTGCCTGCTGCGCCCTTGTCCGCCGCTCCCTTGCCTGCTGCGCCCTTGTTAGCCGGACCCTTGCTCTTCGCGCCCTTGTTCGTCGCCGCCGCACCCTTGTTCGGCGCGACCATTCCTGCCGTGCCCTTGGCCGCGTCCTTCTGTGCGCCGTTGTTAGCCGCTCCCTCGCCTGCTGCGCCTTTGTCCGCCGCGCCCTTGTTCGGCGCGACCGTTTCCGTCGCGCCCTTGGCTACGACCTTCTTCAGCGCGCCGTTGTTAACCGCACCTTTGCCTGCTGCTCCATGGTTGTCCGCCGCGCCCTTGTTAGGTGCGACCATTCCCGCCGCACCCTTGGCTGTGACCTTGTTCGGTGCGCTCTTCACATTCTTTGGTGCGACCTTGGACGCGCCCTTGCCCACTGCGTCGTTGCCCGCCGCACCCTTTCCCGCAATGCCCGCGCCCGCCGTGTCTGTGCCCAGGCCATTGTTCCCCGCATCCGTGACTGCCGCGCCAGCATAGTCGAGTATGTCGACATGATGAGGGGAAGCACGCGGAGGGAGCGCGGGACCAGACTTCACTTCAGACGGAACATTTGACGCGTTTTTATGCGCGCCAGACTCGCTTGAATCACCACTTGACTCGGAATCATTCGCCGCGCGGCTTGGAGAGACTGGAGCGGATCTAGCATTCGCGTTACGGCCATTTGCGGACCTCGGAGTGGGTTTGATGAGCAGAGAACGGCGGTCCGCCTGGGTTGATGGCGCCAGGTAGGCTGAGCACGAGCCGACGAACAGGAGGAGAAGGACGATGGGTATGATCCGCGGACACGCCATGGTTCCCATCCAACGTGAAGATAGCGTAAGATCTGGCGCTTTGAAAGGTATCACGCCCTGACTGCGGGTAGAAGTATCCGTCGTTGTGGTAGTAATATCACGGTACTAGTAGTTCAGTTGCTCTATGCAGTGGTTCTAGCTGGTGCTGGAGGAGTGGGTTTGGTTGCCCTCTGAAAAATGAGAAAGCAAGCTCAAGTTTGGTGGATGTGCTTCGAGAGAATTTGGGTTCCAATTTATGCTTCCAAATTTCTGATCCGCGATTTGGCTCGTGGAAAGTGCGCTGCGAGCCCGACATTGCGACGAAGGCGAGCTGGAGCTACGGACCTCGATTACCGTGAGCGAGACATGAGAGGGAAATCGGAGCCCTGGTTCGATTGCCGTGAGCGAGGCAGGAGAGGGATGTTGGAGATCTGGTTACGGACTTCGATTACCGCGTGCGAGACTGGGGCCCAAAATGCGAATCCAGGTTACAGATTGACGAATTCGAGTACCAGACGGGTTACCCAGTGAGTTCCGAGGGCGTTAGGGCGTGTCTGAAGTGCAAACGTCGAGTTTCGTCAACTTTCGTCGACGAAACTCATCCGTGGGTCCCACGCGTTTTGCTGTCTGAAGTGCAGCTCGACATCCACTGACGAAACTTGGCGTTCGTACACTCGTCGGTGGATGTCGAACAGTCCTGTCGGTCAGGTTTTGTAGTTACTGTTGCCATCGTGGGCACCTAGAATTTCGTCAGCCACGTCAGGTCAACATTGATCCACTCGATCGCAGTCACACCAGTCAATGTCTGCGTATTTCAAATTCATCAACACGTCAGCTACTAGCTGACCTGTGATCGTCAGAATATGCGCGCAAACAGTGCTTGGGATCTGCCACGATGTCAACGAAATTTGGGATACGAGAACCCACGCCACATGTTGCGCCTCGTATCAATTGAAAAGATTGACGTGCAAAATGAGAACAAGATTGTTCAGCAAGAGTTGTTCGTGAGAGCAAGATTGAGGTGCAACATTGGTGCAAGAATCCTTCCCGACACATCTACTACTAGTTCTCCATCCATTAACAACTATCTTCATTTCATTAACTTCTAAAGAACATGTTTCTTGATTGTTACTTAGTGCTATCACAGGTGAATTAGTATATGCGTTTTCTCCAAACCGAGATACACAGTATGTCGTCTCAAGACAACGAGCTTGGTGAGGGATCATTTACTCCAGTGAACAACTCAAATGATGTCCCGACGCAAGAATCCACTACTAACTAACGAGTTGCTGGAAATGCGGCTCCAGGAAACGCCCCCCCTCGGATTTCATGGTTGAATCGCCTGCCGCGTCCAGACGCGGAGTTGACCGATGAGGACCTGCTAGCAAACTTCTTCCCGGATGACGAGGGTGGTGTTGATGACGATGTACCAGGGGTGCTGCAACCACCGTCAACTAGTACACCCGCAGCTACTCAACCTGGTGTAGTGCCATCTCAACCAGTCCCTGCGCGTTCACCAGTCCCGTCAAGAACTCCCCGAGCACCTACAGACGGGCAGGCTTTGGGAGGCCATGGCTGAACGTATGGCACGAGTACTTGCTAGCACTTTGAGAGAAGTGCTTGAGAGCAGCAATGATAATTTTACCCGACTTACCCGTGAGCTGGTGAACGAACTGAAGGATGCGCCTGACGCCAAGAAGCGAAAAGATAAACAGCCAGACGATCCCGCCGGCGCATAGGTGAGAAACCTGGTGTTATTGAGAAAAGGTGTTGTGCAAGTGCAGCTGGTCCGCGCAACCACCACCGATCACGATCGCGAGGCACACAGGTACGAGGCTTGGTGCTGAGCCCCAATTCGATATTATGTAACACGACGCATGCCGCTACAACATTCTGCACATTCTTGACGTTGTATTCCATGCACTTATGCAAAATACGCCATTTCATTTTTAAGCGACCATTGGTCCGCTCAACTATCATCCGTGACCTGCTCTGTTGTTTGTTCCAGATGCGTTGCGCCGCGCCCAAGAGGCGTCCCATCAAGGCCTTAAATGGGACATAGGTGTAGAAGCGAAATCCATATGCTGCATCCGCTACAAGGCAATAATCGTACAAATCCCCTCCATCAATTTTCAGTCTTGCTGGAGAATTCTCAAAGATCCTAGAGTCGTTGACTGATCCTGCCCAGCCAACAAAGTAGTCCCATATTTTTCCGCATGCGTCTACTATCAATTGTAGAGTGATAGCAAACTGTCCCTTTCTGTTACGATAGTCACTTTTGTGTTCCCCTCCGACACGGACCTGAATAAATGTACCATCTAGTGCTCCAACTATGCCGGGTATACCACCTATAGCTCTAAATTCTTGCTCCATCCGCACGAGCTCGTCTTGTGTAGGCCACGATACCCACTTTGGTGAAAGAACATGGATTACGTGATCCACAAATTTCTCGCATATGAATGAAGCCTCACACCGACTGATTCCATAAACTTCTGACAACATTCGATAGCTCCAGCCGTGGCCCAAACGATGTATAGCTGATGCTAGTTTGAGCTCTGGTGGTAAGGTCCCATGACTATTACGCGACATTACAGCTCGGTAGCTGCGCAACAAGTACCTGAATACATGTTTTTCCATCCTGAATACATTGTAAAACTGCTCTGGACGAGATCGGCGCACAAACCCTAGCCACGTCTCCCTGGCCGCCAGCATCTCCTTGCGGATATTGAGCCGATCAGATTGGAGAAACAACAGGTAAGTCACTTCACTAAGGATAACTTCCAATGCCTTTACAAATGGCCGCAAGACTAGCTCAAAATAACCATGCCGCAACCAAGTTAAGATGAGTAGTAACTGCAATACATCCATGTCTGATATGGTCTGACGAATTAACTCGTTGAACCTAGAGGAGTCTTGGAGTCAGAATGTTATGTGCCTGCTACGTTTGCGGATGACGAATGGTTTCAAATGTCTGCAATGGAAGAAATAGTCCTAGGGTTTGAAAGAGTGGGCGTGGAATTTCTTGACCCATGTGTCCAGATTTCTCAACGAGGCGCCCTGCAATTGCACGCATGTCAAACTCTCAACTGTGCAGAACTGGACAGACTAGTGTGTGACGAAATCCACGACACAAGCAGGTGCCTTTCGCTATTCGTATCCACGTTGGCATTTTCGGGCAGTGGAAACAGTGGCGAAATTCGCACGTGCTGTTTTTTTGTCGTTTGGGTGTCTGAAGTGCAAAAACGGGAAAACGGATGTCGAGTTTCGTCAACTTTCGTCGGGATTCGTCGACCAAACTTTCGTCGGCGAACGTCAAAATTCACTTCAGACACGCCCTTAGGGAGACCACGCGTTTCCCCAAGTCAACTTGAGTCAGTAAAGCTGTTGACCCGCTAAGGAAATACAAGCATTTCCTTGGTGCAATGCTTGAAGTATATGAGTGTGCAATGCTTCAATTAGGGATATTACATTATAATGGAATGGAGAGAATGAGTAGATTCTCATCTTACAAGCACAGCATCTCAAATCAATAGTGTAAAACCTAAAATGGCTGTGCATACTTCATATATATGCTGCAGAGATAGCTGCAGCTAGATAAGTGCCATTCTCAATGCTTCCCCTCTGTCACACAAATCACAATTCCCCAACATCCAGAGCTCATGCCGTGCCACTGAGCCACCCCATCCTACTAAAAATGCCGTTAGCCCTGAGAGATGTTGTCTGTCATAGCCCTTCATGAACTGTTAGGTTCAAACTCAGAGACTGACTGTTGTTCCTTGCTTCCCATCCACATCACACTCCTGCTAGATTTTGCCTAGCTCCGCTGCATGGAAATGACTGGAGGCTCTATGAGGAGGAAGCCCTAAACCAGTGGTTCGTATTGAATACGTTTGGATCCCTGCCGCGATCCCAATACGGCCAACCTGGTGGCCTCTAAACGCACCTAAGAGGCCATCTTTTCCTCGTTATAGTCGTCTTCGTCGCTGTCGAGCGGCAAGACTTCGATACTTCAACTGACAATTTCATCAAAGGTTCCTCTCATAACAACCAGACCCATACCTGATAGCAGCAGCCTCGACAGGCGTGGCTCCGAAATTTCCGCTGGCTTGGGTGAAAGGCTTGGGTGTAGGCAAATTCGGCTTTAAAGCGCGAGACTTATCCCGAGCAATGATGGAAGCGGCGAACGGGGAGGCTGACGGGGAAGCTTATGGGGACTTGAGCGGGGAAGCTAGCGGGGACAGCATGGAAGGGTTGGGAAAAGGTTCTGCTGGTGGCCCTTGCCCTACGTGTGCTTGAGATAATTTCCCTTCGTTGTTGTGGAGCATTAAGCAGAGCTGGCACTTGTATTGAGGGTATTTTTGAAACCTCTAAAAAATACCCTCAATACATCTGCGTGTGCTCGAAATAGTTTCCCATCGTTGTTGTGAAGCGTTAAGTAGAGCTGGCAGTCGTAGCTGTAGTTGTGGGGGAGGGGGGGAAGGGGGAGATGAAGGATTGAAGGGAGAACTGGCAACATGCGACTTGGAAGCGGAAGAAAAGGCTTCGCCAGATTCTGATGGCCCTGCGTGTGCGTGAAATACTTTCCTCGTGCTGTGTGGAGCGTTAAGCAGAGCTTGCACTCGTAACTATTGGAGGAGGAGGGGGGAGAATGGGGTTAGAGGGGAGGGAGTGAGGAAATGATTGACAAGGGAGGCTTGGCCGCTTGGCCAGGTTCTGCTAGTGATGCAACTTGAGGCTGAGGCTTGCAGTGAGGGAGAAGGTTGAGGCGCCTCAAGCAAGAATGGGCAGAGGACGGGGAAGAGAATGTGGTTAGAGGGTGAGGATATTATTGACCAAGGGAGGCTTGACCGCTCGGCCAGGTTCTGCTGGTGATGCAACTTGAGGCTGATGCTTGCAGGGAGGAAGAAGGTTGACGCGCCTCAAGCAAGCTCGTTGAGGTGCTTGCCGTACGTGTGAGCCAGACGGAGGAATTTGAATGGAAGAAAAAAAAAACAAAAAAAACTCGCGATCAGCTCACACGGTGTGAATCTCCCGAAACAGTTCCGCCGGCATTATGAGTTCACCGCAAGTTGATGCGACTCGAGAGGAACCTTTCAAGACCTAAAAACGGGCCACTTTCGAAACGGTTCCCGAAAACACATCCTTTTTCCGGATCGACCTTTTCACTAAGGACCATCGGCTGATACTTTACTAAGTAATGAAGTTCCATAGCTAGATGGTCGAAATACGAACCTTCCGAGATGGTTCCGCATAAAGTAGGGATCTTTCGCGAAGTCGCGGGTTTCAAGCGCTGATCGTCGCAGACGCTCTCGCCGGTCGATCGCCTCGCTCTGCGCGGACGCGGTGGCGCCGCCTCCGGGCTTGCTCCCCCATTCGCGATCCATGGCGGAGTAACTTAGCCAACCTAGCTTCTCGAACTGCTACTCGATAAAAGAATCAAGTACTACTCGAAAATAATCTTGTGGTAGGACTATGTTCGTACGAACTAGTTCCTCGAAAGTATTTCCTCGCTAAGGCATGATCCCTTGGTCTCAAAAATTACTGCTTTCTCGCTGCCAGCTACTGGCATAGCGGTGGAATCGGTAATCCCGAGGCAGAGGGTGCGCAACGACTGAAACGGATACTGAAACAGAAATTCAACATACGGTATCACGAGAAATTGCACACAAGGCTGTACATCTCTCACCGTACTCAACCATACAGTAAAGAGATGTGCCGCGCCACACAGCTTACAAAATAAAAGTCCAACTTTTGTTTAGATATGTTAGATGTAAAGAAAGGCACTCTAGATGTGTCAAAACAGTTTCTTACCAATTCTTACTGATACTGTTCCTTGCACTCTGCTTGTTGCTGTTTGCTTGCATGATAACGATGAGTGATCATGACTAAATGTTCCAAGATAAACACCAATGAAATATGCACGGCCATCACATATACACAAGGTATAAACCATTCACACGACTTCCCCCCTACCCTATGCACAGAGATAGGTTCAGATGACCACCACCACCACTCTAAAACGGAGTGGACCAAATGATGTTCCCCTGGGGCGAGTAATCACACACCCACATGCCACCCCCATCAGGGCATTGCGCCGACGCACACCCCACATGGGTCGTTCCCGCCCACACCACCTGCGTGTAATGCCCGCACATCCGCCCCTCCACACACCCCTTGGGCACCGGGCTGGGAGTCCAATCCGCCTTCTCATCCACCCACGCCTGCACCGCCATGCGATCCTCCTCGGGGGTCAGCGCTGCCGGCGAGCGCCAGTACAGGTTCTGCCCGAGCCCCTCTGCGCCGCCATGCTGCAGCGGGCACCCCGCGCCCGCCAGCTGGTCCGCCCACTCCTGCGCTGCTGCTGCCACGCCGTCGTCCCACGCCAGGTCCGCCACCCCCACCTCCCGCCGCGCTGCGTTGTGCACCTCCAGGATCGCGTCGATATCTATCGGCCCTCCTCCTCCATCGCTGCCGCTGCCATTGTCAACGCCGTTGTCACCACCAGTTCCATTATCCCCGCCGTTGTCGCCGTTGTTGTCACCATCGCAGTCGCCGCCGTCAGCTTGTGCAAAAGCAAGAGAACCCAGCCGCTCACTCCCATAGTTCACACCACGGCTCTCGCCTTGAGTCCCGCTCCTGTGAGTAATGGCCACATCGCTGCTTGTCGCCATGCGAAAATGCGGTGTCTTGTTCAGCCCATTCCCATAGCTCACACCGCGGTTCACACCACCGCTCCTGTGGATGGCCACATCCCTGGCTGTCGCCATGTGAAACTGCGGTGCCTTGTCGAGCCCACTCCCGTAGTTCACACCACGGTTCGCGCCTTGAATCCCGCTCCTGTGAATGGCCACATCGCTGCTCGTTGCCATGCGAAACTGCTGTGCCTTGTGGAACCCGTTGCGCTGATTGTCCTCAAACTCCCAGCCATTGTTGTTGCTGGGGCGAGAAAAGCGAGAGGGTGCTCCCTTGACGGTGCCCTGGGTCCCACTTATGCGAATGAGCACATCGCTGCTAGTCGCCATGCGAAACTGCTGTGCCTTGTGCAACCCAGTGCGCTGATTGTTGCGAGCCCCCCAGCCGTTGTTGTTGTTGATGCGAGAGACACGAGATGATGCTCCATTTATGCCATGACTCATGGTCCTGCCCCTTCCCTGACCTTGGCTGCTGCTCTCACCCCTGTGCCAGCCGACTGCATCGTTGTCATTGTCCTTCTCATCTTCATTGTCATTGTCCCTACCGTTGTCGCGCAACAAGCTGTTGTTGTCCTTGTCATGATCATCACCATTGTCATCGTTATCGTCCTTCTCATCACCCTTCTCATCATCCTTCTCATTGTGGTCGTCGTCATTCTCGCTGTTATCGTCCTTCTCCTCATCATCGCCATTGTCATCGCTGCCGTCCTTCTCATCACCATCCTCCTCATCATCATCCTCATCATCAGCCACCACATTCCTCCATGCATCTGCCTGGATCTCCTCTTCCTTGTCCGCTCCCATTGGCGCTGCCGCTGCCGGCGCCGGTGCTGGCGCCTGGGGAACGATCGCCACGTCCTCAGCTGTCGCCATGTGAGGACGCGCCTTTCCCTCCCCCGCTCGCATCGGAGCCACTGTTGCGCCTTCCGCCGTCGCCTTTGCTGATCCCGGGTGAACTATCGCCACGTCCTCAGCCGTCGCCATGTGAGGACGCACGGGTTTGTTGCTCGTTTCCATCTTCGCAGCAGCAGGCAGATTCTCAGCGCTGTGACTCGCCGGCGCCGCCGCCGGTGCCGCCGCCCGGGGAACGATCGCCACGTCCTCAGCCGTTGCCATGTGAGGACGCACGGCGGGTGCGCGGCTTGACGGGGCAAGTGTCGCGTTGTCTGATGTCGTCTCAGCGCCACCGTGGATCGCCACGTCCTCAGCCGTTGCCATGTGAGGACGGACGGCGTGCTGTGCGTTCGACCAGCAGGGTGATTGTTGTTGCTCGCTCCCATCATCGCTGCAGCAGGCGGATTCGCGGCGCTGTGACTCGCGGGCGCCGGCGCCGGCGCCTGGGGAACGATTGCCACGTCCTCAGCCGTCGCCACGTGAGGGCGCGCGTCGTGTTGGCGCGGAGATTGTGCGTTCGACGGGGCGATTGCTGCATTGCCGTCTGATGCAGTCTTAGCGCCATGGATCGCCACATCCTCGGCCGTTGCCATGTGAGGTCGCACGAGTTTGTTGCTCGCTCCCATCATTGCAGCAGCAGGCTGATTCGAGGCGCTGTGAGTCGCTGTTGCGGCCTTGTTCGACTCGCTCGGCACGAACTTTCCGGCTGCGCCCTTGCCCGCCGCGACCTTGCCGGCCGCTCCCTTGCCTGTCGCGCCCTTGCCGGCCGCTCCCTTGCCGCCCGCGCCCTTGTTATCCGCGCCGTTCGTCGCCGCCGCGCCCTTGTTCGGTGCGACCATTCCCGCCGCGCCATTGGCTGCGACCTTCTTCGGTGCGCCGATCACATTTTTCGGTGCGACCTCAGCCGCGCCCTTTCCTGCCGCACCCTTGCCCGCTGCGCCCTTCTTCGGCGCACCCTTACCCGCTGCGCCAGCGCCCGTTGCGCCCTTTCCCTCCACCGCACCCTTGAATTCCGCTCCCTTGCCTGCCACGTCCTTTCGCGGCGCGCCCTTAGCTCCCGCTCCGCCCTTGCCTTCAGCGCCCTTGCCCGTTGAGCCCTTGCCTGTTGCGCCCTTTCCCACCACGTCCTTTCCCGCAGCGCCCGCGCCCACGCCATTCAATGGCGCTTCTTCCCCTGCCGCGCTAATATGGTCGACATGATGAGCAGGAGCACGCGGAGGGAGAGTTGACGAGGACTTTTCTTCAGTGTTTGAAACACTTGACGTGTTATTGGCAGGCGTCGTCGAATCGCCTGAATGGGAGTTATTTTTTGCAGCTCCGGCGACACTCGGAGTCACTGGAGCGGTGGTAGCGGTGGCGTTGCGGCCATGTGCGGTTTTAGCAGTAGGCGGAGTGGGTTTAGCGAGAAGAACACGGCGGCCCGGCAGGGTTGAAGGCGCCATGTGCGCTGAGTACGAGACGACGAACAGAAGGAGAAGAACGATGGGTATCATCCTCGTGGTCTCCATGACGTGCATCCAACGCAAATAATGGCGTGAGCTTGGCGCGGTGAATGTTTGTGGTGACCCTGCTGATGCTTCTGGAGGAAGTGGGTGTGGGTTTGGTTTGGTAGCACTGTTCCCTACGGGGGGTTGGTTTCCTCCGGGGATCTCCTTAAAGCCCAAAAAAAAAACAAAAAAAAAAAAAAAAAATTGGTAGCACTGTGGAAGTGGAGAGTGGGAAAGCAAAGCAAGTTCAGGTTTGCTGGATGTGCTTCGAGAGAATTTGCGCTCCCAATTTATGTTTCATATCTACTCGCCCGCGGCTCGGATTCAATCATCGCGGTGCGAGCAGAACAGCGCGACGACGGCGAACTTTTGTTACAGACTTCAATCGCCGTGAGCGAGAAGGGAGAGGGCAGTTCCAGCTCAAGTTTCGGACTTCCATTACCGTGAGCGAGACTGGGAAGCCAAATGCGAACTGACGAAGTCGAGTTACGGACTGGTTGCCGAAAGAGCTCCAAAGATACTATGAAATTACTACATACGTTCGACATATCCGCATTGCAGCATATAACAGGCAATGGTTATCTTGGATATCACATATAATGCAATGGAAAATATAATCTGTACATTATTATAACAAACTAGCTGACCGAACTCAAATGGGGCTGCAAGCGCGATACTGCCAGTCTCACTTAACTGATGTCTCACTTGACAAAATTCAGCCAGAGATCATGCCGCGCCACTGAACCACTCCATCCTTCTAGGGCTACGAGGAAGAATGGCTTTTAGCCCGGATTTATGTTGTCTGTCATAATCCCTCATAGGCTGTGGTGAGAAATGTTGGAAAAAGAAAGGTATCAGCGGCTGTTGTTTCTTGCTCCCATCCACATTCACACACCTGTTAGATTTTGCCTAGTAACTTCACCCTGGAGCACCCACGTGGACCAAACTGATTCGGGCTGATTACGAATGGATCCCTGCCGCGATCCCAACACAACCAGCCTGGTGGCCTCTAAACGTGCCTGAGAGGCCATCTTTTCCTCGTTATAGTCCTCCTCGTCGCCGTCAAGTTGCATGACTTCAAATCCTCGACTGACAATTTCACCAAACATGTTCCTCGTGAAATTAAAACCAGAACTGTACCCGATGGAAGCAGCCTCGGCAGGCGTGGCTCCAAAATTCACGCTGGCGTGACTTAAGGTCTTGGGTGTTGGCAAATCCGGTTTCAAAGAGCGGAAGATCTCCCCAGCAGCGAAGGAAGCGGCGAATGGGGAGGCGAAAGGGGAGGCGAATGGGGAGGCGAAAGGCGAGGCGAAGGAGGCGAATGGGGACACGAGCGGGGAAGCGAGCGGGGACAGCATGGTAGACGATGATGAGGCAGCTCCGCGATTCATGGAACCAGTCGAGCAGGACTTGGGGAAGCGCGTGCGTGCGCTGCCGAGGGACGGCGCGGCTTTCACAGCGACAGAGGAATGAGCCATGGCTTTTTGTCGAAGAAGCTCTTGGGCGCGCTGCTGAGAGTCTGGGGCGCGCTGCTGAGAGTCTGGGGCGCGCTGCTGAGAGTCTGGGGCGCGCTGCTGAGAGTCTGGGGCGCGCTGCTGAGAGTCTGGGGCGCGCTGCTGAGAGTCTGGGGCGCGCTGCTGAGAGTCTGGGGCGCGCTGCTGAGAGTCTGGGGCGCGCTGCTGAGAGTCTGGGGCGCGCTGCTGAGAGTCTGGGGCGCGCTGCTGAGAGTCTGGGGCGCGCTGCTGAGAGTCTGGGGCGCGCTGCTGAGAGTCTGGGGCGCGCTGCTGAGAGTCTGGGGCGCGCTGCTGAGAGTCTGGGGCGCGCTGCTGAGAGTCTGGGGCGCGCTGCTGAGAGTCTGGGGCGCGCTGCTGAGAGTCTGGGGCGCGCTGCTGAGAGTCTGGGGCGCGCTGCTGAGAGTCTGGGGCGTAACAGACCGCTGGCAGGCTCCAGCTGAGAACCAAACTCAGGCTCGGAGTTGCAATCGCTGCGAAGTGAGGAAGAAAAGCTGCTGTGAAAGCGCACTGGTTGGAGGGTACAAGCTACCCTGGCTTATGTACGCGCCGCTCGAGAAGATGCTGAGTCAGATGCGATGCGACGTCACTCCAATCCATTCCAACAGTCCCAAGATGGCCTGAGGTGGAAGACTGGAAATATCCAGGCTGAACAACCCGACCTGACGTGTGCTTGCGATAGATACGAGTGCGGTGTTGTACAGTGCAGTACACTTCCGGTTAAAGGCAGCCGTTGCAGGCCGAAACGCTACTGTACTTGTAACGTGTCAGACGAACTATAACCTTAGCTATGCACTCAGTGGGTGGGGTGGGGGCACCCACACTGAGAGTCTTTCGGGCTCAATGGGGCCACTGGTTAGGGTTCGTTGAATAAGGATAGTGCAGATTGTTGGAAATGACGAGCGGGCGCCGTTGGAGGAAGCTACCAGACTCGATGGCGACAACGTTTAGAAGACTCTGAGGATATTCATATCGAGGGCGCAGCCGTTGGCTTTGATGTCACAAGGTGATATTTTAGGGTTACCGGCTACGCGAATCTCGCGATAGCAACAAACAAATCTTCTGGCCGGGTTCAGTAGTCGCAAAAGCTTGCAAGGTCCACGACTCGATTGTTTAGTCGTACAAGAGTCGCCTTTAGTTCGAGTCAATAACAGCTATGCGAAGATGCAACGCGCCCTAACAGACGCGATTAGCCCAAAGATATCGACCAGCAAGACTAGCCACAAGTAAGGGGTCTATCTGGTCTTGTGCATTTCGTTCCCGCGTTACGTAGTGTATACAGTAAACCGTACAGTAGTAAGATGGGCCTGAGGTTCAAAGTCATTGACACTATCCCGATACAAGCATAATGAAGGGTGATCATTTGCCGAACTCGAAATCGTGAGGCAGTGTACAGAAACTGGCACCGTTGGTATGAAAACACTGGTGTCATAGCAAATGACCTTGCTGCATCTGACTGTTGCTGAAATGCTGTCTTTTCACACTGATGTGCCAAGGGGGGGGGGGGGGGGGGGGATGCTTTGCTTGGCGATGGCGATTATAATCCATACCGAGGTGATGCACGCTGAATCGCCTTTACAATATTCTCAAGGCTGATTCCCAGACAGATTGCTCCACATAATTTGCGTATGGCTAACAACCCTGCCCCGCGTCCTTTGCAATGTAAGCTCAACCACCCATTACAATATAATGCACACGCATCTACAAATACTACAAGCACATAGGGCAAGGTCTTGGAGGTGACTTACAAAAGCCAGCCAGCAACATCAGAATGCAGAAAGCCATGTGATCCAGTAACACCCTTTTTATTTCGGTTGAACAACAAAAGCACCTTACTTGGTGAGTCCAACTTTCTTCATGAGTGCAGAATCTCTGAAGCTATAAGGCAGCCATGTCATGACACGAAATGACCCCACCAGGTGCCCAAACGCCCACTCTATGGGTACCTTCTTGCCCATGGCTTTCTGGCAGTAGGAAGGAGGGAAATAGAGGGAGAGGGGATAGAACGGCAAGAGATGCATGTGAAATTTGCACGAAGAGAACCCACCAAATCCCCAAACAATCGCACATGCACATACATCCACATGCGCATGCATGCACACGCACACATGCACACGCACACATGCACATGCACATGCAAACTCACACATGCACATGCACATGCACCCGCAAATGCACATGCACATGCACACACACATGCACACGCACATGCACACGCACATACACATACACATGCACATGCACATACACATACACGTACACATACACATGCACATGCAAACACATTTGCACACCACCAGACGCCCAGACACACACATACAAAAACCACCTCACCACCACTCTCACCTCCAATAGAGCCCTCGCAAACACGTCTCCTCGCGTGGGCTGGGGCGTTTGAGGGGCCCCTGCCCTGGCCTCTATGCTGCTGAAGACACAGGCACACACATACATGCAGCTTCTGCACCACCTTCCCACCCTCACCTCCACTAGAGCCCTGGCGAACACGTCTCCTGGCGTGGACTGGGGGGTTTGCGAGGCCCCTGCCCTGGCCTCTATCTGCTGCTGGAAGCGGGAGAATATCTTGAGACGCAGGTGGGAGACAGAAGAAGAAGAATTGCCACCAAAGTTGGACCTGGGTTTGGAAGGGAGGAGATAAGATGGGAGGGGATGGGAACGGAAGGGGTTGTATTGTATAAGAAGGGAAGGGACGGGATGGAAGGGGGTAGGACGGACAGGATGGCGAAGGGAAATGCATGTGAACTGGCCTCTATCTGCTTCTGAAAGCGGGAGAATATCCGTCCTTCTAAACCATCTCAACAGCCCTTTCCTACCCGATGGCACCCGGAGCAACGAGCATGACTTGGATACCAAAGAGTTTCACCTCCATCTGGAGAGCGTGAGTGATGCTGTGCAATGCTGCCTTGGCTACACAGTGGGTGCCAGCCACTGGAAGGCATCCAACTAGCCATCCAGACAGTAAAAGCACCTCACCTGATGGCGCCCGGAGCAACGAGCATGACTTGGATGCCAAACGGTTTCAGCTCCATTCTGAGCGCGTGAGAGATGCTGTGCACTGCTGCCTTGGCCGCACAGTAGGTGCCAGCGAAGGGCGTTGTGACCCATGCTGAAACCGACCCTATGTTCACGACCTTGCCACTGCCCTGAGGATTGCACAGTGGGAAGGAAGTGACAACAAGAAGGGGAGTGAGAGAGACGAAGTAAGCATGTAAGGTGCTGCCTGCCTGCCTTGGCAGCACAGTAGGTGCCAGCGAAGGGCGTGGTGATCCATGCTGACACGGACCGTATGTTCACGACCTTGCCACTGCCCTGAGGATTGGAATGGGAGGGATAGAAGGAGGGGGGGAAAGCTCAGAAGGAGCAAAGGGCATGGTGACCCATGCTGACACCGACCCACGTTGGCCTTCATGTTGCTGTGGAACGCATCCTGAGGCATCTCCAGCATTGGGGCGAAGCAGGAGCCTGTCCATTGAGGCACCCCGCCCCAACCACCAGTCACTTTGACCCTACCTGCTCCACCATGATGGCTTGAGTGATGGCCAGCAGGCCAACCACGTTGGTCTCCATGTTCCTGCGGAAGGCGTCAACAGGCATCTCCGCCATGGGTCGAAAGCACCCCGCGCCTGCCACCATACTCACGTTCACCCCACAGTCACATTCACCCTACCTGTTCCACCATATGCGGCACTACTGCCTGAGTGACGGCCAGCAGGCCAACCACGTTGGTCTTCATGTTGCTGCGGAATGCATCAAGAGGCATCTCCGCCATGGGGGCAAAACAGCCTGCCCCTCTACCCACCTGCTACCATCACACACACCTGCTCCACCATGTGCGGCACCACCGCCTGAGTGACGGCCAGCAAGCCGACCACATTAGTTTCCATGTTGCTGCGGAATGAATCCAGAGGCATCTCCGCCATGGGGCCGAAACATCCCGCACCCGCGTTATTCACCAGTATGTCTATTCTGCCCGCCTGCTCAGGTGCGCAAGGGAAGGAGCACGAGGGGTACTACAGCTGGGTACAATGAGAAGACAGAGCAGCAGATGTGTTGAGGCATCTCCGCCATGGGGCCAAGCCAAAACAGCCCGCGCCCGCGTTGTTGACCATAATGTCTATTCTGCCTGCCTGCTCAGGTGCGCAAGGGAAGTGGGCAGGTGGGAAAGGGAGGAAGCATGAGGCATGATGACTAGTAGGCAGAGCAAGAGGGGCATCCAGGGGCATCTCCGCCATGGGGCCAAGCCAAAGCACCCTGCTCCTGCATCGTTGACCGGAACGTCTATTCTGCCCGCCTGAATGGGTGAGACAGGCGGCACCATGGCACCTTCACCACCTTCACCATGACTCAATGCAAGGGTCGCCTTGGAAATGACTGTGCTCACGGCTTCCTGAACGGAGACTGTGGAGGTGACATCTAGCTGCACCGTCAGTTTGGCAGAGCCCACAATTGGCCGTTAAAGTTGAATCAGACGTCCCAGTCAATTCACCTTGGAAATGACTGTGCTCACGGCTTCCTGAACGGAGACTGTGGAGGTGACATCTAGCTGCACCGTCAGTTTGGCAGAGCCCACAATTGGCCGTTAAAGTTGAATCAGACGTCCCAGTCAATTCACCTTGGCAATGACTGTGCTCACGGCTTCCTGAACGGAGACTGTGGAGGTGACATCCAGCTGCACCGTCAGTTTGGCAGAGCCCACATAAATGAAATCAGACGTCCCAGTCACGTCACCTTGGCAATGACTGTGCTGACGGTGTCCCGAATGGATGCTGGGGATGTGAGATATAGGTGTACTGTAAACTTGGCAGAGCACATGAATTGAAGCAAACTTCTCATTGAAACATCACCTTGGCAATGACTGTGCTGACGGCTTCTTGAATGGAGGCTGTGGACGTCACATCTAGTTGCACCGTCTCGATCCCCAAGCCTGCAAAGGAGGAAAATCAGGAAAGAATTGAGACACAAAAAGACGAAAGAAAGGAACAGAACAAGGGGAAGAGTCTTGAATGGAGGCTGTGGACGTCACATCTAGCTGCACTGTCTTGATCCCCAACCCTGAAAAAGGGAAAAGAATGGTAAGAGGAGGAGATGAGAGAAAAGGATTTTGATGTGGGGAGGAGTGCTCATCAAGATGAGTTTTGAGCGGTCTGGCTCAAACATCAAAGCCACTCAAACTTCAAAGCCACAAGCCACCTTTGAGAGATCTATCTCATACACGACGAGACGACTAAACATTCTTGAACGAGGGCAGTGGGGAGTGGATTGGACATTTAACCGCACCATCTCTCTCCCCAACCCTGAGATGGCAGAGAAGAGGGGTGCAGTGCAGGGGACATGCGAGCCGAGTTTTGATGCACATGTTACGTGATAACAAAACTTTCCGAGGACGTCTCAAAACAAACTCATTATCACGTGACACATGACATGCGACAAGAGAGCTTGAAGATTAAAAAACGCCTCCCAAAGGCCGCTTACCTGCGAGGTCCTGCATTTGCCTACCTACCTGCTAAGTCTTGCATGGAGTCGGGGCGGCATGCGGATGCGAACACGCGACAACCTCTAGCGGCGAAGGCCTTGCAAAGCCCCGATCCGATACCCATATTCGATGCCGCGTGAGACACTCATGCTGGGAGAGGGGCCAGGGCCTCACACTCGCCACTTGCCTGCTAAATCCTGCATGGAGTCGGGTCGGCGTGCTGTAGCGAACACGCGGCAGCCTTTAGCGGCGAAGGCTTTGCAGAGCTCCGATCCGATGCCGCCGGAGGAGCATCCCGTGACGAGCACCACTGGACCCGCCATCAGCGGCTGGTGCTGCTCCGACATTAGTGAGCCGACCGCTGCCTTTCTAAGGGTCGTGACGCGAGGAGGCTGTTAACGCGAAGCGCGTGAGCTTCGAGCTTCGTGCGGTGAATGAACAAACGAACGGGTTAAACGGCCCTGACGGGTTAAAGGGCACGGCTGTTAATGACAGGTGATTGTACACTGATGAGAATCAACGGCTCCAGGTGGATTGATAGGTTGATTGATTCTTCAGAGTACTGTCACGTGAAACTGATGAAGTTTCGTTTAGGAGCCAAAAGCTAGTAGTTGTCTCTGCTCGAGTCTGTATGTTTCGGGAAGATCGAGTCGAGACACACAAATGGCGCCAGATGATAGATTCAGACAAGGTGTCAGAATTAGCATCTGACACAAAAACTACACTCAAGTCCAACTTCATCACCGTACTGCACCCTACTGGTACGCGTCAAACCACATTTGATTGCGATCTCGCGGGTGATGTATTGAACCTCAGGAGCCCTCGAAAAGCTGGCCTTGGGATTCCAGTAGTACAGACCGACTCGACTCGATTCGACTCGATCAGCTAGACTCTAGGTTATATTCACTGGTTTATTGACCTTACATACCATCATGCAGTTTATGTGGTGTACTAAAATCTCGAACGATCACACTGAAAGCTGCGCTGCGGTCAAGCCACTCGTGATGCTTCAGGGGAGCTGCGAGTTTTTATCGCAAAACTCGAAAGTAGCCGTTGCTCGAAGCGCGCGCGCTGGGTGAGAGCCATACGCTCTGGTTTTGAGGTGCCGAGGATATGCTAACCGAGTGAGAGCATCATTCCACTCTTGGTGCAACAGCAGAGGTTGCGCAGTTCCATTTCTAGGTGCCTCGAAAGTGAATGCAGAGCTCGAGGACAATGCTAGCTGCAGCGAACCACGCGTGTGTGAGTGAGCATGCATTCTGTAGCAGAGAACCACGCGTTTGTGCTGTTCCACGTAAAGCGAAAGTCGTATCGAAAGGTGACTCTCCTCTGTCCGGGTTTGCCACAAATAGGCAAATGGTATTTAGTAGGAAGGGCTGCAGCTGACCAGTTCGATCAGGCCTAGTGAAAACCGCAGTCGCGATATCACTTTTTATCTTCACCTCAAGGTACTCCCAGTTCGTTTCTTGAGACACCCAGAGAGTGCACATGGCTCATATGGACTCTGCAGCAACTCACATTCACGATCTCCCTGACGATGTTCTCGTTAGAATTTTCTGGCCTCCGGAGCAAACAACCTCTTACAAATCCGAGAGCGATGATCTATGGAACTTCGTGTTTCCTCGACCCAAGTACTTCTATGGAAACGCCACGCCTGAAGAGCTTTACTACGGGCGAAGAGACTCTCCCATGCCGAGCCCTCCAGCCTCTGCAGAAGCTGGTTACACTCTCCTGTTAGCGTCCATCTGCCAGCGCTGGCGGCGAATCACTCAGCGCCACGTGTCGTCTCTCCTCGTCAAGGAAGATCGTGTTGTTTCACACCAGGATGTGCTCAGCGCTGTTGCGTGTTTACCGCATCTGACCCATCTGCACCTGTCGGACAGCAGCGTGGAGATTTTGAACAACGCCTTCCTTGCTGACCTTTCTGCTGCGTGTCCGAGGCTGAGGGCGTTGTACGTGGGGAAGCTGATGCTGACAGCAGATGACGAAGGTAGAAAGAAGCACAGCCTGATCACCAAACCTGGCTTGGATAATCTCTTCCGTCGCTGTCCGGATCTGGAGCAGCTGTCGCTGTATTGCCTTTGGAGAAACGTGAATCCACCAGCTTCTTTTTTCCAGCTTCGGAATATGCGCATCCTGGTCCTGTCCAATTCATTTTTCCTCAAGACTCCTGAATTCAACTCCCTCGCATCTCTCACTGCTCTCTCCTTAGAAACCACAAACCTTCACTACCGCCAACTTTCGAACATCCTGTATCTCACCAACCTCACCTGGCTTTCTTTGCCCACCCTAATCACTCCGCCTTCTTTCTCACTCGCACAATTACCCTCTCTCAACTCACTGAAAGTCGGTCTCTCCGATTCACAATTCAGCGATCTCTTCCCTCTTAGATTTCCATACAGGTTCTTAAAACGGCTGCAACTTAGGAACTGCAACGAGCAAGAGAGCCTTCCAGACAGTTTTGGAGAGGTGATGCCTTGCCTCCAAGACCTCAGCATCTGTTACTGCAGATGCTTCAGTGATCTGACGGACCGATTCACCTCTCTGTCCTGCCTGGAGAAGCTGACACTTTCCTCTTGCAACATCTTCTCTCTGCCTGCAAACTTCGGAAACCTTCCCGCTCTGGAGACCTTGGTGCTGGATGCGCTGGCCCTTCGCTATCTTCCTTCTTCCTTCACCAAACTCTCATCTCTGGAGACTTTTTTGCTGCTTGGGTGTGAGGATATTGTTGACTTACCTGAAGGGTTTGGTTGCCTCACAGCACTCCAGACTCTCAGCCTTGCATTGCCACCGGCCCTGGACCTTCCGGAGCTGGGCCTTCCGTACCTGGACCAGTCGGACCTGAACTTTCTGGACCTGACACTTCCAGACGACATTGGAGGGCTGACTAATCTTCATACTATTCGTCTCAACAAAAACTGTGAAGAGCATTTGCCATCTTCTTTCACGCAGTTGGTTTCCCTGACCAGGCTGGAACTGGATCAGTGCAGGATTTGTGAGCTTCCAGAGGGCATGGGGGAGCTGACAAACCTGCAAGAACTCTACATTCAGGACTGTTCAGAATTCAAGAAGCTTCCAGAATCAGTGACAGCACTGGTCGGCCTTCGAGTGCTAAGGATTGAAAGCTGTCCCAGTCTCTTTTTGCTTCCCAGGAGGTTGGACAGCCTGACCAGGCTGAAGCAGTTGGAGATAAGCGGATGTGATCAGCTGGATGAAGCCCCTCAGTGTTTGCCACTCAGCCTCCAGTCTCTATTTTACAAAAACGATCAGATGGTGCCGCTGCCTGACATGTCAAAGCTTTCAGGACTGAGGGATTTGCGCTTGGGTGTTGTTCATGCAGTAGCTCTCCTGACAATCTGTGCCAGTCTTTCAGGTCTAGAGCATTTGGAGTTGACGCTGGGAGAAGATACGGAGGAGTTTCCTTCCGCATTGACCAGTCTTTCTCGCCTCCACACCTTGGCAGTAAAGGGGGCTCACAGCATGAAGAGTCTGCTGCAATCTGATGGCTCACTCGATGGTCCACCTTTTCAGGCGCTACGACAGCTGAGTATCAATACAAGTGACGAAGGCTGAACTTTTCAAACTGCTCTTCTCTCACGCATCTCCCTGCTTCACTCGCCGATCTATCCTGCCTGACTGATTTGAAGCTAAGCAACACTTCTGTCTGCTTGCTCCCTCCTCAATTAACTGAGCTCCGCAGACTCAAGAACTTTGATGTCTCTAACTGCAAGCAGCTGGAAGCTCTGCCTCACGGATTACAAGACCTCAAAATGCTTGATCTTCTCTATACCAGAGGCTGTGACAAGCTCCAACAATGAAGGTGATCCTTGATATCAGAATGTAGGGCGTGTAGTTGGACATTGTGACTACTGTTTTTGGAAGTTGGATACTTAGCTCTCAACTTGACAATCTTGTATAACGCTACCATTCAGAAACGAGTTCGCAAGGAAAACCAGAAATATTGTTTGGGGCCTGTTGCTGAACCCCCCTGTTAGTAGGGATCGCCCACTTGTGAGCTGCGCTGTGATCAATGCTCGTGTTGTGGTTAGGAGATCTGCGAGCTCCTCTCGCAAAACCCAAAGTAGCCGTAGCCCGAAGCGCAGAGCCTACGAGTGAGAGCATTACGCTATTTTCGAGGATTTTCGGGAATGGATCGCCCTGAGTGAGTGAGCGAGCATCATGCCAGCTGCAGCGCATGGCTAGTGAATGAGTACACAATGCTAGCTGTCCTCCAGCGCATGCTCAGTGCTCAGTGAGTGAGCATGCGTGCTTCAGCACCAGCTGCATCGTGCCACGTGTGCGTTCTTCCTCATGTGATTGGTTCAATTCCACTCCGAAGGTCGCATCTAGAGTCGCTGAGTCGCAGAGTCGCAGAGTAAAAGCAAAAGGCGACCCTCCTCTACCAGGAACTGCCTGTCGCACCGACAGATCGACTCTTATTCGGAACTGACATTCAGGCGTAGGAAGTTGTTGCCTGATAGTAGGCAGGATGGACAGAAATGACTGACCTTTCAGATCGAGCCTATTCTATTCGCACGGTACTCCAGAAACTGTCTTTCAACTCCGGCAGTGTTGTTGTTTACCTTGACCTCAGTCGCTACCAGTTCTTTTCCTGAGGCACCTAAAAAGTGTCACAATGGCTCATGCGGACATGGCTCTTATGGTCTCCGGAGCAACTCACATAAACGATCTCCCTGACGATGTTCTCGCCTGGATCTTCTGGCCTCCGAAACATCCAATCTTTCGCGGATCCGAAAGCGATGATCTCTGGAACGTCGTGTCGCATGATCGGCCTAAGTACATCCACGCGAATGCTACGACTGAAGAGCTTGTCTACGGGCGAAGAGACACTCCCATGCCGACCCCTCCCGACTCCGCGGACGCCGCGTACACTCTGCTGCTTGCTTCCATCTGCCGCCGTTGGAGGCGAATTACCCAACGCCACGTGTCTTCTCTCCTCGTGAAGGAAGACCGGGTCGTTTCACACCAGGATGTGCTCAACGCGGTTGTGTGTTTACCGCATCTGACCCATCTGCACCTGTCAGATTGCAGTGTGGAACTTGTGGATAATGCCTTTCTCACTAATCTCGCTGCTGCGTGCCCTAAGCTGAGAGCCTTCCACGTGGGGAAGTTGGTGCTGACAGCAGACGACAAAGGTGGAAAGAAGCACAGCTTGATCACCAAACCTGGCTTGGATAGTTTCTTCCGTAGCTGCCCGGATCTGGAGCATCTGTCGCTGTGCTGTCTTCGGAAGAGTGTGAGATCACCGGCTTCTTTCTTCCAGTTGAATCTGCGCACGCTCGTCTTGTCCAATCCATTCATCCTCAGCTCGTCAAAATGCAACTCCCTTGTCTCACTCACTGCACTTTCCATTGAAACCACCTACCTTCACTATGAGCAACTTTCCAACCTCCTCCATCTCACCAACCTCACCAGCCTCTCCTTGCCGGATCAGATTCGCCTGATTTCTGAAACTTCGCCTACCTTCTCTCTTGCACAACTACCTCTGCTCAGCTCGTTGAAACTCGGCATCCACTTTGCAAAGTTCAGCGTTTTTTTCCCTCGTAGTTTCCCATACGGATCCCTGAAACGCCTGCAGCTCACACATTGCAACGAGCAAGAGAGCCTTCCAGCCAGTATAGGAGAAGTGATGCCCTGCCTGAAAGATTTCAGCATCTGTTACTGTAGATGCCTCATCTATTTGACTGACCAATTCACCTCTCTCTCCTGCCTGGAAAAGCTGACAATTTCTATGTGCAGCATCCTCACTCTGCCCAGCGATTTCGGAGATCTTCCAGCTTTGAAGACTCTAGTTTTGGACACTCTGCCTCTGCTCTATCTGCCTGCTTCTTTCACCAGACTCGCAACTCTGGAGTCGTTTTTTCTGCTCGGTTGTGAAGAGATCCATGAATTACCACTAGGGTTCGGTTGCCTCACAGGACTCCAATCTCTGCACCTTGTCAGCTCGCCTACTCTGGCCCTTCCGGAAGACTTGGGGGAACTGACCAATCTTCGAACATTTCGTCTTAAGGAGAACAGTGGAGTGCAGTTGCCGCTCTCTTTCTCGCAGCTGGTTTCACTGACGAGGCTGGAACTGGATGAGTGCAGTATTGGCGAGCTTCCAGAGGGCTTGCGGGAGATGACAAATCTGCAGGAGCTCTACATTCAGAACTGCCGGGAATTTCAGAAGCTTCCAGAATGCTTGACAGCTCTAGTCAGTCTTCGAGCGCTAAGGATTGAAAACTGTCCCAACTTCTACTCTATTCCCAGGAGGATGGACAGGCTTACCAGGCTGGAGCAGTTGGAGCTGAGGGGTTGTGAGCACCTGAGTGGAAATCTTACATTTCTACCCTTGAGCCTCCAGGCTCTGTCTTACCTAAACAATCAGGAGGTGGCACGTCTGCCAGACATGGCAATGTTTTTGGAGCTCAGAGATCTGCGTTTGGGTTTTGTTGATGCAGCAGGCCTCCTGGCGATTGCTGCCTATCTCTCACGTCTGGAGCGTTTGGAGTTGGCGTTGGGAGCAGATGGGGGGAAGGCGGAGAGGTTTCTTTTCACATTGACCAGTCTTGGTTGCCTCCGCAACTTAACACTCATGGGAGCTCGCAGCTTGGAGATGCTTCTGGAATCTGATGGATCGGCCTGGCATGGGCTACGGCAGCTGTGCATTGATGATACATTGAGTGGTGAACTTACCTGGCTGCCTCCAGCTATCACGACTCTTCAGCACCTGACATCCCTTAAGATCCACGCACCAAGCTTTTTTTCTCTTCCATATGAGCTTGGGGCGTTCTCAAGACTTCGGCAGCTGGACTTATCGCACTGCTCATCCCTCACGCGTCTCCCTGCTTCTCTCAGCCGTTTATCCTGTCTGGTTGATTTGAAGATCAGCAACACTTCTGTTCGCTCGCTCCCTCAGGGTTTGTCCCGGCTTACAAGACTCAAGAACCTTAATCTCCGTAACTGCAGGCAGCTGAAGGCCCTGCCTGGTGAAATAAAGGATCTTCCAATGCTCGATTTTCTTCTCACTGAAGGCTGTGAGGGGGGCTTCCAGATTTCAGACCTTTTGGGAGACCTTTTGTTAGACGAGAACTTTGATTTCATAGTGTAAGTTTGTATTAGTTGTATAGCTAGCTGATTCTCAGTGTAAATTTGCCTTGTAGACATTTTGAAAGTGGGAGTGTAACTGCTTGTAACAGACCGGACCGCTCTTTGCATACGGTAATGTTGATACAACGTGGAGGGAGGTGAGGGGTGGGCAAATGAAACATGAATCCGTTTTCGATTTGGAATTACATGAATCACATATTTATATGCGATTGGAAAAAAGTAGTGCACAATCAATCATGAGTTATCATGGTGCCGTGGTATAATAACCACCCAATGCCGGAGAAGCAAAAGGGTTCTTTTACCTAGCATTGTTGCAGCAGCGCACACCAGTAGTACCTACCATACGTTTCAGACTTACGGTATACACGCCTCTGCAACGCAGGCGAAGGGACAGATGGCATTGCAATTTGCAACGCGAGGATATTTTCTGGCCAGTCAACAGAACAACCCAACCGAGTGTTGCAGTGCTTCAATTCAAAGGCCCCAAGAGGATCTTTCCCGACTGGCTCCACCAAAGAACCCAAACAAGCATGACGACAAGCCTATTAATCAATCCACAAACCCAAATCAGTAGCACTAACAACTCTCATATTTCCAACTGCACATGAACTACACCCCCACCAGAACCAGGAGCATCTTTCACCCAGAAGAACCTATCAGTCCAGTGATCCTGGAGGTCTGTCCAAGCCATGCCGCCCCTACACCACCTCATGGTGTCTCTTGTCCTCATCCCTCCTCCCCTCATCCTCCAACTCCTCCCGATCCACAAACCTACCGATGAGGTCCGGAGGAGGGAGGATTAGTCTCGGAGCCTGCCCGAACCAGCGGTGGCGGCGGCGCCAGGCGAAGAGGAAGGGGGTGGTGGGGGATGAGGAGGAGGGAGGCGAGGAGGGGGTAGGGGAGAGGCAGGTCGCATGCCACTCGCAGCAGTGCTGATGGGACAGAGCGATGGGGGGAGGGGGAAGGGGTGGAAAAATCACTCTCCGGGTGAGCCCGAACCAATTCGGTCTGCTTTGGCCGAACCAGCAGTGGTGGCGGCAGTACGCGAGGAGAAAGGGGGCGTCGTGAAGAGGGCGGGGGATGAGGAGTAGGGGGGCAAGGAGAGGGTAGGGGAGTGGCAGGTCGCATGACACTCTCAGCAGAGCTGGCAGCATAGTGAAATAAGGGCAGAGAGAAGGTTAGAAGAGATGGTGGGGAGGAGAGGGGCGCAAGGGTTTATAGTTTACAGGGTATGGAAGAGGCAGGTCCCAGGCCACTCGCAGCAGAGCTGATGGGACAGTGGAATAAGGGGAGGAGGGGAGGGGAAAGGCAAGGAACGGCGGGGGAAAGTCAATACAAGAAGCCTCAAAGGGAGGAGGGAGGCGATGAGGGGGTAGGGGAGCGGCAGGACGCGTGCCACTCGCAGGAGAGCTGATGGGACAGGGGAACAAGGGGACGAGGGGAGGGGAGAGGGGAATGGATAGAGCGAAGAATGCGGCTTGAGACACGCTAGGTCTCACCAGAGGGAAGCAGAGAAGGAGGCGCTGTACCAGAACTCTTGAACATGCACCGGAGAGAGGAGAACGTCAGAGGGGGTGAGGCCAACGGCAGCGAGGTAGGGGTGGGCTGCCTCTGACTGCGCGCAGCAGAAAGAGAGCTTCTGATCCCTGTCCGCCCTGGCTATGCGGTGGACCACTGCAGTGAGGGCGGGAAGGTGGAAGGGGGTGGTGAGGGGGAGAGAGAGGAGGGGGGTTGAGCTAATTTGTCAAGTGGTGTGCTGCCTTTGACTGGACCGCAGCAGAAGGAGAGCTTCTGACCCCTGTCCACCTGTCCTCTGCACGACTCACCTGCTCATTCTGACTCACCAGCGTGGGAGGCATGGCATGCCCCGACAATGGGCAGCACACGAGGTTTCAGGCTCCCACCTTCCCCCACCCAACCCACCTACCCATCCTGATCTCGACTTTTGAGACGCCTAGGACACCACCTATCCTGAGGTACTCACCAGCGTGGGAGGCATGGCACGTCCCATCAATGAGCAGCACAGCACGCGCGGCTTCAGGCTCCCATGCAAGTCTCTTGCCCCCAGTACAACCCCACCTGTCCTGTGAAGAAATCATCCGTCTAGTCTGACTCACCAGCATGGGCGGCATGACATGTCCCATCAATGAGCAGCACACGTGGTTTCAGGCTGCCGAAATTTGCAGCGAACACAGTCACAGGCGCGCCCATGCCTGCTGCTATGGCGATCTGGGGCGTGGGGGGTAGTGGTACTGGCTCACACAATCATACACCCGTCCGAACCCATCCAAACCTGACTTACCAGCATGGGAGGCATACCACGTGCCGTCAATCAGCAACATCCGTGGTTTCAGCCGGCCAGGGTGGACTGAAACACAGTCACAGGCGCGCCCATGCCTGATGCTGCCATGGGTGGTGTGGTGCTGGCGCTGGTGGTGGTTCATGCACCCCTGCTAGTCTCTTGTCGCTATCTATCCTCAGCAAATGTTGGGCGGAAGGGTTCTAATGGCGCAGGATGATTGGGCGGGGTGTCCGCTACTGGTTGAGGGGGGAGGGTGCGCGGAGACTCCGCCATGTCGTGCTGGGGGGCTTGCGCAGGGGACGCGGGGAGGGCGGTGGCGGAGGGCTTGAGTGATTGCTGCGGCGAATTCATAACAAAAAGTACTATTTAAAGGTTCCATCAGGTATCTGTACAGAATCGTCAAAGGCTGTTCGATGTGTTGACTGTGGCGGGTAACTGTACTCTGTAATCTGTAATCTGCGAAGATGTTGCTACAGGAGGCTCCTATGCAAGATGCTGGTATGAAACTGTGAGCCATCGCATTGCTACTCTCCTAATACCTACGTTAGTATGCGAAAAATGCGACGGAATGTGTTCCAAATTCGGACGTATGGAACATCGTCGTGACAATAAGAAACTAGACTTGATTTTTTCGGTCGGAATTTTCCCACAACAGATGGGAGGACAGATAGAGGGGGGCACGAAGGGTTTAGGGCGTGTAAAACTGCAACGACCAAACGCTATGGTCGATGATTTGGGCGTTTCTGGCGATTGCGAGGAATTAGGGTTACGCCGATTGAAGTAGTCACCCCGATATGACCGATTTTCACTGGTAATTTCTGAGCAGAAATTTACGCACCGCTTTATGCTCAGCGGGGAGATATTTTTCCGTTTACCTAAACCCACTGCTTTGGTAAACACTCTAGTCTAGGCTTCAGATCCCCTATTCCACACCCCTTTCGAATGCAGTAGAGGGAATCATTTTTTTTCCTTTTTTATTAAGGGGGTGGTTTGGGGTGGGTGCCCCAAATGCTGACGAATTTTGTGGCGGGGTTCGTTTGAGTGTTACACATTTCGCACTCGCCAGAAACGCCCAAATGGTCGACCATAGAGTTTGGGCACAATTTTACACGCCCTTAGTGGCCGAAGTTTGCCGAGCCTGGCGGAAGGCCTGGTCGCGAAGTACGCTCGGCGGAACAGGGCAGGGAAAGTGCGTTCGCGAAAAAAGTGTTGTTCTCGAGGAATCTACTGCTGACAGGAGTGCGATTCATGAGGAGCAATCTCGAGGGTTGAAATGAAAGCCAAGACGCAGAATGACCACCGTAGTGCACCCACGAGACTTCCCTTATCTTCTAACAGAACTGCGCCTAACCGATTTGAACTGCGATTCAGAGAGATGAAATGAATGGAAACCTCCTCCTCCCCCCACCCCAAATGTCTGCTGCGTCCAAGGCGATCTGGTGCACAATGTTCTAAAGCAATACAAACCTGTTGCCGTGATCTACCGTACTCAAATGCGCTGAAATGTTTTCGAACCGATAAATACGACTTTCTCTGGGAAGCAGGAGGTGCAGCCCCCGAAAAGTTGGTGTTGAGGTCTGAGAGGAACTCGAATAGTCTCGACTCGACTGACTCGACTCCACTCAATCAGCCAGGATTCTAGGTTATTTAGTTGGGTCGTAAACCGCTTCAGTAATTGACCGTACGTACGACCATGCCATGTAGCTCACTAAAAGCTCAAACGCTCACACCACGAGCTGCGCTGTGAACAAGCCACGTGTGAAGGTCATGATTCGCGGAAGCTCCGAGCTGCTCCCGCGAAACCCGAAGTAGCCGTTGTCCCGAAGCGCAGTGTCAGCTGAGTGAGAGCATCAAGCTGGCTTTCAGGAGCCTCGGGGACGGAACATATTGCAAGCTGGAGCGCATGGCGAGTGAGTGAGCACAACTGGCTACGGGGTCCAGCGCATGCTCACTGCTCATTGAGTGAGCATGCACACCTGCAGCAGCCACAGAAAGGCACGGGTGTGTGCTGCTCCATGTGAGGAGTTCAATTCCACAGCGAAAATCCCAGCGAGAATACAGCGAGAGTCGCAGCGAGAGTCGCAGCGAGAGTCGCAGCGAGAGTCGCAGCGAGAGTCGCAGCGAGAATTGCAGCGAAATGTGACTCTCCTCGAGCTGCGGTTTCCTGTCGGCGCAGCAGCGGTCGACTCTGGAGCTGACAGAGAGTAGGAAAGTAAGCTAATGCGCAGTAGTGGGTAGGATGGACAGAAGTAATAATCGACCTTGCCGATCGAGCCTACACCATTCGCATGATACCTCGTGAAACTGCGGTTCATCTTTGGCTGTAGTGTTGTTTACCTCCTCCTGAGTCGCTTCCAGTTCGTTTCTTGAGGCACCTAAATAGTGCGCATGGCTCAAACGGACATGGCTCATATGGAGTCTGGAACTACTCACTTTGACGATCTCCCTGACGATGTTCTCGTTAGGATTTTTTGGCCTCCGGAACAGCCAACCTCCTGCAGATCCGAGAGCGATGATCTGTGGAACGTCCTCGTTTCGTCTCGCCCTGAGTACATCGACGGAAGCACTACGCCTGAAGAGCTTTCCTACGGCCTAAATGAAAATCCCATGCCGAGCCCTCCTGCCTCCGCAGACGCCGCGTACACTCTCCTCCTCGCGTCCATCTGCCGTCGCTGGCGAAGAATCACTAAGCAGCACGTGTCGACTCTCCTCGTGAAAAAAGACCGGGTCGTTTCACACCAGGATGTACTTAACGTGGTTGCCTGTTTACCGCATCTGACCCATCTGCACCTATCTGATAGCAGCGTTGAACTTCTGGACAACGCCTTTCTTTCTAACCTCGCCGCTGCGCGCCCTAAGCTGAGAGCGTTCCACGCGGGGAAGTTGATTCTGACAGCAGCAGCCGACGAGGGTGGGAGGAAGCTTAGCCTGATAACCAAACCTGGCTTGGATAATTTCTTTCGTCGCTGCCCGGATCTGGAGCAGCTGTCGCTGTATTGTCTTGAGAAGAATGTGAAACCACCAGCTTCTTTCTTTCAGCTTCAGAATTTGCGCGTCCTTGGCTTGTCCAATGCTTTTATCCTGAAGGCCTCAAAATGCAAATCCCTTGTTTCTCTCACTGCACTCTCCATAGAAACCACCCACCTTTATTACAACCAGCTTTCCAACCTTCTACATCTCACCAACCTCACCAGCCTTTTCTTGCCGAGTGAGATTCGCCTGGTTACTGAAACTCCTACCTTCTCTCTCGCACAACTACCTGCCCTCAACTCACTGAAATTCGGCCTGTGCTATGCACAGTTCAGCGTCTTTTTCCCTCTCAAATTTCCATACAGGTTCCTGAAACGGCTGCAGCTTACAAACTCCTACGATCAAGACAGGCTTCCAGACAGTATAGGGGACGTGATGCCTTGCCTCCAAGAGCTCAGCATCTGGAACTGCAGCTACTTGACCGATCTGACGGACGAATTCACCTCTCTCTCCTGCCTGGAGAAGCTGACAATTTCCAATTGCAGGACCTATACTTTGCCCAGGAATTTTGGAAATCTTTCGGCTTTGAAGACGTTGGTGCTGCACATGCTGCCTCTTTCCTACCTCCCTGCTTCCTTCACCAAACTCTCATCTCTGGAGACTTTTTTTCTGCTCGGATGTGAGGCGATGGTTGAGTTACCCCCAGGGTTTGGTTGCCTCACAGGACTCCAGACTCTGCAGCTTGCATGGTCCCCGGGCCTGGGCCTTCCAGAAGACTTGGGAAAGCTGACCAATCTTCAAACCTTTCATCTTCGGAGAAACTTAGAGGAGCAGCTGCCGCTCTCTTTCTCGCAGCTCGTTTCATTAACCGCACTGGAACTGGATGACTGCAGTATTGGCGAGCTTCCAGAGGACATGGGGGGGATGACAAACCTGCAAGAGCTCTATCTTCAGAGCTGCTCAGAAATCAAGAAGCTTCCAGAATCCGTGACAGCTCTGGTTAGACTTCGAGTGCTAAGGGTTGAATACTGTCCAAATCTTTTTTCTATTCCCAGGAGGTTGGACAGCCTGACCAGGCTGAAGCAGTTGGAGATTACAAGATGTGAGAAGCTGAACGAAACCCTTTTGGCTCTGCCAAGCAGCCTCCAGGTGCTATTTTACCAAAACAGCCAGCTGGTTGTGCCTCTGCCTGACATGTCACTGCTCTCAGAGCTCAGGGATTTGCGCTTGGGCTTTGTTGATGCTGCAGATCTCCCGGTGCTTACTGCCAATCTCTCAGGTCTGGAGCATTTGGAGATGTCGTGGAGGGAAGATTCAGAGAATTCTCTTTCCGCATTGACCAGTCTTGCTTGCCTCCGCACGTTGACAGTTGAGACTGCTCACGGTGTGAAGAAGCTGCTGAAATGTGATACACTAGCTTTGCAGGAACTACGGCAGCTGAACATCGATTCCTTCCGTAAACCTTTTACACAGCTCCTGTGGCTATGACAATCTTCACTTTCGAATGAGATGGGGGTGTTCTCAAGTCTGCGGCAGTTGGACCTATCAAACTGTTCATCCCTCACGTCACGCCGTCCCTGCTTCTATCATGAGCTATGCTGCCTGATAGTTTTGAAGATAGCAACGCTTGTGTCTGCTTGCTCCCTCCCCTATTGTGTCAGCTCAGCAAACTCCTTATCTAGATTAACTGCTAGCTGGAGGTTCTGCCTGATACGGTACCGTAAATAGATCTCATAATGCTCAACCTTTTTATTCTGAAGGTTTTGAGAGGCTCTGGTACGGTACTACTAGCATTTCCAGTTTCCTTCAGCAATATACATGGTAAATAATTGATGCACATGCTCGAATTACGGTAGAAGCTCCCTTCGAGACTCTGGAGAGTGTTTATTTCATGGCACTGGTAAGAGGACTCTCCACCCCAGCACGAGAATACAAGATTGTTCAAGGCGAGTCCGCACCAGTGAGGTCTGCTTTGCCCAAGCCACTTGTACCGACAAACACACAGGTACCGTACCGCTATTCCAGCACGACAAAAACCACCACTGCACTACAAAGAACCAGCACCACGTGACACTACCGTTGAAGCATGAATCATCAACCGCATCAGTCCAGGGACCCCAGAGGTCTGTCCCAACAATACCGCGCCTCTGCAATCTCATGGTGCCGCCTATCCCCATCCCTCCTCCCCTCATCTCCCAACTCCTCACGACACACAAACCTGCCGATGAGGTCCGAGGGGTGGGAAATATCACTCCGGGGGCCTGAACCAGAAGTACTAACAACCGGATTCTCAAAAGCTAAACTCCCATCAACAAAGGATCCACATCACCACCAGAACAAGGAGGGCCTTTCCAATTACAACTTATCCATCAAGAGAAGCCGGAGGTCTGTCCAAGCCATGCTGTTGTCCCTCCTCCACCTGAGCCAAGAGCACCTTTAGCCCAAACCTTATCAATCTAGTGACCCTGGAGGTCTGTCCAAGCCATGCCGCCCCTCCGCCATCTCATGGTGCCTCTTGTCCTCATCTCTCCTCCCCTCATCCTCCAGCTCCTCACGATCCACGAACCTACCAATCAGCTCCGGAGGAGGGAGGATTAGCCTCGGCGCCTGCCCGAACCAGCGGTGGCGGCGGCGCCAGGCGAAGAGGAAGGGGGTGTTGAGGAGAGGTTGGGGGATGAGGAGGAGGGGGGCGAGGAGGGGGTAGGGGAGAGGCAGGTCCCAGGCCACTCGCAGCAGCGCTGGCAGCACAGGGGAAGGGAGGGGAGGTAATTGGGGGGGAAAGAAAAAGGGGAAGAAGCAGATGAGGGGGTAGGGGAGAGGCAGATCCCAGGCCACTCGGAGCAGCGCTGAAGGGATGGGGGAACAAGGAGAGGAGGAAGGAGAAAGGTGAAAAACGGCGAGGGGAAGTCAATACAAGACGCCCCAATGTGAGGAGGGAGGTGAGGAGGGGTTAGGGGAGAGGCAGATCCCAGGCCACTCGGAGCAGAGCTGAAGGGATGGGGGAACAAGGAGAGGAGGGGAGGGGAAGGAGAAAAGTGAGAGAGCGGAGAATGCGGGTTGAGACACGCTAGATCTTACCAGGGGGAAAATACAGCCTACCTAAGGTGGCAGAGAAAAAGGAGTTGTAGCCACCTTAGAACGTCAGAGAGGAGGCTGTTTTCTCTCCAGTCCTAATGTGGAAACAGCCTCTACATCCTCTTGAAAAGGAGATGTAGACAAGAGAGAGGAGGAAGTCCGAGGGGGTGAGGCCGAGGGCAGCGAGGTAGGGATGTGCTGCCTCTGACTGCGTGCAGCAGACGCAGAAAGAAGAGAAGAGAGCGTACCTGGGGGAGCAAGTAGCCTACCTGAGGTGCCTGAGAATGAGGCGTTGTAGCCCTGGATGTAGACTGGCGAGAGGAAAACGGAACGAGAAAGGAAGCCTACCTGATGTGGGAGATTGAGACTCACCAGAAGTGCCTGAGAATGAGGCGTCTATGTTAGGAAAGACGCAGTTAGGACGCTGCGTCCTGCGTCTGGACGCAGCGTCCGGACGCTAGGACGCAAGACGCGCGTCCAGACGCAGGACGCACTGCGAATATTTTTTCGGGCAGCCCGATAAAAAAAAAAAATCCCGCGATTTCGACATTCGCGATTTCGACGCGGACAAGGACCAGGAAGCGATGGACGAAGTTGGAGGAGGATGGGGAGAGGGAGGTGGACGAGGACGACCCGTGCGTCGACGAGGACAAGGACCAGGAAGCAATGGGCGAAGAGGCGGAGAAGGAGAGGGAGGATAATGGGGATGTGTGATGTGATGGTTGACTAGATGCAGTGCAGTGGTAGTTTTTTAGTAGTATCGATGGTCGTAAATGCTTGGATTAAACTTCATGTGTGTGAGACCTTGTGCCATGTGTGACGCGTGACTCACCTTAGTAAAAAGTTTTGGGGGAAAATTTTGAGGTTGGGGAAAAATTTGCATTGAAACGTGTGGTATGTCCCCCCCCCCCCCTCTGCCAAGCCCTATACACTTTTTTTTGCCTGCCCGGGGGTTTTTTTTGCCCTGCCCGAGATTGCGTCTTTTGGTGCGTCTTACAGGTCCAGGTGACGCGTCCTGCGTCTGGACGCATGCGTCTGGACGCATTCGTCCAGGACGCAGGACGCGTCTTTCCTAACATAGTGAGGCGTTGTAGCCTTGGATGTAGACCGGCGAGAGGAAAACGTCCGAGGGGGTGAGACAACTGGAGCGTGAACAAGCTGAATCTGGGAACCCCAATTTGCACTGAGGGGAGAAAGGAAGCCTATTAAAGGAGGAAGGAATCAGCCTACCTGAAGTGCCAGAATATGAGGCGTTGTAGCCCTGGATGTACACTGGAGCGAGGAGGCCGTCTGAGGGGGTGAGAGCGGAGGCAGTGAGAAGTGGGGAGAGTTGACCAGAGGGAGAAGCAGCCTACCTGAAGTGCCAGAGAATGGGGCGTTGAACCCCTGGATGTAGACTGGAGCGAGGAGGACGTCGGAGGGTGTGAGGCCGAAGGCAGCGAGGTAGGGGTGTGCTGCCTCTGACTGCGCGCAGCAGAAGGTTAGCTTCTGATCCCTGTCCGCCCTGGCAATACGTTGGACCACTGTGGGAGGGGGAGGAGAGATAGAAAAGAAGGGGGCAAGGAGCGGGATTCCATTGTCAGAAGGATAACTCTCTGACTGCGCACAGCAGAAGGAGAGCTTCTGATCCCTGTCGGCCCTGGCTATACGTTGAAACACCGTGGGAGGGGAAAAAGGAGGTGGGAGTGGGTGGGGTGGGGTGGGGTGGGGTTTTTTTCAGAACCACGACGGCAGTTCCAGTTGAGAATGAAGGCACAATACCGACTCTCTTTCCCGTTTTCATTTTTTTTTTTCTTAAGAATCACGATGACAGTTCCAGTTGAGAATGAAGGCACAATACCGACGCTCACGCAGGAGTACGAGGCGGGTCGTGAAGCACCTCCGTTTGCCTCTCGCCGGGGCGCAAACGGAGGTGCTTCATTCTCCGTTAGCGAGTCGGTTTTGTGCCTTCATTCTCAATTAGCAGCATGCGAAGCTTTCACACTCCCATTCGAGTCCCTACCCTTTTACTCACCCGATTTTTCTGACTCACCAGCATGTGAGGCATAACAGGTCCCGTCAATCAGAAGCACGCGCGGCTTCAGGCTGCCGAAATTGGCAGCGAACACAGTCACAGGTGCGCCCATGCCTGCTGCTGCCATGGCAATCTGGGGCGTGGGTGGTGCTGGCGCTGGTTCTGGTTCCCGTGGTGATGGTGATGGTGGTGGGGGGAGAGGACGGTTCAGGGTAGACTGAAACACAGTCACAGGCGCGCCCATGCCTGCTGCTGCCATGGCAATCTGGGGCGTTGGTGGTGGTTCTCGTGGTGATGGCGTTGGTGGTGGTGAGGGAGAGGGGTGGTGAGGAGGAGGGTTCTGGGTGGACTGTAATGCGGTCACAGGAACACCCATGCCTGCTGCTGCTCCCATAACGGTCTGGGGCGTTGGGTGTGGTGCTCGCTCTGGTTCCCATGGTGATTGTGATGGTAAGGGTGGAAGGGGGTGGTGAGGAGGAGAATGAGGAGAATTTAGAGTTGAATCTAGGGTTCTCCCACAGTCTGGGTCTCGTGCTGCTGCTGCTGCTGCTGCTGCTGCTGCTGTTGCGCTTCCTGCTTCTCGTCCTGCTGTTCCTGCCGCAGCGGCTGCGGCTGCAGCTGCTGCTGTCAGGGTTGATGTTGCTGCCAGGGAGTAATCGTCGTGCTGTTGACGCTGCTGCTGTGTCACGCCATTCGTGTGGTCGAGGAAACCCGCTCGCTGACTGTGATGATGCGCATGATGGATCGTCGCATGCTGACGTGGACAGTGACGTGGATGCTGCCGTAAATCATCGTTATGATGCGAGCTATGTTCCAATGAACAGAATCTGTGCTGTAGCGCGGTAGTAGTAGATACGATATTCAATGGACAGAATCGGTGCTGCGGTGCAGGAGTAGGAGCAGCAGTTACGATACTGGTACATAGTAGGCGATCAAATCTAGGCTCTTCGAATCTCCTTTCTAGAACACCACCAGCAGCAGCAGCAGCAGCAGGACCGGCTGTTGTTCCTGCTGCTGCAACGAATGCCGGATCCGTTGCTGCTGCTGCTGCTCTTCCTACTCCTCCTCTTCCCCCTCCACTTGCCGCTGCTGCTGTTGCGGTAGCACATATCTCCGCGCCCAACAATCGGTCCGGCAAAAATCGACCCTGGTACGCCTGGACCCTACTCCAAACGCACTGGGCTGACCGCATTGACCACGTTGTCCGCGTTGACCGCATTGACGGTGTTGACCTCGTTGACTGCGTTGACCGCGCTGACTCCCAACCAGCAGTGTCTTCAAAGTCAAACCATGAGCGTGAATTTGAATCTCGCTCTGGATCTGAATCTGAATCTGAATGCAGCCGTCAAACTTAATCTTCTGCTTTTTGAAACGATAAGAAGCAAAAAGGTTGAAAAACAAGACTCTATTGTCGTCACTGGTTCTATTCGACCTCTCCTTGCGATGGGCCACGCGATACAGAAACGCGGTCTGATATTCTGAGACGTCTTTATATACAGACGCATCCAATGCTTCTGCAATAAGCACGGTTATTCGGAGCTGGGATGCGATGCGAACAAGCGAGAGTGGCCTGGGTGGCACGCGGGAGACGCAGGAAGCGACACGTGGCGAGAGAGGCGTGGCGAGCGACGAAGAGTACAACGGACCACACGGATGAAATCACCCGAATGTTCCCGCAAAGGACGCAATGGGAGACGGAAACCTCGCAAGGGACAGAGCCTCCGCGGATTCCACACAACCGAGGTCGCTTCCTGCCGTAAACGGCTTGAAAATTCCTGCACCGGCAAGTGGGCTCGGATGACGGAAGGCAAACATGAGAATGGCGGAAAATGGAGGTGAAGTGCCACAGGGATTGCCGCTGTGACAAGAAACTGATGTCATGAAAGAAAACATAAAATATAACGATTTGTGCGAGATTTTACGCTTCACGGTTTACACCCAATTGCACCTTCCAACCAATCGAAAACACTGATTACGAACGCTCCCACAGCGCGTACAACATTCTGACGAGCCAAGCTTGCTCGAAATGGGCTGCGAGTGTCGCCAAATGCGCAAAAGGTTTCGATCGCTTTCTTCGAGGAAATAATAGGTTACCAGGTTACTTATACTTTAACCTAATCCTACTTCTATTCCTCCAAGTGGTAAGAGCAGACATCCCAGTCTCTAGTAACTACTAGTCAATAGCACTCTAGACCTTCGCGTGGCAGTGTTTTGTGCTGCGATGCAGGAAGCGGGATGCGTTAGGGCAACGAAGGATCCCTGACCAAACGAGCTGGGTGAAGCGTAGGTGACGCGCCAAATCGAGGAAGCGTCAAAGCTTCCCATCCGCCACGCGACTGACCTTTCCGCAGGCTTATTCTTCACGCGACTGCAACTCGGTGCAGGCCTTTGCCTCACTCGAATCCAACTACTCCTTCGCTCGAATACATTCATCCAGCATTGTGGACCTTCCCCCACGCGTTCTCAGTCGTAGGTTGCACCTCAGACCGAACGACGTCGTACAGACGATTCGCGATGGCGAGAGCGACCAAGTTCGTGAAGCCAATCGTGCTGTCCGTGTTCATGTCCAACCGATACATCTACGCGCAGGTGCGTTCCTCTCATCCTCCATGCGCGCCTCACATGATCATTTCGCATACACTCCCATCTGAGCTTGCATCTCCACTTCCCTCTGCTTCATTTCTTCGAATGCTCGCATCTCTCCGCCCCCTGCTTGTGCATGGCTGTGCCTTCCTGGTTATGCTGCCTGCATTTTCAACGTATTCCATCATTCTAACCCCATCGTGCCTGGCTCAACCTCCCTTCCCCCCTCGACCCACGTATTGACGTCCCCCTAGGCCATCACTTTCCTTTTCGTCCTGCATCCCTGCCGCATCTCTTCGCATGCGGCTCTAGTTTTTTTACTATAGACGCCCTACCTCCCATGAACCAGCATTCGGCCCTACCATTTTCCTCACTACCCCCTCGCCCTTCCTCACTTTCCCCCTCCTTCTCTCTTCCTCTTTTGTCTCTTGTGTCCGCTGTGCCTGTTCCTCGATCCTTAAACCTCCCATTTCTCATTTCCTGCCTTGTTCTGCGCTGCACTAATTGCTGATTTGAGAGCTGACCTGGCTGTTGATCTAATCTGCCAATCCTGCCCATTCGTGCTGTATCAAACGGATGTCAATCTCTATGTTGATCTCTTTTTGTTTGTCCAACCCACCACCCCTGCCGCTGCGTCTATGCAGGTGATTCAAGAGCAGACAGCCTTCACCCTTGCCGCCACATCCTTCATAGAAGCCTCCCTGTTTATGAACTTCTGACTCACCTCACCTTTTGCCCAATTGCTGATCCGACCCACCACTTCAGGTGATTCACAAGCCAACAGCCTTCACGGTCGCAGCAACTGACCTCCATATGCATCCTGCATAGAAGTTTCCCTGCCTAACCAACCTATAAGTCACCTCACCTTTTGCCAAATTGCTGATCCGACCCACCACTGCAGGTTGTTCACGAGCCTACAGCCTTCACGCTCGCTGCTGCATCCTCCATAGAAGCCGCTATGCGCAAATCCCTTACAAGCACAAGCGACAAAATCGCAGCGACAGAGGTCGGGAAGGCTCTAGCTGCACGCATGCTAGAGAAGCAGATCGGCGCTGTGGCGTTTGAGCTGGGGCCCACCCAGATGTACCACGGGAAGCTCAGGTCGCTTTTAGATGCATTGACAGGGTCCGGAGTGAAGCTTCTCTGAAAATTCTGTTACTGTAGGTGACGCTAAGACTTCGTGTTTGGTTGGCAAGCACAAACAGAGGTGCTGCTGTGGCGTTTGAGCTGGGGCCCACCCAGATGCACCACTGGAAGCTCAGGTTGCTGCGTGATGCTTTCGCTGGGTTGAATTGAGAGAAGATTCTCTGAAAATAATCCAGATTTCATGTAAAGCGCATATACCTATGATATGGTGTTTGAGCCGGGCCCCTCTCAGATGTCCACACGAATTGGAGGTTATTGATTGATGAGCCTTTTGTGAATATTCTGTTAGGTTACTCCATGATTCACACGGTTGAAGCTTGCAAGGAGACACCGTAGGCGGTGGCTTGTAACTCACTCCAATGTACCGGGAAGCTCACGTGGCTCCTGGAAATGCGCACTGTAGGTGGGCAGTGCCATTGAGAGGGGCACATGCCTTACAGTTTTTGCCTGTCTGTGTATAGTTTATTGAATGGAATGCGTTCATGATCACACATGAGTGATAAATCGAGAACCCTTTAGCCGAAGATTTTGGAGGTGACATGTCCGTCAGACTCTAGTTGACTTCAGCGAAAGCTAGATTCACCTCTGCAATGTCGCGTGAGCTCACCCATCGCGTTTGGTCCGCATAAAAAGGGTTGTTGCCTGAACTTGCCATCCGTTTCCTAGTGTCCCATGCCCCTTCAGTCTCGCACACGGTAATCGAATGCCGTAACCAGAGCTTCAGGTTGCCACTCCCGCCTCGTTCACGGTAATTGAAGTCCGTAACCAGAGCTCCAATTAGCTGCTCCTGCCTCGCTCACGGCAATCGAAGTCCGTAACGTACTTCGCCGTCATCGCAGTGTACGGCTCGCAGCGCACTCATACAAGCCGAGTCGCGGATCAGCAGATTGGAAGCATAAATTGGAACACAAATTCTCTCGAAGCACATCCAGCAAACCTGAACTTGCTTTCTCATCTTTACCAGAGAGCAACCAAACGCACTCCACTTCCTCCAGATTCATATCTTTGCATCAGCATCATAACTAGCCAGCGTCCGTATAAACATTCACCGCGCCAAAGCTCACGATTTTTTTGCGTTGGATGACCGTCATGGAGAATATGAGGCTGATACCCATCGTTCTTCTCGTTCTGTTCGTCGGCTCGTACTCATCGCACCTCGCGCCTTCAATTCTGCCGGCCCGACGTGGTCTTCTCGCCAAACCCACTCCGCCTTCTAAAACTGCACATGGCCGCGACGTCAACGTTACCACCGCTCCAGTGACTCCGAAGGTCGTCGCCGCTGCAACTAATGATTCCGAATCAAGCGGGTCGACCGCGGATTTCAACAACACGTCAAGTGTTTCAAACACTGAAGAGAATTCCGCCTCAACTCTCCCTCTGCGTGCTCCTGCTCATCACGTTGACGATATTGGCGCGGCAGAGAAAGACGCACCCTTGAAGGGTCTGGGCGCGGGCGCTGCGGGCAAGGGCGCGGTGGAAAAGGGCGCAGCAGGCAAGGGCGCAACGGGCAAGGGCGCTGCAGGGAAGGGCGGAGCGGGAGCTACCGCAGCGGGTAAGGGCGCGGCGAACAAGGGTGCAGCAGGCAAGGGCGCGCCGGTCAAGGCCGCGGAAGGCAAGGGCGCGCCAGTAAAGGCCGCGGAAGGCAAGGGCGCGCCGGGGAAGGTCGCGGAAGGCAAGGGCGCGCTGGGCAAGGCCGCGGAAGGCAAGGGCGCGCCAGTCAAGGCCGCGGAAGGCAAGGGCGCGCCGGTCAAGGTCGCGGAAGGCAAGGGCGCGCCAGTCAAGGTCGCGGAAGGCAAGGGCGCGCCGGGGAAGGTCGCGGAAGGCAAGGGAGCGCCGGGGAAGGTCGCGAAAGGCAAGGGCGCGCCGGGCAAGGTCGCGAAAGGCAAGGGTTTCCGAGCAAGGCCGCGGAAGGCAAGGGCGCAACGGACGCTGGCGCAGCGGATAAGGGCGCGGCGAAGAAGGGCACAGCAGGCAAGAGCGCAACAAACAAGGGCGCGACAGACAAGGGTGCAACGAACGCACAGCACGCCGCGCCACCTCACATGGCCGCGCCGCCTCACATGGCTACGGCTGAGGATGTGACAATTCACACCCTGAAGACGGCATCGAACAATCATCCTGCTGGGTCGAACGCCCAGCGCGCCGCGCGTCCTCATATGGCGACGGCTGAGGACGTGGCGATTGTTCACCCGGGATCAGAAAAGGCGACGGCGAAAGCCGCAACAGTGGCTCCGATGCGAGCGGCGGAGGGAGAAGCGCGTCCTCACATGGCGACTGCTGAGGACGTGGCGATCCACACCCTGAAGACGGCATCGGAAATTCATCCTGCTGCGTCGAACGCACAGTCGCACCAACAAGTCGCGCGTCCTCATATGGCGACAGCTGAGGATGTGGCGATCCACACCCTGACGACGGCATCTGCGAGTCAGAGCGCCGAGAATCAGCCTGCTGCTTCGATTATGGGAGCAAGCAAGAAACCCGTGCGTCCTCACATGGCGACGGCTGAGGATGTGGCGATTCACACCGTGAAGAAGGCATTGAGCAATCATCCTGCTGGGTCGAACGCCCAGCGCGCCGCGCGTCCTCACATGGCGACAGCTGAGGACGTGGCGATCCACACCCTGAAGACGTCACCGGGCAATCGTCCTGCTACGTCGAACGCACAATTGCGCCAACCCAGCGCGCGTCCTCACATGGCGACGGCTGAGGACGTGGCGATAATTCGCCCGGGATCTGCTAAGACGACGGCGGCAGCGACTCTGCGCGCGGGGGAGGGAGAGGCGCGTCCTCACATGGCGACGGCTGAAGACGTGGCGGTTATTCACCCGGGATCAGCAAAGGCGTCGGCGGCGGCGGTGGCGCCGATGCAAGCAGAGGAGGGCGAGGCGTGGAGAAATGTAGTGGCTGATAATGACAATGACGATAATGACAGGGAGAACGACAATGATGGCGATAAGGAGAACGACAACGACAGAGACGGCGACAGGAAGAATGACAGCGACCGGGTCGGTGACAATGAGGAGGATAATGACAACGATGCAGTGCAGTAGCATGGGGGGGAGAGCAGCAGCACGCGCATGAATGTTGGCAGCAAGGGACAGCGACGGGGCAGTGTTGGAAGGAAACGGTGGTGGGGCGGTGGTATGCCCCCAACCCACCGAGGGCACTTCGGTGCCTTCGATCCCTTTGACTAGGGATCGGTGGGGTGGCACCGATTGACTTCGGGAGACTCACCCTTCGGTGCCACGTGGCGGCACCACATTCCAACCTTCAAGTGCAAGGCGAATTCGGTGTGTTCGGTGTGAAATTCGGTGGTCGAATTTCACCCCAACCGAAATGTTACACGCGGCGCATTCGCGACGCGAGTGTAGCGATGTGATGTTACATGTGCGGTTCGATGTAATGCATTTGCTATAAATCGACCTGCCTTGTATGCATGCTATATACTGGAAAACGTGAATCACTTTGTACACAGTGCATTCGACAACAAATTCCAGAGAGTTTCCAATCCTTCAACATAGAGTATAGCTTTCACGTTAGTAGCCATATCTCGCTCGATACTTAGGTGATCGAGGTGATCTACGGCTCGTTGGAAAGCTAACAGAGTGCTCTACTGATTAGAACAATTCCCAGTTCCTGAATATTAGAGGAGAGTCCTCTACTTCAGGCAGGACTCATGGCTCTGGCAAGGGAGCATCATCCCGCGTGTCTCGCTTCAGCAACAGCCGTGGCTGGGAGCCGCGCAGCAATCAGCGCACTGGGCTGGACAAGGCACAGCAGTTTCGCATGGCGACAAGCAGCGATGTGGCCATTCACAGGAGCGGGACACAAGGTGTGGGGAGGAACCGCGGTGGGAATGGGCTCAACAAGGCACCGCAGTTTCGCATGGCAACAAGCAGCGATGTGATCCTGCCCAGGAGTGGGAATCGAGGCACCGCCAAGGGAGCACCCTCCCGCGTGTCTCGCCTCAACAACAACAATGTCTGGGAGCTTGAGGACAATCAGCGCACTGGGCTGCACAAAGCACAGCAGTTTCGCATGGCAACAAGCAGCGATGTGGCCATTCGCGAGAGCGGGACGCAAGGCGAGAGCCGCGGTGTGAACCATCAGGTGGCTGGGTTCCATAAGGCACAGCAGTTTCGCATGGCGACGAGCAGCGATGTGGCCATTCACAGGAGCGGGGTGCAAGGCGCAGACCGTGGTGTGAACTATGGGAATCAGAGGCTGGGTGCACAAGCTGAGGGCGGCGATTGCGATGGTGACAACAACGGCAGCGACAACGGCGTTGACAATGGCAGCGGCAGCGGCAGCAATGGAGGAGGAGGGCCGATAGATATCGACGCGATCCTGGAGGTGCACAACGCAGCGCGGCGGGAGGTGGGGGTGGCGGATCTGGCGTGGGACGACGGCGCGGCAGCAGCAGCGCAAGAGTGGGCGGACCAGCTGGCGTCCATGGGGTGCCCGCTGCAGCACGGCGGCGCGGAGGGGCTCGGGCAGAACCTGTACTGGCGCGCGCCGGCCGCGCTGACCCCCGAGGAGGATCGCATGGCGGTGCAGGCGTGGGTGGATGAGAAGGCGGATTGGACTCCCAGCCCCGTGCCCGAGGGGTGCGCGGAGGGGCGGATGTGCGGGCATTATACGCAGGTGGTGTGGGCGGGAACGACCCATGTGGGGTGTGCGTCGGTGCAATGCCCTGATGGAGGTGGCATGTGGGTGTGTGATTACTCGCCCCAGGGGAACATCATTGGGTCCACTCCGTTCTAGAGCGGTGGAGTGGGGTGGGACGACCTGTGGGGTTCGCGTTGGCGCAGTGCCCTGATGGGGGTGGCATGTGGGTGTGTGATTACTCGCCCCAGGGGAACATCGTTGGGTCCACTCCGTTTTAGAGCGGTGGTGATGGTTTTGTGAACCTTGATCTGCGCGCTCGGGGTAGGAGGGAAGTCTTATGAATGGTTTATACTTGTGTATATGCGATGACTGAGTTAATTTTGAAACATTTATTGATTTGGAACATTTAGTACTGGTCACTCACGGTCATCTTGCAAATGAGGATGACCGAGGATGACGCATGCGGCGAGAAGCGCGACACTGCTGCTGCTGCTGCTGCTGCTGCTGCTCCTGTTGCTGCCGCCGCAGCTCCAGCTGCTGCAGCTGTAGTGGCGGCTCCTGCGGATGCGGAGACTGCCGCCACGGCCCAGCCTTGCGCGACCGGGCTGGGTTTTAAGGATCTCCCGTACCACGCGACAATCCACGTCGCGTCTACGGCGCTGACGTTGGTCGTCGCGCAAGCCCTTGTGCTGATGATGAAGACGCAACACTACTACTACTAATCGAACACGCCTCGAAAATATACCACGGCGTTGATGCTGGTCGTCGCGCAATTCGCTGTGCTGATAATACAGTCGCAGTGCGTGAGAACGCTGAGAACGCTGATATGATTACTAGTCGCAGTACGCTGAGAACAACAAGCACTGATTCTAAGCTGAACCCCAAAACGTCCATGAATCACATATGAGAGTGCAACGTTTGGTTCTACCTCCTGTGTGTGAGAGAAGTTCGCGTGGCTGCAGCGACTACGTGAGCGGGGTGCATGAGCGGGAGTCTGTGCGGAACCTATTGCTGTTGGAGCGTAACACTCGAGCACCCGTTAGCGATTGCTGTTGGCGAAGGGGTAGCCAGCACGGTGCTGCTGAGATGGCGGCGGGAGGTGAAGGAAAACGACCTTCTACCGAGAGAATTGCCGCGGCGCGGGCTTTGCCCTCGTGATTTTTTTTCATCGCGCTCAAATTTTTACACAACCCGAAAGACACACCATCCACCTTCTATCGCGAGCGGTACGCGCTCCCCGGATTTAGCTTCATTTAACCATTATGAGGGTTTTTTTTTTGGATGGGTTCCAAATTGTCGGTGCGCAGTTTGCTGGTTGACATCGAACTTCCCTGCCACGCAGTATCATCCTATTGGGCATTTCTCTCCTGACAGTGTGGAAGTCGGTTCGGCGATCGTGTGGCGCGTTCAGGTTCGGCAATCAGTTCGGTTAACAACAGTGGGGGAAAGGAGGCTGGTGGGGTTGAACGTGGCGACACAAGACTGGCCAGTGTTATTTAACCATTCTTTCGGGCGTGCCAGGCGCATCTACAGAGACGTTACCGGCGCTACACAAGTTTAGCTGTCGGGCGACTCGGTTGAATTCATTCGTGCTGAACTAGCTTCCACGCGCGAGTACTTGCGACAGACACGTCATGCAAGAATGCATGCGATTCGTTGTGTTTGCGGCGGCTTCGCCTGTTTCTGAACGGTCCGTTCATATTTGCAATTATCGCGCCACTTTTACATATACAAGCCACTCGTCGGGGCTTGATTGGGTATAATGTGTTCAGAATCTGGTAATAAACGCGCCAGCGATCATAACACAATTCATTCGCCGCGATTTCTGACGACACGCACCGGTGGCAACCACTGCCAGGATTATGCCACCTGGGACTGACAAGTGAATTGTTGTTGTTCCTAGCTGTTGTACGAAGTGTCAGGGAATCCGAGTCCATCATACTCCAACACCAGATGCAGTTCTACATAGCGTAATCATGTGTTCGCGTCTCGCCGTTAAAAAACTCGGGCAGCGGATGATCATCTACATATTGCGCGTGGATAACATACGTGTTGTATCAGATCCACAATGGAGGAACCTTTGGCTAATGGCCGTGACATGTATAACATTATCCTGGAGCAGTTCGACATAGAGTTTGAACCCGAGGAGGGGCCTACTATCAATGACAACGCTGCCATTCAGGAGGGTAACTGGTACTCCTCGCGGGATCATTGCCTCTTTGCCTTGCTTGATGATGCGGTAGTGCATAAATACGGTTTCTACATGAAGTCTACCAGAGGGCATCGGCGCTAGCGTTGTGCAAGAGTCAGAAGCTTGGGTTGGCCCCCCTTGTCCATGGCGGTGCAGCTACGCTCGTCTCGAGCAGAACGGACCGTGGCAAATCGTTGAGCTGTCCGATCCCGCAGAGCACACATGCGACCGTGTCTACCGGACCCGGTGGTGGCCCGGTATGGGACGTAAGAGGAAGTACCTTTGGCGGAAATTCGGCAACTTCGTCCGTGCAGCGCCGTTCAACGCCCCTTGGGACTACGCCAGGCAGATTACGGCCTGCTCTGGTCCGAAGTTAACTTACAACAATGCCTACCGGTGAGCGTACACCCGTCATAGGCCGAACATCAAGGGAGCTTTTCTTTTAGCGACTGTGTTGCCTCCACTTCACTCATTTCCCGATACCACCCACACATTCCACCCACGCAGGCTGAAGGTAGGCATCACGGCGCAACGATTCGGCGACTGGTGCGAGTCATTCCGCTACATTCCGGCGGTGCAAGAGCGCATTCGGCAGATCGACAGCGGAGCAACCGTGGAGCTTTTGACTTACAACCACGAATTTCTCCGCTTCTTCATGGCGCCGAGTGCAACACGCGAAGCACTGAAGACGTGCAGGCCTGTCATCGCACTGGACGGGACTTTCCTGATCCGTGCTCAGAAGGCTACTCTGCTGTACGCCAACGCGATGGACGGCAATCAGCAGATCATCCCCATCGCGTGGGCGCTCGTAGAGAGCGAAACCAAGGACACATGGACTTGGTTTTGCCGGCTCTTTGATAAGCACTGCTCCGACTGGAAGGGACGGGACGACGCGGCCATCATCAGCGATCGGGACAAAGGTCTCATCCCGGCGGTGAAGGAAGTGTTCCCTGAGGTGGCGCACTACTTCTGTGGGTGGCACATGCAGCAGAACGTGAAGCGGTTTGGGAAGACTTCCGCGGACATGTTATGGCGGCTTTTGACAGCCCGGTCTTTGGACAAGCGTGAGCGCGGCAGGGGAGTGTTGAAGGAAGTTGGCCCCGCCCTCGCCTGGGAAAAACTGACTTGGTGGTCGGGTGTGTGGGAGATGCAGCCGACCTTCTGCAGTATGCGAGATTTGGAGCTTCAGCGCAGGTTGGGTGAAGGGTTGCCTGTACACGAGGTATATTAAAAAACTCATGCAAGAGTAACTGAAGCATCCGCGAGTGCAACGCAAGTGCCTTGTGCACATGTGCAATTGGAGCAGCTGGTGCAGAGGTTCGCGGGTGTTCATCGGCGCAGGGTCGCGTCTGACCCTGCGCACCCTCGAGAATGCACATGCGAATTTTGGCCAGAAATTCGAATGTGCCCTAATTTCGACCAATGAGGAGCTGACATTTTGGAATGTCGACCGAGGTGGTCGATGAAGGTCGTCGACCCGCAACGACGAAGGTCGTCGACCTACGATGACGAATGTCATCAACCTGCAGGGTTACCCGGTCGACGAGGTTCTGCGGAGGTGCGCGAACGTCGTCGAGGTTGCTGTGGCGAAGTCGACCGACATGGCAGCACGTGGTCGACGTGGCTAGTCAGGTGCAACCGTCTGCATGTGGCCGACCTGGCACCTGCGCAATGTGCTCGATAGTGCACGTCGTGCGTAACTGTCTACAAGCACCTGCGAAGTAGGTGCTTGCACATACGCTTACAATCAACTGCGGATGCAATCTTGGCAAGCCGCGCGGGTGCAGCGTTGGCAAGCCGCGCGGGTTCACCGTTGGCAGACCGCCATTATGCAGCGTTGGCAAGTCGTACACGAGCTGCGTTGGCGGGCCGCAAACTTGCTACGTTGGTAGGTCAACAACTTTGTCGTGCTGGCGGTCGACCTGCCTGTGCACTAGCAAACCTTGCATGTGATGTAGTCAATCTTTTCTAAACAGAAACTAGATTGCTACGCACAGCAACTAGGCCAAAGGTGCGAATGTTCTGGTTTCATTCAACAATGGGAACCATTCTGCCATCTCCCAAATTTTTCTAGACCTTTGAGGCCAAAAACGCTGCCAACTAAGGAATTAGAGACATAGGGGCGATGGTTGCACTAATTATAGATGCTGTTTACACTCATGTGTTCATTCCCAGGTGGTTGCATGTAGGCTTTGGAGTGAACGTGAATGCAAGAGTAATTGCAGAGCACTCTCTAATTAGTTGCAATGTTGAATGGTGTAATGCAGGGAGATTTTTGGGTGAGCGGTATGTAGGTAAATGTCTGGTGAAAGTGAAGCTAACATGGTGATAAATCTAAAGTATATTCGATGCACTTGTCTCAGGAGGTGTACATAGATATACAGAACAATGAACTGGTGGTATGAAGGGGAACGAAGGTCAGCCATTGTAACCAGGTCATAAAGTCCCTCCCCAAACGTGTTGAGTAGAGAGTTCGCGAGATGAAACCAGTATATTTTGCGATCAATCGAGAACGTTGGCGAATTTCAGGTCAAGCACTTCGCACGGAGACTTCCATAATTCAGTCCTCCGCGTCGCAGGTCCTGCGATTGGTGGCCGAGTAATGATTTTTTGGGTCAATTCGGGAGAACTTCCTAGTCAACGCTATTTTTGCTCATATTTTCTGTCGTAACTAGATTTCCTTTCATCAGCGAATCACTACATCCACATTTACATTAAAGCTACTCACACACCGAATGTTTGCTGGGTCTGCATGTTCCCGTGAGAAGTTGCGATAACAATGAAAACTTTTGCCATGTTTTGTTTTCCTTGACAAAACGATTCTCTGGAATCAGAAAATTTCGTGAATGTATCGTTCCGATGAGATCGAGCCAAAAAATGCACGTTTTTCTGCTGTTTCGGTTTTTTTTTTTTTTTTCTTTCTGATGTTTTACTGAGGAGGACTCAAACTGCGACCCTGTGAAGAAACCGGTTTCTGACTTTATCAACATACCCATCTGTCAAGGATTTGTTGCCTAAACAACCACATAAAAAACTCTTGACACTCGGCTTGCTATTTAAAAGAATGGGAAAGTACGGGCGGGCGACCAGCTCGAGAAAGAAAGCACAACGTATTTCGCAAAACAAATCACATATGTACGTTCAGTAACCAATATCTCACGAATTATTGGGCCTCCCATAATTCACGAAGCGCGATTGAGCTCGATTTGAGCTGAATGGAAGCAAACATGCGGTGGTCAGGGACTACCACCACCCCTGAAACTCGTTACTCTGCACCATAAATTTCGAAGTTCTGACTCAGACTCTATCAGCCAGCAAACCCTTTCTGCTTTTGAACAAACCGACCTCGCTTTTAAATCATCCCGAGCTAGTACCCATCGAAGCTTGTCAAAATGTTGCTGGGATTTCTCCTCGTTCTTGTCTTCTCTTGCGGACCGCTGGTCAGCGAAGGATTTCAGGCGCGTAGACTCTTAAGCGACCTGAACGATCGACGTAAGACGAGTTCATAACGAAGGCGAATAATGCAGCCTGAAAAAATGAGTGACTTTTCTTTTCTCGCCGACGCATCATAGCGTCCTAATCATTGCCTCTTCCTGTGCTCACGTAGCTTGGCACTTCGAATTTTCATTTTTTTTTCAGCTGAGCCTCTCCCAAATCTCTCCCCAATCTTTCCTTACAGGTGGAATCGTAGTACAGCAATCTTCGATCGGGCAGACAATTTCCGTGACTGGCTACTCTGGCGACTCGAAAATCCCCCCGCTCGTCTCAGATGCCCCACTTGAGCGTAAACTGCAGCAGCAGAGGGTGCCGAAACAGAAGCCGGTGCCGCAGAAGCCGGTGACGCTGCCACAGCAGAAGCCGGTGCCGACACGGCGGCCGGTCCCGGCCGTGGTGAAGCCTGCCGCGCAGGTGCAGCAGCCGGCGGCGGTGCAGCAGCCTGCAGTGGTGCAGCAGCCGGCGGAGGGGCAGCAGCAGGGGACGGAGGGGCAGCAGTCTGCGACGGAGAAGTCGGAAGCGCAGAAAATAGCCGACGATCAGGCGGCCCTCGAAGCGTGGATCCAGGCGGACAAGAAGGCGCTGGATGAGCAGTATGCTCAGGATAGGTATAATCAGTACCAGCAGGATATGGAGGCGGAGCTGGAAAGGCAGGATCGTTTGCACGGCAGGATTCCGTAGCATGTTCAGAGAGGTGTATGATGTAGGATGGCTTTGTTTGCCTTTGAGACGCCTCAAGAGCAGCAGGATATGGCGGCGGAGCTGGAGAGGCAGGATCGGTTGCGCGGTGTGTGATTCCGTAGAAGAGGCTGGAGTGAAGGTTCAGAGAGGTGCATGAGGGGTAGAGTGGCTTTGTTTGTTTGTACGGTCAAAGTAAGTCACGATCATTTCTCCCCGCCGTCCTTCACCACGTTCAGCCCCGACGAACGTGTTAACCTTGCCTCTTCCGTGCCTCACGACTATTACGTTCCATTCCGCGTCCCCCGAGATTTAACTTGTATATAAATTTTACCCCAATTCTCTTCCCGATCCCCTTGGGCGGCCGGAGTCGCACTCCAGTCGTCGTTCGAGCAGGCTCTCTCCGCTCCTGGCGACTCGGGCGACGCGCAATTCCCCTTGCTCTTTGAAGACGCTACCCTTCCGCGCAAACTGCAGCAGCAGGGGCAGCAGATTCCGACGCTGAGGCAGATCGGCAGACAGATGCTGACAACCCTGAAGCAGCAGCAGCAGCGGAAGAAGCCGAGGCCGAAGACGCAGCAGATCGCCTCCGATACAAGGTAGATGGCTGTTGTTGTTTTATTAGTAATCCCTATCAATGTTATTTCTCTCCATGCATATGTTTTTTTGAGACGTTTTTTCAATCATGCCATGTTTCTTGAAATGCTGCTCGTTCCCCTCCGCCGCCGTCTCGTCATCCCGCCAGCAAGAATTTCTGGCCTGGGGTGACGGGAGAGTCAGCACGCAAGCAGATGCTGGCCTCTGTGCCCCCACACTGTAGCTTTGCCGTCGTTTCGAGTGGGGCTGTGATGACCACAGTGTATCATATATGCATTTTTTTGGTGTAACGCTGTTTGATTCCTTCCGTTCGCAGCAAAACCTCCTGGCCCGAGGTGGTGGGGATGAAGGGAGAGAAGGCTCTCAAGCATATCAAAGCCGCTGTGCCGCCTTCGTGGACCGTTTCCGTCATTCCGAGTGGGTTTATGATGACCACGGACTTTCGAGAGAATCGCGTTCTCATCTACGTAGACAATGCTGGGATCGTCCAGAGAGCTCCCACGGTTGGTTAGAATTTCTGAATGAAACGGATTAGTGGTATACAATGCGGGTGGTCACATGGTGTTTAGGCTGTAGCCAAACTGTAACATAGAGCAGGGTTGTGAGACATCTGGGGACAAATGCACGTTTTCCTAAGCTGTTTGTGACACTCCTTGTAATAGCATCTTGTACTATGTAATACTACCCGCAGTTTCTTTGCATGAGGCTATCCGGAGCTGCATCAGCACTCAAAGCGCCATGTCATCACTTATGCGGACAACTCGATGAGGCCCTGTAGGTGATTAGCTCTCTCGCCAGGTGGCGATACTAAATGGAAGGTTTGGGAGACTATGTGGGACGGGGCCGGAGGGGGGAGGAGGGTGGGGGGGGAGGGTGGAGGGGGAGACGGTAGGTCTGGGAAAGGGTTGCGGGAGGCAAGTTATGCTTCCGGTGTGCCAGGCCTCCATTTCAGTGTGCAACTTCTCCATTGAGTGCTTTCTCAGTGTCAAAACGCTGACTTTTGGGGGCCTGGGTGCTTATGGTAGCATCAACATATTTCAGCCCAAAGCGAGTGTCCGTGAAAAGCATCTGGTGAAATTTTTGTACCACCCTAATCTTCGGATGAATTTGACAACATTACTCACGGGTGGTAGACTGTAAAGCATGTTCTATTGTAGCTTTGTTTTCTTTTATGCAACTCAGTACAGTGATCACAGAAATGATAGGTGCTTGCTTGGGTAAGCGGGGTACTGGTAAGGGATGGGAGTGAAGAGAGCCAAGTTACCACCTCTTGCTCCGAAACGCGAGAAAGTTTCGTCAAAGTGTTTACCAGGTCCGGCGAATTTTGTACGGCCACGAGATGGCGCGTGTTTGGTTTTCGCGAATATTCGACTCGTCGGCGAATTCATTCTCGCCAGTCAAATAGCTGTCATCGTTCCTCGCATTATTCCGTTCGCCGCGTTGTGCGTGGTCTGATTGGCGCTCGAGCATTGCATAATTGGAATGAGAGAGGGGATTGGAGGATTTCCCTCACAAATTTTGCATTATTGCGCCTCGATGGCTTATGGGAATGGGTGAGGTAGTGAAGGTGGACGCACATCAGCTCTCAACCGCACGACTTCATTCCTGGTAGGACCTGGGCTGTCACATAAAATGAGCCTTTCCGCAGTTCCTCTTCAGCAGTAACTCTAGAACCACACAGTGCACTTATCGCCTTTGTATATTACTCGAGCAGTTGAAATCAACCCCGATCCAAAAGCGTTCGTCAGTATGCTGCTCGGATTTCTCCTCGTGTTGATTTTGTCTTGCGAACCGCGGGACAGCGAAGGAGCGGCAAGTCGGCGACTTCTAACCGATCATGACGACCACGATCGACGTACTAAGGAAACGTTTGTTTCATGCCACCAGTGTGTGATCTGGTGAAGTTGGGGGAAAATGTGCTTCATTTGTGCATGAGCCCGGTACTGACCATCATCACGTAGCAACGTAGTTGAACTAATCTGGTCGCTTTCCCATGACCCACGATTAGTCGATTTTTGAGTCGACTCATCATACGCGGGTTCCCTTGACCCACGACGCTCACCCGCCCCGGGGCCTCCGAGATCTGGTTCCTATCTCGAGTTTCTCCAAAACATTCTCCCCAATCCCCTCGAACAGCCGGATACGTTCACCAATTTTCGCCAGGCCATTCAGGCGACGCGCAAATTCCCATCATGCTCGTCGGAGATGCTCCAGTGCCGCGCAAACTGCAGCAGCAGCCCGAGGGGCAGCAGATTCAGACGCTGATTCAGATCAGCAGACAGATGCTGACGACCCTGAAGCAGCAGCAACAGCGGAAGAAGAAGCAGGGGAAGAAGAAGAAGCAGAAGCAGCCTAGCCCTGTCATGCCCCCTGAAGAGATCGAGCAGCCTTCTACAAGGTGTGCACTCTCTCTCTCTCTCTCTCTCTCTCTCTCTCTCTCTCTCTCTCTCTCTCTCTCTCTCTCTCTCTCTCTCTCTCTCTCTCTCTCTCTCTCTCTCTCTCTCTCTCTCTCTCTCTCCTCAATTTGCCTCGATCCATCCTTCTATCTCTGCCTTTGTTTTTCTCTCCATGCATGACAGTCTGTAAATTGCCGCTTTCTCCTTATTTTCTTGCCACTTGTTCACTCCCTTGCTTCGCAGCAAATTTGCCTGGCCCGAGATGGTGGGGTTGACGGGAGAGGAGGCACTCAAGAAGATCCAGGCCGAAGTGCCGCCTTCGTGGAGTGTTTGGATCATAGCGCCTGGGGATACCATTATCGCGGATCATAGGGGAAATCGCATTAAGATTTTTGTGGATGAAGCTGGGATTGTTCGGGACACTCCCAGTGTTGGGTAGAAGCAGCCGTACCAAGCGAGTGCGTAGCAGGAAATTGTTGGCCTGCAGCGAAACCAGGCAAGGCTTGACCGGGAAATGTAGAAGCGGTAGACGTGGGAGCAGCAAAGCACAGAAAAGAATCTGGGGTATAGGGGCGCAGGAGATTCAGGATCAAGAAGATGAGTTTCATTTCGGGTTAGATCGTTTGTAAGATGCTGTGTATTTGTTTCACCAATGCTGATTGTGTGCTTGTAAGATGCTGGGTTTATTTTTGTATGATGCTGGGTTTCTTTTTGCTTGTCAAATCTTGCATTTTGCTTCTACATGCTTGTACAGATGCTGGGAACGGTACTTGCTGTTGTAAAGGACTCTCCTCTACTTTGCAGGAACTGGGAGTTGTTCTAAACGATAGAGCTCTGTCTTAGCTTTCCAACGAGCCGTCACACACGTCGATCGCCTAAGTATCCGCCGAGATATAGGCGTTCACGTGTTGGGTGGTGCTCTTGAATGCAAGTATAGAAGCTCTCTGGAATTTGTGTTCGAATGTACCTTGTACAAAGAACTCTGAATTTCACTATGTGATCAGTATGATTTCATGCAATACAAAGAAAACAGATTTATAGCATGCAAACAAGATCGAGTCGCACAAGTAACCTCGAACCGCTACACTCGCGAATGTTCGAGTAACATTTCGAAGGGGTGAAATTCGACACTCGAATTTCACCGAACCGAATTCTTCTTCAGTCTCGATTGTTCTTGAGTTGCCATGTGGCACCGAAGTGCAAGTCCTCCGAAGTCAACCTGCACCTTCACGAAACTTCTAGCTTGCTCAATCTTGAGCACCTAGAAGAAACACACTCGGTGGGTTGGGGGCATATCAATCGCCCCACCACCACCTTGCTTCCAACACACGCCACCTCCAACACTTGCTTCTATGCGACTAAACGGTGCTGAGATGTTGGGAAATAGTATCCACGATGCTGAATGTGTGCTTGTAAGATGCTGGGTACCGTATTTGTTTGTATGATGCTGAAGGTGAGCTTGTAAGATGTTGAAATTTTGTTTCTATGGTGCTGGATGTGTGCTAGTAAGGTGATGGGAGATTGAGAGAGGGGCTTCTGGGAGTGGCCGGTGGAAGCAGCAGAAGCTGTAGAAGCATCAATTACAGCAGGAGCATTTTTTACAGCAGGAGCAGGAGAAGTTTAAGTATGAAGCAAGATGAAGAGGTGGAAAGGCAGGTATAGGAGAACACTAAGATTTGGCCTATCTGTACAATGCATTACGATGGAAACCATGATTATACTACGTAGACTCAATCCAGATAATTGGCAGGAGGCAAATTAGCGGGAAGAAAAGTGAAAAAATGTGGGTTGAGGAAGGTGGGTGGCTTCAAGGAGACGGGGGCAGCCGATGGTAGGCACACCAACCATCTTCAAGTCCCACATCTTGCTATTGAGGCTGCACACCAAACTTCAGGTGAGGCACGGATAAGTGCGTTGTTTGTTGGCTAACCATATAAATCCGACCCATGCACCTTTGACTTTCTCAAAATAAGAGACGATTCACGTGAGAAAAGCAGCGTGCGCTCACCCAACCTAGCGCCAATGACGTACTCTGTCGTTGTAACGAAGGTTGATGAACGTCCATAAGCGCTTAGATTGCACCTATTCCCAATTTCGATCATCTGGACGAAACCATGTGTTTGTCTAATCAGGTTGTGGTTGTTGGGAAGAGAATGAGATGCTTAGCAGAATGACAAGAAACTGATGGTTTTCTTACTACATGTTACGGGTGCACTGTATCGAGGTAGCGAGGAGGGGGTAGTGTAAGGAGTTTTTCGACATTCCTTACCGCGTGCTTCAACATCGCGTACAGGACCAACCGTTGTTCGCCGTTGCTGCTAACGGGGCTTCGCCAACTTTCGCGCGCTGCATTTGCCAAACCATGCATCGCTGGACTGGCCGAGTCGGCCTACGCTTCGGGACTAGCCCGAACCTCGCGCGAGCTTCACACTAGCTAGCTCGCACGCACCGCGTTATCGTTTGCATGCTTCGCTATTTATGTTCGCTCACGCCTTTGCTCACAGCTTGTACTCGTTTGCCAACTAACCGCGGAAACCCCGGCTTCGCAGGTACACTTGCAGGGCAGGGTGGTTTTCGATGTTGGCCAGGAACACCCAGCTATCCTCTGTG